GACGGCGCAAAACACGGATTGAAGATCGTCTTCTGGAAGACGACAATGGCGAGGAACTCGAGGACTGGGTTTACGGAGAGAAGATTGTTTTTACTCGCGATACCTTTTTCTGCTGTGATCACCGACAGAGTGCCCCAGATGCCGGCGAAAAGCACGTATCATGGGAAGAGGAACAATCCCGGCGCTGGAGAATGCGCAAAGAATTATTCCCCAAGTTGAGTGACGATACTATCATCTTGGGTAACTTCAACCAGTTGTATAAGGTCAGTCTATTTGCCACGCCCGCTGATCACAAACCACATGACTAATCCTCTTCTAGGTTGAACCCACGACGTTCCGAACATGGCTGCGCATCTTAGCGCGAATCCCCAACGCTGTTCTCTGGCTCCTCCGCTTCCCAGACACAGGCGAACAAAATCTGCGAGACATCGCTAAAGCCTGGGCCGGCGAAGAGACAGCATCGCGGATCATCTTCACGGACGTAGCCCCAAAGAACACACACATCGCGCGAGCGAAGATCTTAGACTTGTTTCTTGACACGCCAGAATGCAACGCCCACACTACAGCGACAGACGTCCTCTGGAGCGGCACCCCGCTACTTACCCTCCCACGCTATAAGTATAAAATGTGCTCTCGCATGGCGAGCAGTATTCTGAGTAGCGCACTCCCCAACTCCGAGGTTGGCCAGCGCGCCCGTGAAGATCTCATCGCATCGTCGGATGAAGACTACGAGAATAAGGCTATCCGCCTATGTCTTGATCTACAGTACTCTGGTCACGAGGGTTACGCTCGCGGCCGGCTGGCAGATATACGACAGATGCTGTTCCGAGACCGCTACAAAAATAAACTCTTCGATACGGCGCGCTGGGTGCGCGATCTGGAGGATGCTTATGCGGCCGTCTGGGCGCAATGGGTTAACGGTGAAGAAGGTGATATCTGGTTATGATGTGCACTGCGAATATACCCCTTGAGCGATTTTTCCTTTTTTTCCTTTTTCCGTCTTCATTTCTTTCTCATTCTACTCTTTTGCATCTGGGTCTCATCTACCTTTCTACTACATCCAGCCCTGGGTTTTGGGCTGGATCATTTATGTAATGAATTTACTTTTTGCATGTTTTTGTGATGTATACGTATACTGGGAACGTTCACGAAAGATGAGGGCCTGTCGGATTGTTTTTGGATGGGCGTTTTATGTTTTATTCTTGGTTTTGGATATGCACGAGTAGTCTTTGTGATCTCGGTCTTTTGGATAAACTGAACAGCAGAATAGGTCTACCACAACCTTTATCCAGTGCAATCGGTCTGCCGTTTCCTCTCTGCTAATGATTTACAAACGCATTTCAGCACTCAATGATATCGTACGGGACATATTACTACGGTACGCTTTACCCTTATATCTGTATGTCTAGGAGCAATACGATCACACCCACTTCATCTAGGACATAATCTGAACGTAATATCCGCTACCCGTCGGGAAACCTAGCCCCAAATTGCGGTATGCAGAAACCAAGCCACATGCAAGCCCTCAGTCTTCAGCCCTGAATATCCCTGTTTACTATTGGTACCTTGCCCCCAGGCAACCAATAGAGTCAACGCCCGTTCCAGTCCTCAGTTGCAATCTAAGACATCAATCCATGCACCAAGATAGCCAAGACCAATCAGTACCTTGATGTTGGCATTGGCGTTGACGGTCTGACCACAAGACCCAGTGTTGTCTTCTTCTCCCCGGATGAGCCTATCACAGTATCACACCATCAAACATCCTTATCTCGCCTCTATATAGTAATATCCAAGGCCGATTTCTTGAGAACGCACTCCTCCAACGCCTCCCACGTAGAGGGAATAACATATCAAATACCCTCAGATCGCAAAATCCCATTGAACCCTTGTCCAGGTCCAGACCCAATCAGCCCCAAAACCAAACCCAAAACCTCAAACCCAATCCACCAGCGCGTGACGGAGGCTGAACCAGGATATCTGCATCTGCATCTGCATATAAGCAAAAGCACACCCCACGCCTTCGGCTCTGTTGTACATTACATTACGCATTGCACAATACATACATACACACACCCCTGACCGAACTAGTACGGAGTGTTTACTCCGTAGAAGGGTCGGTATTAAGCCCATGCATGGTCCATATTGATATCCCACCCGTCCCTACGGAGTACTCCATACCTGCCATATACACATACCCCGGTAGATGCGGCATGGCATTCTGGGATTTCTATCACATGTCCGCGGGTCCCTCGGACAGGGGGGGAGGTAAGACATGCGCTTATCCGTTTTGATGCAGGTTTCCAGTTCCAGATAGGATTCCCACATGGCTGTGTTCATGCGTGTTGAGGATTTATGTATTTGGGATTGTAGGCGCCGGGGGTTTTTTTCCCTTGATTCCCACGGTTGTATATGTACATGTAGTAATCGAGCGAGTGATTTTGTATATCAAGAGAGTTATCCAGAGATACGGGAATCACACACTTGATAGGTATAGAATAGCCGAAGATGAAAATGTAAATGTACGAATGTACGGATGTACTGAAGATCAACGATGAACCTAAATTCGCCCGTTTGACACATACAACTATAACATAAGGAAATAACCCGATTGAATTCTTTTTCGAGAAAGTAGAATATTGTTAGCACGGCGATTTTACTATTGGCACAGTATGGTCTAACCTGGTTAGGAGAAACTGCGCCCATTTTCCTGCCCAAGTGTTATTTGTTATGGTATCGTCATAGTAAAAAACACAGCCCTTCGAACCACCCCAGCCACATGGTACTTTCATGATCTGCTCTATAATTGGTCCTATAATAATGCCCCATTTTATGCCTCATCTACTCCGTAGACAGGGCTAATTTCGTACGTTTTAGGGAGAAAATTGCCATGGTGTCGGAAGTTGCAATGTTCCTACAAAGTACTTGGTATAGCTTCGCTTCGCTTTGTTGGTTTCGCTATAAAAGCTGTAGATTTGAGAGGACATCGAAAGGATCATATGGGGCAAGAGAGAGTATACACCTCACTGTCTGTGAAATACCTTAGAACACAAATTTGAAGTTAGGGCTTTTTTTATCGTTCTTATATGGTTTTCTCACCCACATCTTTTCTTCCTCTCGTCCATCCACGAGTTCATTATATCTTCTTCTTTCTTTTTATATCTCCAATTCTAGTGAGAACATCTTAGAGGCTGGGGTGGTGGGCACCGATGATTACAAGGATCGGCAAAAAACCCCCGGTTCAAATATGAAAGCATTCAAGACCCTCGAATCTTAGCTTGGCAGTTGTCTAAGAGGGGTCTGTTGCCCCTAAATATAGCGCTAATATATAAAAACATGCAGCATGCGAAGAATCATTCATTGTATCCGATATCACAACCTAGATGATTGCGAGTCAAGTTAGAGAATGTCTGGTGGATGGTTGGAGACACTGATAGTAAATCAGAGAAGGACGATGTCAAACCTTGACCTCGACACTAGCCTTTGTCAGTGTTGAAGTCCCTCCAACTCTGGCTAGTCATGTAGTCCTTATGCCCATCGAGATTGACTCCGACTCGTGTGTCACGGGTTAGTTATAACTCCGGCCACGGCGTAATCCGGGCGCCACAATCATGGCTTACCAGTCTTGTTCACTTTTTTACATTGACTTAATGGTCTAGTACGCCACCGACATCCGGTATTCCGGACCTGACACGATCTCGTACTGGACTAAACCAATATGTATGTCCTCAAGTAGAATACATATAAGGTTAGAAATGCTTGTTATAGGATCTACTAAAAATCCCTTGTTTAGACTATTCTATAGATAAATTCAGTGGTTGCTATATTGTGTCAAAGTCACAATCAAAATGGGGTTCTCATTCGATAAGGCGCTTCCATAAAACACGGTACCCTAACCCAGGGGCTTCGGATAACGGTATAGGATTAGCTACGTCCACATAAGCACTAGACAGCCCTGGGGAGATTTAGCTCCGTTTTGATTTGGTCCCTGAATATATAGGATCCACCTTGGGGCAAAGCTATCGGTTAATTTCACCAACTTTGTATAAGCTGCAGCTTCCAGCCCCTCAATGTCAGACGGGGTTCAAGGCTTATTTACATTGGCGAGCTTAGCACAAAGCTTTTTTTTTATATTTGAGCCGGCCATTTCCGCCAACGAGCAATCTTGCTGAAATCAAGCACCAAACGCCTGGGAAGATAGCATATCATGGGGGCTGTGAGATTACTTGTTTTAGCACAGGCTCTGCTCCTGTCACTAGCCAACGCCGACGCATCAAATCTGAATCCCAAGGGCAATGGTTGTGTCAACCCCAGCGGCTATCTTCAATGCTACCAAAAGAATATTGATCAGCTTTCGGTTTGCATGACAAATGCAAAGAAAACTTGCGATGGAGATTCCCTGCAGGAGTGTGAATTAGCCTGTGGAAACGTTCAGTTGGCTGCGAATATCGGTTGCTGGCTGACGGATTGCTGGAATCAGGTCTGTCAAGATCCTCTCTTTCAAGATTCCTCTCCTGACATTCATCAATTGTAGGTGTATTCATGCGCTTACCAAGAAACTGCTTTGCAATACCTCGAGGGTGCAGATAGAGTACAAGGCTCGCTGGATATTCCCTACTACCCTGCACCAGACAACGCGCCTGGTGGATGCGGTAAGATCCTGATTTACATCCAAAGCTTGTACTACAGCACACGAACTGACAAGCTCTTGAACACAGTGTGTAATCTAGGTTATGTCTGGGGAAACTTCACGGTGACTTATGTGCAGCAGTCAAATGTCTGTGAGGCATATGACATAGTCTCTGCTGGTCTGAGCACTGCCACTAGTTGTGAGTGCTGTTTGGAGTCATCTATTTTGTCGAAGTGAGTAATGCACCACCCCTACGAGAGTTGTGCCTATCTGAAGGAATCCGAACCCTCCATCTGACCATCCTCGCTTTCCAACTTATAGCATCATCGAAACATGTCCTCACAACGACCTTTCCGATCTAGCCATCGACATAATGGTCAAAAGCTTCGAGCTTGGCTATAACCAATCTGCCTCTGACAACTGCGCTATCCTCGATGACAATACCGGTAGCCAGTGTATTTCATCATTCTCAATTGATAGTGAGGCAAGCACGTGGTACAATCCAGGTCAACTTCCGTCAGGATTTCCTGGAACGGCACCTCTCTCGGACACCACCGATGCGGGAAGTCTCACAAGTGCTCCCGATCCGTACACATTTTCGCTCTTTCCAGCTTACACCTCCGTCATTACCCCGGCTCCATATAACGCGAAGGCTGTCGCTACAGCAAACACGAGATCTACAGTCCAAACTGGTACAGGGACCGGTACAGAATCTAGTGCTACAGGAACAGACTCCGCGAGCTCATCTACAACCAGTAAAGGTGCTGCGAAAAATATCGTTTCCCCTATTAGCTCTGAGCTTGGTGTCTGGGGTATCGCTATATATACCATAGCCTTTGTCATTCGTCTGGTGTAGTGTTAGTCGTATAGAGAGAATACTATATGACTGAAATACTGTTTGACACACGTCGTTAAAAGCTTAACCGTTATATTTATTCAAACATCTAAAACTTTGTATCCTTCACGTTCTCTAGCTAAGAAGACTGGCGAGATGATGGTATAGTAGCTGAATCAAAGTATATAATTTTCACCACAGATACTACCATAACGGCTACCCCAACTAGAATAACCACCATGGGACTGGAGTTTACTCAAATTAGGATGACCTACAGTTTTCAATGCTCGAATTTCCATATAAAAGGACCTTGCACCAAATTTCGCGAGAATAGCTACTTCCTTGCAACACTCAGGTCATGTATTGCCCAAATTAGTAGAGTTAAGGTGAGTCATCAATTTATACATCCAAAAGAGGAAAACCTTGGCAAAATTATGCACATAGAGCCGATTATAGAGCAGATCATGGAAGTACTATGTGGCTAGGATGATTCGAAGGTTGTTGTTTTTACTATGGTGATACCACGATAAATAACACTTAGGTAGAAACACTGTGGCAACAGTAAAATTGCTGTGCCCACAGTACTATTCTACCCAACCCTCCAAGGATCCCCTCACCCTCACATCCCTACATCAAAATCCAAACATCAATCCCTACCCCCTAAGAATCCCTTACATTGCCACGCCTTCATTGTCAAATATCAATAGTCAATTCCTGTCTCAGCCAAGTAAGCCCGTTCGCTTCACAACTCCCACGAGAGCGACAACCCATGCAAGCCGAATCCACCCGCCCCATGTGCGGTGTCATATCCCCCAGCCCTAGCTGAATTACCCCGTTCGGCCTGTGGCGTGCTCAGGTGTGTGTGGAGGGTACAGACATGGCTGAGTCGGTTATGGTGCGTTGTGAGTGGTGTGGCGCGGGTGGGGATCAAGCCACGGAGATTTAGGGCGCTGGACCGGTCGATTAGCCGCAAAATCGGGGACTTTGAATTATTGAACGTGAATGGTGACCTGTTTTTGGCTATTGATTTTGGGATTGTATATTAGATTGTAAGATATTAATTGTTGCTATGTATGGAGTATATGGTACAGGGATATATATTAAGGATGTAGTATGTAGTTATAAAGTGCGGAGTACGGAGTTATAGTACTCCGGGACTTTTGGGAATGGACCTAATTGGGAATGTGTTTCGCGGGTAGGTCTTGTTTGACTTGAAATTATGTTGGTTTTTGTTCGATTAGATGAGAACAAATACTATGTGCTGAAACGTTGAGCATTCAATGCTCATATTTTGTTGTAGTTTGCTGGTTATATATATCAGCACTACAGATGTACACATAACTCTACTAAGCCGATCACATGTCTAAATCCCATAGTTATAATTTGCGGTCCTCCGCGGAAAAAATTGCATCATTGATAATGACGATCAGCGAGACCGAGAGCGAGACCTAACACCGAGATCTCTCAATCGAGACTAACGATAACAGTAAGCCAAGGTCAAGCCCTAAACAATGGGATTACCGTTGCGTCACGCGCCCCCTACCATTTACAGCTCTCCCTGCAAGCCCACAAGCCCACAAGCCCTAGTCTCACCTTTCCCCTGAAACGAGGCTCAAAGTGGAAAAAGGGGGAGAACCAGAACCATTGGCCCAGGCAAACGAAATGGGGCGCAATCTATATAGTATCCTCCGGACGCAAATGTTCGGGCTTGAGGGGGTCTGGTGGAGAGATGGTAAATTTTTGCTATGGTATTTGCCGTGGGCGGGCAGGAACTGCTCCGTTCAGGTTCCACCCTAACACTCACGGCCCCTCCTCGTCTTTCGGACAAAAAGCTGCTATGAGCAGGATGACGGTTTGGCCCCAAAGTTTCAAAATAACAGTGGTAGGGGGTTTATTCATTTCCCCAAGATATGAACAATCATATCTAATTGGGTTCTTTGTCTTTGTACCTTTGTACCTTTTGCGGGAACGATTGAGTTTGGACCGGATAGATAGGGTTGTTCGGATTTTGTAGTAGTCGTGCTTTGTATATTGTACTCTGTAGGTTATAATATTATCATGCTTTGCCAGGATACATTCTACATAATACTTGTTCTCCTTAATGTTGAAAATTTGCACATGTTAGGGAGTTCTAAACTTAGGAACGGGATGAGGAACGGGATGAGGAACGGGATGAGGAACGGGATGAGGAACGGGATGAGGAATGGGATCAGGAATGGGATCAGGAACTGGATCTCCCAAACTGGTTCGCATCAGGATCTTTACAGTTCGGGTGGGGCCTTCATCTGGTCCGTTCTCCATTTCGGTTTTTCAGTTATCCGACGTAATCGCAAGCTTTTCCGAGGTCAACGTTAAGACTGTTTGTGATATGGGTACGGAGTACCTGTTTCGTATCTTGTTTTACAACGTATGTAGGTTCAACAGTATACGCAGAGAGAGTTGTATTCGTATATGTTGCACAAGGTAGATAATATATTCAAATTCATCAGTGTTACTATAGTATACAAGAGGTAGTGGGATCTGCCGTTTTTCAAATTTTACTAAGCAGTAGGATTGTACGAATGTACGAATTTACGGGGTGAAGTATGACAGCGTAGGCCCAAACGGTTTCCCACAGATCGGGCACCATGCGAGTGGTCCCCGATATCTAAAGCCCGAGAAGGTGGGCCACCAATCACGGGCCAGGCTGCGGTGTCATGGCCTTGGAGCAAATTCAAATTCAAATTATATTCAAATTATATTCTAATTCAGATTCAAATTTAACTCAAAGTCAAAATTAAATCCATTTTTTAATTTCACAACCTAAATTCAAATTCATATACACTTTTGTAAGTGCATATTTCCCGTTGTGTATGTTATATGCAAGTTGCATCACTTGCCGATTAGAGGGTACTACATAATACTTGTCTGTATTGTACATTGTACTCCGTAACTCCGGAGACCACGGGTTGGTTCCATGTTCCCTACACCTCCATTTTCCATAACGCGTGGATTGTACCTGTATAGTACTTCGATGATCCACCTCGTGTCGTGTTGATGAACATATCACAAAAGTACATCCCATTACCTAAAAGGGAATGAGAACAACTAGGCAGTCTTAATCCCTGAACACTGCCAATAGCTACAATAATAAATGAGAATCTAGAACGATGAATGATGTATGTACTCGGTACTGGGTACTCCGTATTCCGTCTAGCTATACAATATAGCTTCCCCACAGCTTTTAACTCCATAAGCAAATGCGAAACAAAACTCGCTAAATGAACCCAAATCGGGTTACAATAGATTGTATCCACGTGACCCAAACGGCGAAAAGGGGGCCACAGGAACGTCGTGCTTGGACCCTCTCTGGGCTGCAACGCCATGCGGAAGGCCCGACAGTCAGGAAACAGCTGCGAGACCGTTCGCTCCACATTTAGACTTCTTAGTGACGGGTACCCCGTTGAGCTTCAATATCAAACTTCAAGATCTTTTTTTTAAACTACATTGATATGGGGATATTCTAGTATTTGATGGTTCTTGTGTATTAGATCTACTTACTATCTTCCTTTACACTTGATACGCTACTTCTCTCCCCCTCAATACCAGCGCTTAAGCACCCGATCTAAGCTCGAGCGCACGGGGCTACGTGATCAGCGTTGATCCCTGCACGCCGACAGGGATTTATCTCAAATACTTGCCGTGTCTCTGATTGGCGAACAGACAGGGGGGAGGGGGAACAATAGTCTACCTTGAGTAAACGGTAAAACAAATCCAAAAATATAAATACAAAAAAAAAAAAAAAACTGACAGGTCGAATCTCGGGTACACCCCAGTCGATGTTGCATTCCAGGACGACGGGTTCATCCTTTCAGAAACGGTTTTTCCCAGGAGTACGGAAATCCGATCTGGCTGTCCACACGAGGATTTGTCCACATGGCTACACAAGAAGGTCATCCATAGATGTTTGCCTTTTTCATTTTCTAGAACCATGTTTCACACCCCAGAATACAACCTTGGAAGTAGAACCACAGAAAGGGGGGAGGGGGAATCAATTAATGTCTTTTTCTCCACATTCTTTTTAATTTTTGAATCTATAGATAGCCTTGTTGGAATGCCCCAAACATTGATTAATGGTTAATCTACGGAGTATATAGACAGGATGTATAAATCCAATTTTTGTTTTCTTCCAATCTGGTGTGTGAAATAGATTAAAATGATCAAATAAATTAAAGATGCCCATATCCGCCTATCCTTAACCGAACTGGCAGTCCCACTAACAATGACAAATACCTGGGGGACCAATCAACATCCTAGTGTCTCCATATGGATGCATGTAAGGTCTACCCCTGGAAGATTTAAATTACAATATGTACCCTAATCCGGTACATATTGTATGGTATGTATGTATTTTATGTATTCTCACAGTGGCTGTTCTCACCCAGGGTTCGAAGTATACCATCTGGTAAAGAAAAAAGCAAAAAAAAGGTGTGGCTTGCGTTTCAACGGTTTCCACCGGTGGAGATCTCAGCTGCGACATGCCTAATCAGGTAGTCTGGAAACTTCGCACTCGTCGATCTTTTTCTTCGATCCTCGATCTCGCCTTCTGATGCATCCATCCTTTCTTTCTGGTACACCAGTGCTTAGACTGGAAATAGTCTGTGGACTGTGGAAAAGGACGGGAAAAAAAAATTAGATTGACCTAATACTTGTTCTGTTACGGTCTAGCGGGAATGATTAAAGATATCCAGTGTATCCAGATTGGAATGGATAACGTCACATCCCGTGTCTTTGCAATTGTATAGTACCTTTTTCTCTCCCTTGGCATCGGGGTTAACGACACCCATTTTCGGTTTGATTTCACTACTTCCCCCCTTGGGCGTCATGGAGAGGATCCACGGTCAACTGTCAGTGACAGGTGGCAGGTGGCCCATGCGCTTTTATTTTATTTTTATTTTTCAATTATGTCTTGTTCTTTTTCTCAAAATGGATTTTATAATATAAATTAGTGACCATTTTAAACCGGATTAAGCGACCTTCGATATTGATCTCGAAAACCAGGAATGCAAGTCCATCACGTTTGTGATGGGGTTTAAGCCATATGGAAGACAGGCTGCAAGGCATACCCCAAATATACAAATTCCCAAGCCAATAGTATCAACACCAAGATATGGAATCTAATAATCCATGTTACATATATAAAATATATTAAAAAAAAGTGAACTCCGATCTGGGTCTTCAGGGATAGCTCGGTGTTGTTCGGGGAGGCTGAAGCTTTTCCTGTCATCGCACGGAGGCACCGATTTCCCCATACTATTGAATCCAAAAAAGGGATAAAAGAAAAAAAAATAAGTCCCAAGGCTGTATCTTCACGGACGGCGCCCGAACGAGAGGCATTTGTCAATCCAAACTCGGTCCACCGGTCCACTGCTCCACTCGTGGATCCTCGCGAGGTCAAAGAAGGGAACCCTGGTCGAACCAATGAAATGTCGGACTTGACCGATTGAATATGGATCTAGTATAAATCGAGAAAAAAGTGTTGTGCATGGCTGGCTGAGTGGAATCTGGGACGTCTAACCGCTTGTCACTCGGAAGCTAGATCTGCCCCTGGCTGTTTTTGGTTTGACCCCTTTCTGGTAGTAGTTGTTTTACTTATATTATTATTTTGTAACATTGTTATTGTTATTGTAGATGAATGTAGCTATAATTACTTTTTAGGTTGTAGAAGGAAGGTCTTTGAAACTGAGTATACTTACTATATCTAGAACTGAAGGAAAGTTGCTTTTTCTTTCTTCTAGATTACCATGGCCATGGGAATCAAACAAAGAGCATATACATAAAAGAAAATAGACAAAAAATATGAAATATAAAAAAATAATATCCAAAATAAATCCCAAAAAAGAAAATAGTAAGCGCCATGAATGATTTGGAATTCCAGCAACGGGGCTCAGGGTCGATCACTCCGATCTTTTTCTCTTTTACGCGTCTTTCCTCAGCCCGAATTCCCGGGTGGTACTGAAGATCCTAACGGAGCATTCTTCCACTCCCCACGATCTATAGATTACAATAGTCTGTATTAATAATTTTTTTATTTAATTTTTTTAATAATTTTTAATTATTTAATTATTCTATTTATTTAATATATTACCCTTTAACCTGTATTATTCCGAACTGTCAGCTCCGAGATCTTGGATCGTGATCTTCCATAGCGGGACCTGTGTTTTTTTTCTTTTGGACCCATCCCCCTGGTACTTAAGACTTGACACTGTCCGGATATACTATAATAACCTCTTCCTCTACCTTCATACTTTTTTTTTGATACTTCTAACTATCAACATCCTCTCTCTCTCTCTCTCCATCATCTCTATCATCCACTATCTACTCTACTCTCATAATGCCTGTTTCACACCGTCGTGGTCCTTGGGTTCCAGAGGAAGACCAACTCCTCACCCAACTGGTCCGCGAACAAGGCCCAAACAACTGGGTTCGCATCTCTCAACACATGCACTACCGCTCACCTAAGCAATGTCGCGAGCGTTTCCACCAAAATCTCAAGCCCTCGCTAAACAGAGAGCCCATCTCCGCCGAAGAAGGTCTGATAATCGAGCGCATGGTCAACGAAATGGGAAAACGCTGGGCTGAGATCGCCCGCCGTCTGGGAAACCGCAGCGACAACGCAGTCAAGAACTGGTGGAATGGAAGCATGAACCGCAAGAAGCGTGGCCTGTCCACCCCCACCACCTCCCGCACTTATACAGGCCGCATCGAAGCTCCTTACACCCGCGCCTCAGCAATGAGCCCAGCTCGCTCCCGCTTCTCCAGTTCTTCTGTTTCTTCTCGCCCCTCATGGACAGAGTCCATCGAGACCGCTATTTCTGAACAATACTCCCACTCCCGCCGAGAATCACTGGCTTCTTCCACCCGCCAGCTCTCCCCCATCTATACCCTCCCCTCCATCAACCGACCAATCGAAACTCCCCTCACTTCGCCTGCTTTCTCAGAGGCTTCACACACTACCTCCTGTGAGCCGCCTTCTATGGTCTCAGATCACAATTCTGTCTGCTCTTCTTCACCCCGCACTTTCCCCTCCCCGCAACTCCTGCCTTTGCCTGTCGACCTGCGCTCGCAGTACGAGATCCGGAGGCCTAGTGTCCACGTTGTCGAGGACTCGCCTAGCTACCCGGCTCGCTCTCTGGAGTCTTTGTCAGAGATTGCCTCTACACAACGTTGGATGGGCCACCAGCCTACTCTGGCTTCATGGCACCAGCCTACGGATTTGCCCAAGCCTTGGATCTCCAGATCTGAGCCTGCTCGTGACACTCGCATGGGAGTGCATAACTTGCTCAACTGAAAAAATCATCAAAGAAAAAAAAAAAAAAAACATGCATCCATCATGATTTTTACGAGTCTCATTTCTCACCTGTTTTTTTTCTCTTGTTCTATACTCCTGATTCCCCTTCGCGCTCGGGTCCACCGATGGAACCCTTCTTGTACATTTCAAAAGCTCGATTTTCCTTGTGTGTCTATGTTCTCTAATAGGGAGTTATTTATGATTTTCTTTTGTATACTCTTAATGTGTATTACCATGGTTCGGATCTTGAAACTCTGTTCTTTTGGGCCTTTTTGAGGCTCGGTTCTACGTTGAATGATTATTCTTTTCTTTTTACATTTTTTTACTGTGTGTTCGATCAGGCACGCAATTTGGAGAGATTGGGCTCTCTATTTCTGCTTGGATGGCACAATACCCTGTTTATAGTACTGATCTAATTCGAATAATAATAATAATATTTAACAATTCTACTACATTACATACAACCATTTTATCTCTTACCCCAAACACTCATTGCTACGTTATATACAGATAACGCAAGTCGTACATATACCAATGTAAGAGGCAAAAAAAAAAAAACAGACTTTTGTACTCCCACACGTCCCCCGTTCCAGCCAGCCTCTGGTCTAATATTGCAGGCATCAACAGGGAATGCAGATTCACAGCCTCCAACCGTTTCGTTATCCCCTTTGCACGGGTCCCCATGAGGAATGCGCCACCGGGCACACGCTGTGCTCACGAGGACGGGACGCAAGGGATGTGAGAGCATGAGGCCTGGTTCTGGTTCTGGACAGGGCCTAAGCACGGAAGTAAGGACCCACCCGTTTGTCTGACAAGGCAAGGTTAGGAGATCTGGCGAACACAATGGAACATGTGTGGTGATAATATGTTGTATGTATGTAGATTGAAACAGATGTAAGTGGGACTGTTGCAGATGACTACATACAACATAGTGACATAGTTTATGCACATGTACACTAGACTTCCAACTAGGGGAGGGGGTTCGGGTGTACACGATGTAGGTAGTTACTATTTAGTCCTAAGGAAAAAACCGATGAGCTGTTGAGCTGGTGCTAGTTATGTTTCATGACAACTAATGTTCATGTATATTGCCTGCATCCAGACCCAGGATCATGGCCAGGAGACGTAATGTGATGCATACATGTACATAATATAATGCATAACCCATGGGCTCATTCCTGCACAGTGATAGACAAGAACTAGAACTAGAACCTAGACCTTGAACCTGGACATCAGAGACATGACACGCACTCCCACACCTCTCACAGGATGTTGATAAAAACCATAAATAAAAAATATTTTTTTAAAAAACAAGAGGTCTACTCGAGAGGTTCGTCCGCGTCTGCAGGAGAAAATGGAAAATCAAACGGTCTGGCACCGTCCACAACCCCTCCCGTCCCGATCTGGAATATGATTGACACAGGAATCCCACGTCCACTCACAAGGAATAATGGAAGATATGGCGCGGACAAGTCCAAAGACAGTCTAACACAGCACATTAAGCACACTATACAATGTACCATACCTAAATATTCCAAGAGCGAGAGCGAGAGAGAAAGAAGGATCAGCGGGACGAACCATATCCAGTAGTTTAGTATGAGGGGCTGGGATTATGTACGCCACACGACCAGGGTTAGACATCATTACATTATTACATATCACCTAGAGTCTACTTTTTTTTCACAGAGTGCAGGTCCGCCTATCCGCCCCCCCATTTGGGCTCTGTATGAAAATCGCTATGCTACTGGCTACTTTCGTAGCCAGTTAATGCGGGTTGGGTTTCGCTCGGATCGCCCAAGACGGGATGAGCGTTTGGGATGAGTCTGTGGCCAATCAGTGGAGGGGGTCCCAATGCATAAGGACGGATTGGTCACCTTCTGGCGGGATGAACGGCGGGGCTCTCAGGTGGGGATTTGGTTGGTCTTGCATGGATCGTGGAGTTCGTGCATGTATGCAAGTCGTCTCTTTTTTTTGCTTTCTCGTCGGGTTGGGCTTTCCGCTTCCCCCGTGAGGCGGCTTTTTGGTGTAGGTTGGGCTTTGGCCGTTGAGGTTTGGTATTTTTTTTTAACTTATGTTGTATTTGGGGGTTGGGTTTGGGGGGTTTGGGGGGGTCATGGTACATGTAATTAACTGAATTTATGTCATTTCAGGGTTGGTTTTATCATTTTATCGTTTTATTACGGAGTATTTCATTTCATTTTTGGTTATTCCGGGTTTCATCTCGGGTTTTGTCTCTGTTTCGAGTCTGTTTCCCTTTTTGGCTTTTTGGCCGTCATCACTATAGGGATGATTATGATCGTCTATTATATCGAATTATTTCAAGACATTGAAGACTGGCAAACCTGGAAGCGTCCTTTCCAGCTCCACATTATTATTATAACAAAAATGATGTCAGCCAGCCAGCTATTACTTCCACACACCATCTTTGTTCAGCTTGAGACTATCGAAGTGATCGGGTATTGTGTACCATTCGCCGACTAAGGATCTATCCAATCAGATTGGGTAGATTACCTTTCAGTGTGATAGAGTAACAGTAGTTCGGTCAATCAGGACATAAATTACATGTGATCCTATTTTGTAGGTACAAGGTAACCCTGATACTTCAACATTGACATTGTCAAGGAACTACAGGTTCCCAGTATGGTATTTTGAATCTTTTAGCTTAATTCCCGGCCGGCTATACGGACATCCATACATCCATACTTGTGTTTACCTGTTTTCTGTCGGTGGATCTAAACGGGATGCGGACCGTGGAACTCACACGGGAGAAAACTTTGCTGTGATGGGTACGATTCATCATTTTCATCTTGTTTTTATATTCTTCTGCCTGGTAGGAGTACGATACTGAGGGTAGCTGTTTTATTTTACTCTTACACACAAAGAAAGCCCGAGTCTCAGAAAAAAAAATAGCCCCAATGAAACTTTAATTCCTTCCAAGGCATAGGCAAAGAAAGTTCAATGACTGCCGCTAACACTGCCCTGGCCACCGCTCGGCACCTGCACACGATGACAAAAATGGAAAACGGCGCCAAGGCCAGATCGGATCGGGTTTTTCTTAGCTGAAACGAGCCGTTGGAGTGTCGCTCCGCTAGTGTGGATATTACACACAGCACCTACCATGGCAGGAGAAGGAAAGGGTCAGGGGTATGTATGGAGTATACCACAATATGTTGTAAACGAAATAGTAATACGAAATACACACTTATAATTTTGACTGTTTCCTTCCATGGTTTTGACATGCGCGCGTTGGAACTCGATCCATGGATTCATTCTCCTGCCGTTGAGTTCCAAGCTGCCGGGTTTTGGTGATCGACGGCCCATATCGCCCTATAGAGCAGTCCTGCCGGACTCAATTTTGGGATCCATTGGTGTGTGCAAGAGCGATCGAGATCGAGATTTAGACCTCGGCAAAAAATATCAGTAGCCATCGATTCTGGATGTTACTTGGTATTGCGTCTGTACAATCTCATCTCTCTATATTGTATATTGTACTATCATTGACCTGGACATGGATATTAATTAATTACATATTATATTGCATTCTAAAATTAAACTGTCATCAATCTCTCTATATATATATTGCCTATCAATGCTGATGACATCCTGGTGTAAAATCTAGTTTTTAATCTACTCCGTACAACATACGGAGTACACGGTACACAAAAGCCTACCAACGCCGCAATAACCGCCCTATATAATACCGGCCCCTGATTGGCCCACGGAGAATCTCGGTGCAATCTAACACCAACCCTAAGTCAGCTCTAGCGCCAAAAGGTACCCGCCTGTCGGTACGCACGGTAACATGGTCAGCCGCGTGAGCCCTTTTTTCTTTTTTTTTTTTTTTTTTGCGCTTCCCGTCCCCTGACCACACCCGCGGCCAAGGTGAGAGCTTTGCAAATCCCCGTTCTTCGGGACTTTCCCGAAACTAAAGCCTCAATTTCCAGCGCGACTAAACCCCCCTAACCACGGATGGAGCTCTTCATTTTCCTTTCTGGGTAGTGGGCTCCGGTGGTGGCGGTGTTGCTCTGTTAGGGGCTGTGGCTCGTTTGGCAGGGTTCCAGATTACAACATACAGGTTTTTCAGGTCTTTTTCTTATTCGGGATACTCTTTCTTTCTTGGGTGGTTCTTTCTTTTTTATTTTTAATTTTTTGTTTCATTTTTTTGATACCGTAGAAGGTTTCTAACGGTTGTGTGATTGTTTCCAATCGGATTTTGAGTTTCGATGGGCTTCTATGCATAAGTGGAGTATCTGTTTTATGACTGATTGCTGCCTTGGGCATCTATCGTTGCGCGTATATGCAACCTGCAGCTTCAGGGGGTGTTTTGTTGCGATAAATTGGTATAATTGACGTAGTCCTTCCTAATATGGATCGCGAGTTTGATTAGTCTTATTCCTCTTATTCGTTTTATCCCTCTTGTTCATCGTATTCGTCTTATTCGTCTTATTCATCTTATTTGGATAACTACTCCGTAGATAGTTGCTAAGCTAAACTCTTGGCAACGGCAGCTTAGCTGGAAGGAATATAGGGTGTTTGATATCTAGTGCTCTGTACGCGCTTGTATTCGGACAACTTGCAAGCTTAGGGGCTTTATGCTAAGGCAAATCAGTATAATCGACGTGGTCCTTCCTAATGCAGTTGGGGGATTCAATATCCAAGGTTGCCTTGATTGGGTATATATATAGTCTGCTGGGATAACACTTGGCAACGGCGGCCCGGCGTAAAGGAATGCCAGATGTTTGATATCTAGTACAAACTTGGAAGGAGACATTGTACTTTGGCCACTGTGTGTGGGGCATTGCTGCTACCATATCGAAATAGGGGAGAAAATAGGAAAGGAGGGGGCGAGATCGCCATGGCCCAGTACTTTTGGAGGCAACGAAGCAGGGGGGGTAGAATTGTATGACCGAAGAACGCGATATGGCTTGCTAAGTCTTCTATCCCAAGCCCACCACCTACTGGCGAACAAAGACAGGCATACTCTCAATTGGACATTCGATCTCAACATCGCGACCGCCCTCAACTGCCGTACCTTTGTCATCCCAGAGCTTCCACGATGCCCCAGCCGGCAAATAGGCCTTGATCTTGCGCTGACCTGGCTCCAACACAGGCACAACCAAGTACTTCGACCCGAACATGTACTGAGTCTCAACCTCCCAAGCCCGCTCATCCGACGGGAATTCATAGAACAAAGTCCTCATCACAGGAGTCCCCTTTTCATGAGCCCCCCCGCATCAAACCCCGCGTGTATTCACGGAGCTGCTCACGAATCCCAATATACCGTTTACAGATTTCATAAACCTCATCTCCATATGACCAAATCTCATTATCCGCCCCGGTAGCCGTCGGCTGTCCCTCCGGCTTCGGTTCACGGTCACCATGCAGTCGCATAACTGGGCAGAACGCTCCCCACTGGAACCATCTCGTGAATAGCTCGCGGAACACAGGGTCGTCTGGGTTACCGCCGTGGAAGCCACCGATATCTGTCGTCCACCATGGGATACCAGCTAGTCCCATGTTCAGGCCTGCTGCGAGTTGGTTGCGGAATGAGCTCCACGACGACGCGATGTCGCCGCTCCACACGAGCGCTCCATACTTCTGGCTACCTGCCCATGCACATCGTAGGAGGTTGACTATGTTCGTTTGACCCTCTGCTGTCATGCCTTCGTAGAACCCACGTGCGTAATCTTTCGGGTAGGTGTTTCCGATCTGCAGATTGCTGCCAGCGTGGTAGCGGTAGATGTCGAAGTCGTAGATTGAATACTCGGGCTCGGCTTCGTCGAGCCAGAATGTTTTGATGCCGATGTCGTAGTAGTTTTGCTTGGCTTTGCTCCAGATGTACTTTCGGGCGGCTGGGTTTGTCGCGTCGAAGTGTGTGATGTCGCCGTCACATTGCATTGCTACGCGCATGCCGCGGTCGTGGCGGATGAGAAGTCCTTGTTCGAGCATCTCTGGGAAGTTCTCGGATGCATTTTCAACAGTAGGCCAGATAGAAACCATAAGCTCGACTTTGAGCTCTTTAAGCTCCTTGACCATGGCCTCTGGAATCAGACATTGTTTGTTAATGGATCTTGCTATGGAAGGGATGTAAAAAAATAAAATAAAAAAATAAAAACTTACCTGGATCTGGCCAGAACTCCGGATCGAAGCTCCATTCTCCTTGATGCTTCCAATGGAAGAAGTCAATGACAATCAAATCCAGAGGAACCTCGCGACGCCGGTACTCGCGCGCAATATTGAGCAACTGCTCCTGGTTCGTGTAGCGGAGTTTGCACTGCCAGAAACCAAGACCATATTCTGGCATCATAGGAACATAACCTGTTACTTTGGCATATGCTTCTTCAATTTCCGCCGGGGTGTCACCCGCCACAACCCAATAGTCCAATGCCTTGGTCGAGTACGCTTCGAAGCTCATGACATTTGTTCCCAGAACCGCCCGTCCGATGCCGGGATTATTCCAGAGGAAGCCATAGCCGAGCGACGAAATTGCAAAAGGAACACTCGCCTGGGAGTTGCGGTGTGCCAGCTCAAGGTCTGTACCTTTCAGGTTCAGGTAGGGCTGCTGATACTGCCCCATACCGAAGATTTTCTCCTTATGATCGAGAGACTCGAACCGCATAGTGAGGTGGTAGTCGCCGCCCAGGATTGGACGCAGCTCGCGAGCTTCAACAGTCAACGCGCTGCACTTGGGGTCCATTGGGTCCTGGCGGTGGCGAGCATACTCCTCAAGGAGCTTGTTTCCCTTCGAATCATAGATGATGATCTTTCCCCTGCGTGACACAGTTGCTTTGATGTTGCCATTGGTGATAGTCGCTTCTTGGTCAGCGGATATCTTGATGCTTGGGCTTGGGCTGGATGGCTTGGAGGAGAGGGCCCAATCTTCCGTTGGAATTGACGCCTGTCTCGTTGCACGCACACGGAAGGCATTATTGCCCCATGGCTGCACCCAGAGGATGTGGTCGTCGAAACGGAAGACGAGCTTGTCGTCTTCGGCGTAGAGCATTTTTGGTACACGAGATTGTTAGCGGCGGTTAACCTGCTGTTTTCTGATGGAAACAAGAGGCTATTTGTGCTAAACAGATGAGCATTCTAGTTTAAACAATCGGGCATTAAGTATTGAGCGAATGACCTGGTACCCCTCACCATGCAATCATGATGCTGTGTCATGGCTATTTTCGATGAGAATTACCGCAGATCCACTGCATGAAGTACCAGTAACAACACCCATTTGTCCCAGAGAACTTCTGAGAGGTCTCAGAGATGGTGAGGTGGAGTTGGGTACCTTTAAACGCTTTAAAATCATAGGTAGCATCCGTCGTGAGTTTAGCCTGAAGTCGACCTTCCGGATGAGGCAAGGACACAATCCCGTGTCTTCCAGAAGAGGAAATTCAATTCACCTTAACAAACACCATATTAGTTCGTACAATAATAGTATTATATAGACAAGCCCTAAAAGTTCTATCGTTTGGACTCAACCACCATTGCGGGGGCCAGAGGCTTGAATAACCGGATTCCGGGGTACACGAAGATATCCGACTTATGTTAATTGTGTTTAACAAACAGAGTAACTTATTTGCTGTAATTACTAGCTTAGCCTATGGTATAGACACTTGGCTGTTGCTAGGCTAATAGCCTTCTTTTGTACAGACTAAAGTTATCTATTTCAGAAACAGGTAGGAATGTACGGAATAGTATGGATATAATTAACTTGTATTCTATATTTATTCTATGATTATATTAAATGAGCTAATAAGCCAATTTAGACTGGAACTGCCATTCCTGATCCCTTTTTTTCCTCTGTGTTCTTGACCGTGTGCAGTAGCATAGATGGAAAACACAGTGGGCCATACAAATCTTCTCGCTAGGAGAACATGACTGTCAGCCTACCTATTCTAATGTTCTCATGTCTGGACAGGATAATAAAACTCACCAAGTCGCCGCTCTCGAACCAGTTCAAACCTTGAGAATCTAGGTGCTAATAAATAACAAGGCAAGTGATTAGAATTGCAACGGAGACATAACGAATAAGACTCACATAGCTTCCATCAGCAAATTGGTTAGGATCAATCTTGTAGCCCAACCATCTCCGATAAAGGTCTTCCGCAGTCTGTGTTGTGAACATGTAAGAGAACCGATACAAGATATGATCCCATTGGTGATTCCAGTTCCATGCACTATCATCGCCACCGTTGATTTTCTCGGGTTGACCAGGGTTTAAAATTCGACCAAGCTCCTTTGATGACCATTTCCCGTCAACATAAATAGGATGGGGCACATGCACGGCTTTAAGCCCATGCCAGAGTGCTAGCGAAGGAGCTGTCATCTCAGAAGCTAAGCCGATGCCCCGTTGGTTTATCTCGTGCATTTGCTGCACCAACTTTTTCGATACCCGTCCTATAGCAACAGGCGATGCGCGACGTGGAACATCTCCTGAAAGCCCCCATAGTGTACTAACGAATGTCCACTGCGTGTCGGTAGGGTCGAACATTGGTAAAAAGGTGATAAGATCTGCTTCTTCGCCGACACCCCATTCATATTTGTCCTCTTCTGGGGATTTAACGGGAGGCTTCGGGCCTACCGGCGTCATCTGAGCGAGCGTTAGTCCTACGGGCATCATTTGAGAGAGAGAGAGGGTCAGGCCTACCGGTGTCAGTTGTGGAGGGATGCCCTTAGGTCCCCAGACACTTTCGCGCCCCTTCAGAGTGGAGCCGACCATCCTTGTAAAGTCTCGCCAGGTCCCATGTGTCCCTGGGATATAGAAGTATGCATTCCGCTCCCAAAGGTATCTTCGTGCCTGTCTTTTTGCGAATTCTGCGGATTTCTCAAGGAAGTGGTAGGCATGACCGGTGAATTTAGAATCCATTTCTAATTGCCAGTAATAATCAAAGTCTTGGAATAATTGAGAGAAAATTTGAACTGGTTGCCAGTATTGGAGTACCGTGCTATAAAGTTATTAAGCGTCAAATAATTAACAACTGTAGGAAATGTGGTACTATACCTATGCTCATTGACGTCGGGGTACCATGACTCCAACATCTTGTCATTAAAAAGGACAGTAATTTCTTGGAACTCGCGTGGAACGAAGCGAGACTTGAGATTTCGCATTGCCTCCGTATCATCTGTATTAATTGGGATGCTCGCGTCTTTCACATGGCATAAGATGAATACTTCATATTCAGCACCAGAGTGTAATGATAGTTCCATGACCAGAGACCGAACACTCTGCTTGAGGTTGTCGGTCCATTCCATGTCATGCCATGCGCGTAGAATGACCGCAGATCTTTGTTTATGTTGTGGGACAGGCGGTGGGGTCTTATACCTTCCCCGGCGGACATTCATTGTAGGAGAGCGAGAGATGGGGCTAGCTGGAAGGCTGTGCTTGATGGGACGTGGTTGGGTTTGGCTTTCGGTGTATCGGCCGGCATTTCTCTCTAAGCATTGTGTTTGGAGTGACCCCCAATTTACCTCATTCCAATTGGTTTGTATTGGACCCTTAGAGGCGGAGACAGGGTAATTGGTATAGTTATCGTAGCCGTATGTACGCAATCGAGAGAAGCGATCAGTACAGACATACGCATCAAGGCCCGTTGCCGCATACGAGCCAAGCAATGGAGGAGGGAATTCTATGGACGTGACGTGTTAAAGATAACTCAAAATTCTCGGTGAGCTTAGACTTACTATCTGGAATACCAGGATACACAGATACCATGTCATCCGCGCTCGAGCGACTCAGAAGCCTTCCCCGAGGGCCCGCACACGCCTGGAAGCTCCCTAAAGACACCTTGCGCCACTCATCTCCGTTGTAGTCTGGATACGGATCATAAATGAAAGGGCCATCATCATCTCCATGTGTTAATGTCAAGGTTCCACCGCGATAGAAATTCTCTTCTCTGTAAAAAGGAAGTTAAGAAAATTAATTCAAAGACAAGAGAGGAGTTGTGGAACCAGGTCCCAACATACCGGACGTCACGCAATGTCCCAAGCCTAATAGGTTCACGGGCAACCGGCGCAGTATCATCTTGGGGCCTCACTTCGCGCGGGCTACTAGCTGTTATATCTCCCGGGCGGATGACGGGTAACCTTGAATGTTCTACATCAGGCGATGAATTAAAAGAGGGATATAACCAATGGTCTTCTTGCCTGTGAGTTGAAATGCTGCGCAGGATGAACAACAATAGAATAGCCAATATTGTGTAATAATATGCCCGATGAGAACGGCGGAAGGTGCTCAGTGAAGGCCAGGAGAGAAGAGCTGGATGGCTTGCCATTTTTGTTCGGGGCCCCATTATGGCGAAACCAGCGAAGAGAATATAAAGAAATCAAACCAGAGATTGAAAGGCCGAGCCTTTGCATAATAGCTCAAGCAAAGCTTACAAGCAAACAAGCAAACAAAGGGTCCTAGTGGGGCTGAGTTCTTAAAATTATGTCTCTACTACTCCGTACTACTCTGTACTACTCCGTACATTGGAGAAAAGCCTTTTGGTTTGTGCTGATGGGCGAGACGCTCGTGTTCACAATAAGCATGGGATCTTACTGGTAGTAGTAACCACTTGTTGTGGGGCCTGCAGGGTTCAAGGGTACAACCTTGTAGAGCTAGTGATAAATAGATATATGTACTGTACACAGCCCAGACGAGGGATCCGCTAGCTCCGGTCCGATTTGTAACGTGCGCCTATGGGAGATTGGATCATTCCTGCACGATGTACTGAGTACTTCCATAAACATACAGAATACATATGTCAGATACACATTAGACATTCTGACCATCATTGAATTGGCTCCAGATCTTGTTTATAATTATTAAGGTAATGTCTAAATTTAGTGCATTCAGTCTCAGTTAGAAGAGAAACAGAATACGAAATAGATTAAGACATTTAGGCCTCCCAAATATAGTACCGCATAGTGTGTTCGCCCCACATAGCGGCTAGTTATGGCTATCTCCCGAGGTCTCGGTTTTTACAACAAAAGTACAGAGGGTCCTCGGGCCTTTGATATGTATTGCTTAGACGTGTCGAGATTTAACTACAGAGTAGACGTGTCACTGCATATGTAAAGCACCCAATACTTCGCCCCACTCAAGCAGATTAACTTGTTTTCTAAGTGGTGTTCGGGATGAACTAGACCCCATCACAAGGATTTTTGGGCAAAGTTGGAATAATCCATGCATATGAATCAATATCGGCATATATGGTGAAATAATATACGTCAATACGGAGGCCCAAAGGGCTCTAGAGGGCCCCAAACAATAATGAGTAATACACACTTTGGACTCGGTAATAGCAGAGTTTGATGTGGTGGCTAGCAAGTCTGGCGCTACACGGTTCGAGAGTTAAAGAAGAGCCTCGTGAGCCGACAGGGACCGTAAATTATTAGGGGTCATGGACCTGCATTTGATTCGAGGCTGGGTGGCTGAACCCTACAGTAGTAAGTTATAGTGGGTGATAGTAATCTTATTTGTAAAATAGCCCTAAGAAAATACCTAATCCCCCAGCCCCGAGGTCGCTACGGAGTACATTCCCCTTTTATCATCAGTATTCTAGCTCATTCCCCCTCCTCCGACTTACAAGAGGTGCGCATCTATATATTAGAGCGGCGTCAATCAAGTACTCTGCTCATATGGGAAGCTGGTCTCTACTTAGAGGCCTGGCCCTTCAGCTCAGCCTTCTATGTCTTATTGTCCCGATTAGAGCCGCCAGCAAATGTTACTATCCCAACGGGGATGAAAGCCCAGATACACCATGCTTCGTTGATGGGGACGTCTCGCACTGCTGTGCATCAACTGCAATATGTCTTACGAACAAATTATGCTTGTTTTTGGACGATCCATACCAGCTCTCACGCGGAAGCTGCACCTCTCCAGACTGGAGGAGTGTGAATTGCCCTACGATATGTAGTAAGTCTCAAATTTATGATAATTTAATGAATCCATACTAACTCTCTGTTGATAGAGGATGCTCAACAAAGTTCTGGCGCCGCTGTCGTCCCATTGGATACGCCCGGCCGAGAGACTAAATATTGTTGCAATTCCTTGTTCGCTAATATAACATCCGGGGACCTGATATGCGGTTATGTCAAAGATTTGCCACAAACACCTTTTACAGTTGCTAGCGGTACCGCCATCCCTGGTGTTGCGGCTCTATCAGACTTGGTGAAGAGGTCCAATGATACTTCCCCTACAGTGACGAATGATACCAATACCACCAGAAATGACTCATGTATAATGAGCAATAATTCTAATAACTTCAATGATTCCAACGATTCCAACGACGTGGCGATAGGAGCAGGAGTTGGTGTCCCTCTTGGTGTAATTGCTTTTCTCTCTATTGGCTGGGCTCTTTGGGAAAGGAGAAAAAGAAAGCGCGCGTCTATTCTGACCGAACCGGTCCACATGCAGTCACTTCATCCATATCAACCTGTTACCAATGATCGCAATTTTGGGGTGAGTGAGCTGAGTGCAAATACAGCCAAACCGGCCGAGCTCCACCAGAACCAGCCCCGTCACTAGGTTAGTACAATACGACAGAACATGAGTACCTGAGGTCCTGGGATGGGTACGTGGGATTACTGCGATGTCTTATTATTCTTTCGGGAGATCTCTTGCTATGTACTTAACATATTCTACCTTTGGTGGGCATTTTGTGGTCATTACTGACTATCAAATACTAAACCACAAATTTAATACCTTTTTTTTTTTTTTTTCAAAGTCTTAGGATATTAAAGAGACTCCTAGACTTTTCCTACAAAGAGAGTTCTTTGGAACAAAACCCACACAGTGTCATATAGAGGAGTGGATATTCTTTAGGGGTGAAACAAGCTACATCTGTCGCGGCAAGTTAGTGCCATACTTTCCGAAGAGTTTCAATTCTAGATATCCACTGTCATACTCTAACTAGATCTCGATCCATGGCATCAATTCTAACAATGACTCCAACCCACAGTTGTCACATAAAACCAACAGCGAGGATCTAGGCGAAGACCGTATCCAATGAGAGATAATGGCTGTCATGCGGATCATGGATGGTCTATCAGCTTCGTCGGGAGATAGCTCCCACATTCTTGCGCCTATATTTGTTTAATGTATTGCTATAGTCAAAATCCTACTCCCATTTCTTCCTTAATTGGGCTTTTCTAGTTGCCTGTTGTAAGTCCACACAGCGCTTCCGTGCCTATGAAACATGTCCGAGACTATGTTATCATTCTTGTTCTTTCAATTTTTCTTCTTTGTTTAAATATCCGTCAAATATTAAAGCAAACAACTGTTAGTTTCTTCCCGATTTATCCTCAAGCTCAGCGTTCAGCAATAATGGCCGTTTAGACGTCCACGGGAGGTTGTTAGTTGATATTGCTGATGTTCCCCGGAAAAAGGACGCTATTCCTTATAAGGACAGACAGTCAAGCTACCAGGCGGGCACGGTTTTCACCTTGCATTGCTCAGTTCTATCCCCTCAATTGTCAATTCCATTCGAACTGTTAGCCAAGTTCTGATTTGAACTTCCGATTCTCTTCGATTCATCCAGCGAAGCCTAAATCATGGCATTCAGCGGGGCCGCCTCGGCTCCTACCGCGGACATCGACATCGACATGGACCTTGACCTAGGTCCAGAGCCCGAGCTAGAGCCCGAGCCAATTCAGGTGGTGAGTGTGTTCCTTTCTATTTAGAGTCGTAATCGATTGTCGACTAACATATGTCGAGTGCTAGGAAACAACCTCGAAATTAGAAACCACCGTCGACCCCCTCACCGATGAAGCGGTCTACGAAAAAGTGCATGTTCGCGGCGTTGATGAATTGACCACAGAAGATATCAAACAATTTGCTCGCGATTGCTCCGGACAGGAACCAGTGCGCATTGAATGGATCGACGACACATCCGCCAACATCATCTTCTCCTCCGCCGAAATTGGCCTCCAAGCTCTCACTGCGCTCACCCAAGTCGCCGAGGAAGAAGACGCGTCTACCTTGCCACCTCTGCGTCTCCGATCGGCGAAACTCCTCTCCTCCCACCCTGATTCCGTCCTCCAAGTGCGATCGGCTGTCAAGTCGGACCGTAAGCAAGCGCGGGCTCATGAGAAAAGTCGCTTCTACCTCATGCACCCCGAGCACGATCCCCGAGAACGCTTGAGACAAGAGTTTGCGGACAGGAGACGTAGCGACGATGCAGGCGAAGGAGAATACAGGCGGCGCAGATTCGACGACCGGGAACACCGACGCCGTCGAGACCGCGACGAGGACGACCACTTCAATGCTGACATGTACGATGATAATGTTGGCTCTGAACCCGAGCGTGCTCGGGCCAAGCCCAGAGGTCGTGGCCAGAGGGACCTGTTTCCAGAGGATGAGGGCCGGTCAAGTGGACGTCTCCGGAACCGCAGTGCGTCCCCGGGACGAGACACGCTAGAGGAAGACCTTCGGGTCGAGCGAGGTGGTCGTGATAATAACAGGCGGTTCCGTGAAAGGTCGCCCATACACGTTCGCAAAAACAAGGATAGAGAGCTTTTCCCAAGCGCGGGCGCGGGCGAGAGCGAGTCAGGAACCCGCGAACTTTTCCCAAACAAGCTCACATCCAGCTACATCAAGAAGGAGTTGCTACCTAGCAAGGCTAGTCACCATCGCCGGTCAGATGCATTCGACGCTTCTTCTATTCCAGGCAGCTCTGAACACAGGCGTAACAGCAATATTGAGCTCTTCCCTGATTCCGCCAACAATGGCGCCCGCATTCGTGGAGCAGCCACAAGAACCGAGGATCAAGGATTTGCCATCCGGGGCGGCGCATCTGCCGGCATGTCGATTAAAGGCAGGGGTGCGTCGGTGCGTGAACTGTTCCCTTCCAAGTTCGACAACGACACCAACAACGCCAATGTTGGCGCCAACGCTGGCAAGGAATTGTTTTCCGACACACTAGAGGGGCGCGGCGGTCGTCGGCGTCGGGCTGAGGATATGTTCAGCTGAATAAACTAAGTGACATGTCAATAACTGTGCATTTGTTTGATTGTTAGTGGGCTTCACGGGAGCATGGTGGATATCCGGCGTTTCGCGTATAAGATGGGAAAATCAATTGTCTGATAAAAGCTTCATAATGACACATACTCTGCTCTTCTAAATGGATACCTGCATTCTTCTGTAATCTTCGAGTGATGATAAATATAAAATGTAGACCAAACCACATTCGTCTAGCAGCCGCAATTGGAAGATATATATACAAGCATGTCATGCGCCACGAATAACCTCTCCTCAACCAAAACCTCTCCGAAGGATCAAAAACAAGCATGGCTCCCTCCAAAACAGTAGATGCACTATCAAGTGCGATAGTTGCTCGTTTCCTGCGCAGCCATGACTATTCCGAGACACTGAAGGCTTTTATTCGCGAGGCTGACCTTGCTCCCGACGTGGGGCAGAGCTCGGGAGATGACACCAACAACTGGTCCATCCAAAGCTTGCTCGAAGAGAAAAACACCTATGATAAAACCGTGAATTTTGAAAGATATGGGAATGATCATCAGCAGTCGACTTTATGGAGCGAGCCAGGTGAGTTTTATTCAGGCATGGTAGTCAAAAGTCATTGGTACTCGGCTTTACATGTCTAGCTTTACCTGCGGTTGCCTTTGTTCTTTTATCTGACAGACCATCATAGCACCATCAAGACCCGCTGTCATCCAGACACCGACATCATCAAATATCCTTGCTGCGTCGGTAGAGCAATGGCAGAAACCTCGCGGCGATGCTGATGAAGCCGCCGCAGATGCTATATCAGCGCAGTCTTATATCGTCTCCGCCGGTGCAGACAAGCAAGTCCACTTGCTCGATACAGCAGAAGGCAACATGGCTATCAGGTCATTCTCGAGCCTCTCTAATTCACCCGTTCTATCATTTACCTCGATCCTCCAGGGCCGGTACATCCTCATGACCAACATATCCGGACAGCTGCTCCTCCAGCATGGATCTGAAACGCTGGACAGCAGAAAGGATCATGCAAAGTACGCGGTGAATGTGGTAGCCTACGAAGACAAGGCCGATCCTTCCAAGTGGTGGGTTGCCACCGCCGGGTGGGACGAGTGTGTTTTCTTATATTGCCTCAACATCCCCGACGAAGCAGACGCACCAGCTCTCAAGATCGGTGGGCCTGTTACACGCATTAAACTCGTTTCGAACCCGGAATCCCTGCTGTTTGTCCCACATGTGGACACCGACGAGCTGCTCCTCCTCGTCTCGCGCAGAGACTCGACCTATATTTACTACTACCAGGTAGAAGCAGCATCGGAGGAAACCAATCCTCGCGAAAATGACGGAGCCGCAGCTGAGAAGTCCCCACAAGAAGCTCGCCTCCTTGGACAGCAGAACCTGGCTCCTCATTCCAATGCTTGGGTTGCCTTCTCACCGGCCCATATGGTGCTCAGCCCACACGACCCCGGTCTTCTGGCAGTAGCCACGTCGACGTTGCCCAATATGAAAGTGATCATCGTGCGTCTGCTATTCCCTCCAGCGAAGACAGAGCCCACTTTGGAGGACCCGGTGACACAGGCGTCTCAAGCATTGGCAACACTGGAACTGCAAAACCGTGAGGACGCTGCTATCCTCGTGCAGGCGAACACTTTCGCCCCGCAAACTGATTACTCCACACCGCAGGTGGCGTGGAGGCCTAATGGGTCTGGAGTCTGGGTTAATGGGGATGATGGTGTTGTCCGTGGCATTGAGACGAAGACGGGGAAGGTCATTGCTACGTTGAAAGGTGGACATGAACCGGGCTGTAAGGTGAGAAGTGTTTGGTCGGGGTATGTTGCTGTACCCCAGACAGAGGGTGACCCGGTCTTGGAGGAATGGGTTATCAGTGGTGGGTTTGATAAAAAGTTGGTTGTTTGGAAGGTATGACGTTTGTAACTATCCTCGATGTCTGTGGAGTGCCTGGAGATGATAAGGACAATTTGAATATCATGGTGATGAAAGCGAAAATAGAGATGTGTAAATGAATTGATTGATCATGGCTAAATATAAGATTGACTGTTACTGTTTTACGGGATGTAGCCCCCTAACCATGAACCCTGTCACGATCGAGAAGAATCAAGACAGGATATATAGCAATCGGGGACTTGGGGGTTATTCTTGGCACGTTAAGAAAAAATCCTTCAGCAATCGCGCATGAGAAAAGCACGCAGCTGTACACACATATGCCGGACGGAGGGGGGTTTTGGGGAGAAAATGGGGAGAAAATGGGGGAAGAGACTAAGCTCAAGGGCTGCAACACAGACGAAGTCGAGCCCTCGAGTCTGGAAGAAAAAAAGGATACAGCAGAAGAGATTCCGCTTGGGAAAATGGCACCGCTGTGCACATCGAATTAAGCCTGTTGATTTCTCGATATCAAACAACTCGAGGTTTGTCGCGCAAGGAATAAGCAAAAACCAGGCCTATTCGACACAGCGGACCGTCCTTGATCATTGCACACGTTATGTTCTCTGGACCTCTTGCACGCTCGAGTTGCATTTCATGTTTCCCATTTTTTTAAGACTGAGTTCATAATCTATGCGACCTCACGCTTGCCCTCCTTGCGCTCCTTCTGTTCAATGGGTCAGTATTCCGTATCATGGGTGGTGGGTACTGGATGTTGGGTTCGGGTTGTGGTCAACGTACAAGGGCCTTCATGGTTCCGTGGAGAGCGTGACGGTGGTTGCGGCGGAACTTGGGGTCGACACCGTTGAGGGAAGGGTAACGGTTGGTCTTGGGCTTCTTGATACTATTCGAGGAGATATATATCAGCGATTCGGTTCTGGTTGTAAAGGTGTGATGGATGGTGGTCGAATGCAGTAGTTCCAAAAGATTGACCGAGCGAATATTTAAGTCGTGACCTCAAAACTATCACACCGGATAAAATCATTCGCACACTAGCACTTCTTCCACCTTGTCCATCGAATCGATTTGAGAAATGTCGGGCAAGTGTAAAAGTAGTGTGATCGAGGGATTTCAAGGGCAGACGTACCCGTTACGGTGAGCCTTCTGGCTGCGGTGGTGCTGGGACGCGTTCTTGGACTCTGTGGGTGAAAATCATGTCAGCGCCATCGCTTTTTTTTTTCTTTGTCGCCAGCGTGCAGTTGAGCGAAGGTCATAGAATTGGTGAAAACGTACTGGCCATCTTGTCGGATGTTGTCTCTGATTGACGGTGTGATGATGGAGAGGAGTGGGAATAGGGACGTCAGGCCTTAGAGGGTCGGCTAGGGCTCGTTCCGTTTGTGGGATCTCGCTTATCGGGCGGTGTACATACTAGAGTGTCACTAGACGGTCTGTTACTTGAAAGATTGTCCTAGACAACGTCATAATATTTTGATATAGTAGTGTATCCTATCTTATTTTATTAAGTTGATCTAGGTAATTCGAAATTGGGTCTTTTCAGCCTGCTTTTTACGGTTCATCACAAGTTTTCTTCACTTGGTTCTGCCATTAGCCTACACGTGACCTTGATCCATACACATCACGTGATTGGTATACTTCCCAATCGGCAAGTAACCTTGGAAAGTATTGCTGTCTACCTGGACGAAGAACACTTGATTTCGGGGGCAACATAAAGTAACAAGTCTAGCATACGGTTACTATGCGTTGTGTCCGATTACTAGCAAGGCTTTCTCGACTAAGGTGTTCCCGACGTCAAAATGTCACCTTTGGGAATTGGACTTCTGGCAAGAATATAGACCCAAAGCAGAAAAACACCGAAATAGATAGAGCACTAAATGAAACAATATGTTCTCTCCTTGTGTTTACATAAAAATATGGGTAGAATAACCGTAGTCAACACAGCTCATACTTGGCCATAGCCCGGCCGTTGAATTCCCGTGCCACGTGACCAGCCGCTAGGGAACAACCGGCATTCCGACTTCGACCTTTGCAACGCAACTTCAAGAGGGATAATCCAGCCTTTGCACGCCATCCACCACTGCAAAATGAGCTCCTTCCGCTTCGCTCGCTCCGCCCTTCGGGCTCGCCCTTCTTTCCTCGGTGCTCCCGTCCAGCGCCGTGGTTACGCTGAGGCCGTCGCCGACAAGATCAAGCTGTCCCTGACTCTGCCTCACCAGGTGCGTGGACGAACTCCGGCCAGCATCCCAACATCATAGCCTACGTACTGACTTGATAATTGCTTGACAGACCATCTACCGCTCCACTGGCGTGTATGTTATGCTTTCAATTGCGCCCGCGTCGACGGTGCCTGCGCCCTTTTCCTAAATACTGACCAACCTCCGCGATTACAGTACCCAGGTCAACATTCCCGCCGCCTCCGGTGAGATGGGTGTCCTCGCCAACCACGTTCCCGCCATCGAGCAGCTCAAGCCCGGTCTCGTCGAGATCATTGAGGAGAGCGGTGCCACCAAGCAGTACTTCCGTACGTCCGATCCTCGCGCCCTGAGACATCCCGCAAATCTGGTCACTTGTCAATTGGAATCGATCAACTAACAATGGTGTTACTGTACAGTGTCCGGCGGTTTCGCCGTTGTCCAGCCCGACTCCCAGCTCAGCATCAACGCTGTCGAGGGTTACGCTCTTGAGGACTTCAGCGCCGACGTAGGTTATTTTTCTTCGCAACATTGCGACTCAAGCTAACCAGAACTTCCTTGCTAGTCCATTCGCGCCCAGATCGCCGAGGCCCAGAAGATTGCCAGCGGCAGCGGCAGCGAGCAGGATATCGCCGAGGCCAAGATTGAGCTTGAGGTATGAACTCGCCGGGACTATTGGTCTGATTAAATACTGACTTTTTTTTCTTCTTGAATAGGTTCTCGAGACCCTCCAGGCTCACGTCAAATAGACTTGATGTACATAACCATTAGCGCCCCAACCATGAACCTGTAGAATTATAGCAATTCTCCATTTCCCTCTAATTATACTTGTTTATCATATCGTTTCTTCTGTCTTCATTTTATGCGGTAGAGGTGGGAACGCACCTTCCATGCTTGGGTATTGAGCACCTGACTTCCCCGTCTCACTCCAACAACCATCGACCTTTACCTTCAGCTGACCGTGCAGACATGGCTTTCGCTAAATCACTCAAGTTAGACCCTCTGGGCATCGTGGATACTCGACTGACGATGACGGACTCACCTACGGATCGCTTCTTTTCACCTCTCTTTGCGCCATCAACCGGGTTTGATAGAACTGATGAAAGACAGCCAGTCAACCAGACAGAGGCAGAAGCAAGCCCAAGACAAGCTCATCGAATTCTCGAAATTCGCGAGTCCTTCCGCCCTCGACTTGAGCTGGATGTCGCTGTGGACAAGTACCACACCCTTGATGGCCTCGCTGAGCCATTGAATCCCCAAAACACACCTGCATCAAATAGCGAACGAGAGAGCGCAGAGGAATCCACTGAGTCCCTTCGTTGCCATAAAATGGAGAACGTACGGACGAGTCCTCCACCTCAGACGGAGAAATTCAATTTCGATTGCTTCCAAGATTCGCCAGAGGCAAGCTTTGTTCGCGAAGACGATGGAAGCGAATCCCCCAAACCCTCAAAATTGCGACGTCTTTCCGTTGGCCGCCGACAGTGGACCAAACCTCCTGTTGCGGTCCTGTCGAGTCATCAGCCAGGCGTAAATGCCGGTACCTTCAACAAACCTGGCGATCCAGATTCACCGCTGCGATGCGTTCGATTTTCTCCTCCGGCCTCGTTGTCTCCGCCTTCTCGTGTGATACGCCGTCCCCAACCTTCGATTGAAAGAAGGCAGGACCATGTTGTTTTGCATCGACAGAAGAAACAATATCAGAAATGGAAGGTCACTGGTCATGCGAATTCTCGAAAAAGCTCACCAAACAGAATTCCTACAAACAGAACGCAGTTTTTGGCAACCCGAACCCCAAAGAACCATGATTTGCGCGGCTCATCCCTTTCCAGCTTGCCATATCGTGAAACACGCCGCACATCGTTCCTCGCTCGTATTGGCTTGGGTAGTGATGCTGGAGAAGTGAGAGCCGGCAATGCGGGCGGCACTCCTGTTGTAGATGACTCGAACATTGTGCGAAACACCGAGCAGAACCTCCCTGCGTTTCTTGCTGTTTCAATTTCGCTCTACAGAGCACGACCTACGCCTAGTTCATCCGCCGAGAGAGCACCAAAGTACACTTTCAGATTTCGAATGACTCGAACTGACCTCCCTCGACAACCTTCTCCGCATTTCCCTCTCGAATTCAAACACATCAATTGTCACCCGACCATTGATCACTTGGTATTCCACACCTGCTTCGTCGTTCCCGGGATAGTTGTACTGCTACCTCTCAGTGTGATCTTCGCTGCAACACACCCATTGGTCAACACCCGGGCCGGCGCTGTAATGCTCTACCTTGCCAGAGCTTTACTGTATCTACTGATAAACATCATCGTTCTTGTGTTGTCGAAATGTGGGGTGTCTTGCGGCTACCAGTGGAATCCGGACACTGTCCATTCAGAGTAGCTACACCCTCAGGGTGGTGAGCAATTGAGGTTGGACAAGATCGACGCGACATTACGGACCAGCGAATTCCGCTCTACTCTTGTATGCAGCATATTATACGCGTATCTCGTTGTGTCGCGCGCATTAGTCTAGTCTTACTCTACCTCATACATTTTTGTGGCTGAAAGCCGAGTCATGAGTATCAATCAAACAAATTTCACTAACGGAGCCATCTAAAAACAATGCGTCATGCACTGCAACACGGAGTTTCTCCGCCATGCCTATTGAAAGTAAAAATAAAGATAGAAACAACAAGTTAGAAAATAGCGGTGTTGCTTTTGGCAGCTACAACTTTGTGGGAGCTACTTCTACATACATATATGTCCCTGTATGTACGGGCAGACCTGATAAGAAAGTGTGGGGTAACTCTCTAGGGCTGGAACTCCCGGCCAATCTACTTTTTATACATTTAAAGAGGCAAAACACTGCCTTGATGATCGTTGTGTCTTATAGTTTGAGAATAAGCAGCTTCAATTTGGCGCTAGGAAGTAAAAAAATAAAATAAAAGTACAAACATGGAAAGGAAAAAAAAAAGTAAAAGAACAAAAAAGGGGAATCATTGGGAGTTTATGCCTTGTCTTGGGGCCGATCTCCGAATGGAATGTTTTCTCGGCCAGCTCGGACCGAAATCTCGCGGAGCTCATGTGTGCGAATCAGTGATGGTCCGATCACAGGAAGTAGTGCGTCTAGTTCTACGCTTGACGAGAATCGTGCATATGCTTCCCAAGTCATGCGTACAAAGACCCCCGCAGATGCATTGGTTTCATAGGCATCTGTGATTTTCACTTTGAACTTGGCCGGCAGGTTTTGAGGGAAGTTGTGATAGTGGGCGGGAATGTAATGCAGGGCCTAGGCTCGAACTTGAGGCATGACCAGAAGACGAAATTCTTGGCGAAGGAGGAGTTGAAGTAGACGTGACGTGGAAAGGTAACACAATGGGATTCACCCCATTATGACTCGAAAATCTTGGTATGTAGCAGCCACGAGGAGTTTCATTCTGTACCGCATCGGAAATTTCATCTGTCGAGGTAGATATCTTGCCAGAGTGAGAAAGCTTTCGTATAGTCCGCGCAACTCGCTGTGTAAAGGATATTCCATTTACACGGGATCTCGCAAACGCCGAAGAGCCACAAGCAGCTAAGATATGGGTTGTCATCGGGTTGCTCGCAATAGCAGTACAGGAATAATAACAATCTAGGATGCAGAAGGTATCCATAGAATAAGTGTGGTAACTCAATTCACGATCGATGGTGCGCCATGGAACAAATTTTTCCTTCTTGGTCGCGGTAAAAGAAAGTTCGTTGAGTTGATTGATCGTACCGTGGCCAGCGTAAAAAAAAATGAAGAGCGTTGGTTTGCAAATGCGGTGTTTGGACACAACTTCTTGATGCAGGCGATCTCCCAAATCCCAGCCTGGAACGGGATTTTCGTGGTTCATAACAAATGTTTGGCTGGCAACTCCGAAAAGATCAGCCATCATATGGGAAAAGGTTTCTCCATCTTCTTGAGCACAAGTGTTGTCGTCGTCCCAATAACAAACGAAGGCCGTAATTTGGGAGTATGTTTTCCCTCTGGCCTTAACCGCCCTTTCCAGTGCAGATTTTAAATTGGGAAGAGCAATCCTTTTGGAGCTGATCCTTCTTGGAATTTTCGATGAAGATTTTGGGGATACGGGTGAAGTTGCAGAGTTGGGCGAGGTAGGAGGGTTAGACTGAGAAGATTCTATAGTCAAGTGACTCAACCGAGTGCCGAATAGAGGATGTGCGGAAATCGATTTGAGTACAAAGTGAAAAAAAGTAAGAAGTCCCCTTGCCTCAGATTGGCTCAAGGGTCTTGGATATTGAGGGCTCACGAGTAACTGACGAAGAGAACTTGAGATGATAGAGAGGTAGATAACTAGAGAATTGAGAAATAAGTAAAGGTGAAAGATGAGTGAGAGTTGTTTGCTGAAGTTAAAGGCAGAGATGTTTGTGAAAAGGAAAGAAAAGAAAGAAGAAATTCAGACCTGGGGACTTGATAGAGGCAGGACAGGGTAGGACGAACCATAGTAGAATCAAACTACTATGCCTATTCTAGCAATCCTTATTGTAAGAACCATGGAACCTCATCTGATCCGGGCCCAGTGTTGCGTGCCTGTTGAACTCTCTCACTCGGCACATTGTCGCATGCTTCCACATATCTCCATGTGGTAGACTAGTTCTCTCCCTTTCCTCCATAACTTCTCCATGAACCAATACAAGCCTTCAAGTTTGAAGTTGAGATTCTAACATTGGAGAACATCTGGTTTGTCTTATCCTTCCCCCACGCTTTTGATTACTGTCCCTAATGATGCGATTAGGAGGAAGATCAAAAGGAGGGACTTCCAACACGAAGTTTTACTAGACATCCTTCTTCTTGTCCTGTTTCTTATTTTTTCCCTTCAAGCATATGGCACTACTATTGATAATAAGGTTAAGTGTGTATGCTGGCATCGAAAGCTAAATCAGCTAAGAGGGTTAGCATTTGAAGCCACGTCATGTAACTCTGTTCTTTACACCCTGATCTCATTCTCCTAGCTTCTCATTCAATATATCCAGAGACAGACTACTTTTCTTGGGCTGCTTTCTTGTAGCTTTCTTAAACGAAATCCCCCAAGTTATAGACGCATTGAACCATATTCTTTTTGCTCTCGCTAATTTGCATCTACCTATGAAAAATGGGTAAGCTGACCACCCATTCTTTACGCATCAACGTTTATATCAGGTTCAATATTCATTTTGTCATGTCTCAAAGGGAATATATGCCGATCAAGATAGCAAAAGCGATCGCTGTATAATCGAACGCGTTCACGAATTGACTTGGAGCCAAACGCATTAAACCACTCCGCTAAACCAGCCTTATGCCACCATGAGTAGAAATCCCGAGGGAGAGTAGAATAAAGGTTCTGGAAAAATAGGACGGCCTCAAAATCCATCCCTAAGCAGATTTTCAATCTTAGATAAATTCCACCAAGTCGCATCACTATTTCATTCTCCTCCTTGTCTTAATTATGTTATATTCTGCGTGGCTGCTACACACAGCTGACTCGATTGGATGCGAAAGGCATTCTTATTCTTATCTTGTGCTTAGCGGTTGCTTTCGATGGATTGACACCATCTATCAATACATCTATATCTATTGTCAGGACTATATGTTATTAAATTATTAAGACTAGTTTGGCGGATCGTTAAGAAAGACCTCCTCATAGCAGATAACATTCAAGTGGTCCGCCTAGTCTGAGCTCAAAATCATCTATACCTAAGGTCCAATGTAAGGAGGTTTACTGGCACAGCATATTGTTCAAGATTAATTGACTTTCAGGGTATTTTTAAGTTTATTTCTGCAAAAATTCCAAGCGACAGCTTCCAGATAACCCCCCAAAGAATAGGGTAGATAATCAATACCACACAAAGGTGAAGACAAGACTAGCAAAAAAACCAACAACCCAATAAAAGATCCGTTAAATCGCTGGCATCACAAAAAAAAAAAAAGAGACGAGAAAGGAAAAGCTAGCTAAAATAATCATTTCGTCGCCTCGAAAAACACATTCAAGAAAAGAAAACATATCAAAAGGAGGACATAGCACCGTGACAGGGGGGATCATTTATATCAACACGGCTCTGAAGCACATAAATCGTTTTGTACATGTCATAAGCTGGGTCTGTAGTAGACACAAGAGAAAAGAAAAATGGAGGGTGCTAGACGGTACCAAGAAAGTGATCAAGTGAATTCCACGCCATGCTGCTGCTGCCTCTCTTGTCGGGTTCGGGCTCGTTCAGCACGTCTGCGGCGACGATTGTTCGCGTACGAGCCACTCATCTCAGTGCCGGTATATGTAGGTGAAGTGATACTGTTCGCTCCATATGGTATGGTAGAAGGCGCAGGAATGGGGGGGTGGGGGCGGCATTTGGCTGACTTGGGAGGGGGGTGCGCCCCATGAGGATGCAGGCATGCTCCCCGAAGGGGCCATAGATGCCTGTGGAGGGGCGAGCTGAGCAGAAGCAGCAGCAGCAGCAGCCTGTTCACGTCGCATTTGTTCGTCTTGTCGACGTTCGAGTTCTTCGACGCGACGCCAGCGGTCATAGCCGGCGTCTTCGTTGCCGGACAAGGAGCCTGCGCTGCTGTTGCGGCGTCGAGAGTTTCTTCGCTCTCTGCGACGGGCCTCGCGACTCGCGGCTGCTTCTTCTTCAGTCAGCCGACGGAGTGTCACATGTCGTCCGTCATTGTGCATTTTCACTTTCACAGATACCGGCGGGGAAGCAACATCGTCCTCTCGGCGCCGGCTGCTGCTCCGGTTACGATGGGAGGCTGCATCTAGTGCTGCGCCAGCGGCTGCACCGGATGCAAATTCTGCTCCATCATGGGGTAGGGAGTGACGCGAGGGAGGAGCTTCAGGCCTCAAGTCACCAGAGAACTGCTGGTGACTAGGGGGCATAGGTGGCATATCTGATACAGCGCTATGAATAGCACCAGAGGCGACGGGCTCTGCAGTAAGAAGAGATTCTCCATGTGATGTGTGTCGAGGTGGAGGACGGGATAGATCGGTTTCAGTGAGATCAGTTTCACTGTATGAACTGGCCCTTCTTCGTGGGTAGAAGCTTTCTCCCGCCTGTGGTCGTCGTCTGCTGTTTGCTCTCTGCAACGCCTCATCTTCATCTTCTCGACGCTTGATATCCTCTAGCCTCCGTTTCTCTTCATCGTCCTTTTTACCGCGGCTGAACAGTCGCTTCACGGCGGCAAAAGCACCCACACCCAGAACAGCATCTCTAATTCCATGAGAAGCGCTTCGCTTAGGCGGCTCGGTGAAATATGTGCTGTTGTAGTAGTAAGAAGAGCCCGGGCTTTGGGACCTACTTGGTACGCGACTTGGTACGCGACTTGGTGCGCGACTTGGTGCGCGACTTGGTGGCCGATTAAGGGGCGTGTGATGCGTCGGCTCCGGTCGACCATCTTCCATCCTGCTAAGAGATTCATCTGAGTGGCTAGTACTGCGCGAATGGGCAGGCCTATACCGACCCGATTCGGCATCGTCTTCTCGCTTCTTTCGACGGTCCCAGAATTTCTTGGCCATGAGGGCAGCCCCGGCCAGTGCGCCAATCTCGAGGAGTTTCTTGCCGAAACCACCGCCACCACCTCCACCACCTCCATGATGGCGGGAAGATTCATCGGAATATTTTTCATCAGAAATAGATGTGCGAGAGTCTTCATAGGCATGGCTTGGGTGGCGACTGCTTGTACGTCGTCGAAACATTGAAGCCAAGCCAGCACCTGCAGCGCCGGCGGCGAGAGCTGCTCCCGTGTGATTGCCATGGTGCTCTGAAACTTCCGAAGGTCCTGTGTACTGACTGTGGCCACCACCATGCTCACTTCCCATGTGATATCCTTCGACATCATATCGGTAAGAAAGTATAAAGTAAAGAACCAAGTAACCGAAGGCTGTTATCGCGAATAGGATAAACAGGACCTTTGGCGAACCATAGAGCGTGAGCCCTAATGGAATTTGTGCAATACCGAGAAGTAAAAGAGCACGACCCAACCATCGGTGTAACTAGAATATGTTAAGGAAAGTCCATATACCCCCTTCTTGGGGTGTCACTTACCACCAGTTTCAAAGGAACGTGGACTCGTTGTCTCTTACTTTCCTTCTTGTGCAAGAACCAGCCCCACAGAACTTGGACAATGACCAAAACATAGATTGCCAGGCCGATTCCATGATGGGGGTTGGTTAGGCTTCTTTCCGGCCCAACGGCGAACCACCCAAGCACAAACACGACCGTGGTTAGGAGCAAAGTGAGTACCTGACACCAAGCATGCAATTTAAATGCCCAGTAAGGATTCCATCGGGAGTAGTATCGGATTAGAATGATTGATGTTGGGACAATGCCCAAGAAAACGATTGTTGCAATGACACCGTGCGCGATGATTATGGAATGGTACCCTGCCATATTCTTGAAACGGTTCCCCATGCCTGTAACATGTCAGGTATAATTATAAAGCGTAGATTGTTGATGTGCTGAACTAACCATTGTATCGCATCGTCTCAAAGTTGAGCCCCATCAAATTGGGCAGCAGGAAGGTATCCCGCCCAGAGTCCCAGGTGCCATCCCCAACATGAAGAGTATTGGATGCGTATGTGCTGCTCCCCGCCGCGGCGAGATCTGAGTTTGACATTTTGCGGATAATTCTCGAACGACCACGCGATCTTTAGTCTGGAATGTCGGATTTACCGAAGGAGATCTTTCGAGATCTCCCGATCCGAGGAATGCACCATGCGATAACGGGACCGGGATTTCACTAGAATTCCCAATGACAGGTAGTGCAATTGACTGTATACCGACCAGTTTATGGCGTGGAATGGGGGATCTAAGTATGGTTCGAGAGGGTCGTAGAGTAGAAGCCGATGCGGAGCGCAAAGAGAGGAAGGAAACAAAGTCGTACAAATTCGGAATGTGAGGTTAGGATAGTATTAAAAAAGCGTCCGACAATGCGATCGAAATAAAATAGAAAAAAAGCACGTTGCACAGGAACCTCGGGCAGAGAAGAATCACAACAAGAGGCTGAGCAATTCCCCCAGTCATCTGTTTTCCTATAACACATTACCGGGCCAACCAGCCGCTGACTCAGGATCTACATTGTGACCGCCTTCCTAAACAGGCTAGACTGTTTACTCATCCATCTTATCTGTCTTATCCTCAGCTGATCTTATCACAAGATTGCGTGCTGTGCTGGAGGGAGCTCGAATCGTTACATCCACACGTTCTCTCCTTTCCCCGCTTGATCATTTGTAATGAGTGTCTTCAATCCAACATGACTCCTCAACTAGAGATATTTATTAACGCGTTATCCCGGTTTGTGAACTCCTATTTGCATCCGACTGCCGCTGGGCATTATGAACATGACTGACCAATTTATTCCAGGTGTTTAGGATGGGCATAGTAAGTCTACGTGTTGATTTCGAGGCTATATCTCATGTGTTACTCAAACTGATAGCTAACTCGAATGCAGCATGCTCTGCTGGTCAGGATCCTTTTATCCGCAGCCCATAACCAACTGGAAACGCAAGTCCACAGTCGGCTTATCTATTGATTTATCCACTATCAATCCTCTGGGATTTGTCTCCTATGCGATATACACCTCTGCGTTTCTCTACTCGCCTGTCATTCGCTCACAATATGCGGCCCGCCACCCTGCCTCGATTGATCCCACCGTCCGGTTCAACGATTTCGCATTTGCGGCCCACGCGGTGGTATTGACCATCATGCTGTACACACAGTTCTGGCCTTTCGTCTGGGGGTTCCATGTTTCCCGCTTCCAAAGGATCAGTTGGACAATGGCAGGGATATTTTGGGGGTCTATCCTGACTCCTCTGGTGGTTACGGCGGTTGTATTGGCGCAAAGTCCGGATGGAGGGTATGATCCTTCCACTTGGGCGTGGATTGACGTGGTAGGTGAAAATAAGGCATTCCTCTTCAGTGGGCTTCTAAACCATTGGGCAAACTAGAAAACAGCGCTGAAATCCTTCTAGGCCTACTCCTTTTCGTACGTCAAACTCCTGATCACCATTGTGAAATACATGCCTCAGGTGGCGTTGAACTACCAGCGCCAATCTACAGAAGGCTGGAGCATTGGAACCATTCTTCTAGATTTAGCTGGTGGTATCCTTTCAATGGCTCAACTGGTGCTTGACTCTAGCCTTCAAAGTGACTGGAGCGGTATTACCGGCAACCCGGTCAAGCTACTGCTGGGCAATGTTACAATCTTTTTCGATGCGATCTTCTGCATCCAACACTACATCTTATACCGAGACACCCCTGACCTGAAGGGAACACCTGGTCCGGGCGAGCAAACGCCCCTCTTAATTGGACAAGATGATGCTGTACCGGATCGGGTATGATCCAAGACACACAGAGAGATACATGAGATGAACCCAGTGATCCTGGGGCCAAATTTGAGACATTGCAGATATGTCTCTATTTTTGTAGACGCATTGCAGTCAGAGCTTGGAGATTTGAGACATTGTGGGGGCGGGAAATTCGGACCACCACATATCTCAGCCCTGGGGAGACTTGGCGATCTCTTAATTTTGGGGGGTTTGGTATAAGCCACGATTTAGATGCATGATAGAGCGTCCTATTAGAAATGCGATGCTATGTTTTTCAAATCTGAGACACACTACCATCGAATGTTATTCTTAGACCGAAGACATCCGGTCTCACGACCAGCTTACAACGTACAACGTGCCATTCCAGAAGCATTCAGGCCATCATTTTCTATTCCTAGGACCTTTTCCAGATAACCTGTCACACAACGCAATAGTTACAATCCACAAACTGACTGCATACATATGTAATAAGCCCGAAGCCACAGTGAGGCTCATCGCCGATCATATGGACACCGCTCCTCGTTTTGAACGGCCCCCCGTATTTGGTCCCCGCCGAACGATGTGAGTGGTCGAGCAATGGAATAAGCGCATATTTGTCATCGTCTGGCCAATCATGAAACAGGACACGGTCTATGCACAATGCACAAACGGTGCTTGCCGTCGGTGTCTCACCAAAAGGACCTTTGGCACTATAGCTGAACCCGAAGCCCAGAGTCCCAGATTCAACATGAACTCACTTTGTTCGTGTCCGCAATACCTACTTTGCGTAATGATCGACTATACGGAATGGCCCTGGGGGAGGGTGAAAGATATCTCCAAGATATCAATCCCAGCTCCCGGCCAGTAAGATACCCCGCCACGCGAGAAATGCTACCTTTGGATTTAACGTTACCTCCAAGCTGACTCAACTTTAAGAATCTGGTGACAAAAAGCAATTGGGGGTTTAAGGAATCGGAAATTATCTACATAGCATGCAATCGGGGATTATATGTATAAACTCCAGGCATGTCTTGTGTAATGTTGCCACGGTGAGGCTTTTGATATCTAGATATCATGAACCAGTTCCACGTGTTTATAGCGAACATATATAAAAGACAAAAAGAATCTTACAAAATACCGCAACACCGGTCCTGGTCATCCCTGGCGTCCTGGGCGTCTCGTGGCTTTTTACTGGCCAATAATACGAGCGCACAATGCATACCCTAGAAATAACATAGTTAAATCATGAAACCCTAACCTCTGGCCATAATCTGCCGATGTCGATCTAGCCAACCTGGGAATGTACTATGTGCAGGCCCACGTCGTCATCTTTCAGCCCTACTTTGAAAATGTCCCCATAATTATCCAAATGATAAACCAATACCTGCATGCCATGACAGGAAGATCATCTCTCATCGGGAAGCCAGTAGACCCCCGGGCCCCGGTAATCCTAGTCCATCTATTCTGAATCACGTTTGAGTCAACCCCCGAAGCCGAGGAAGCGGTATCAATCCGCGGACTGCTCATTTGATTACCAATAATACCTAGCCAATATGATTTAACGGTTCTATATCAAGCATGGCAGTATGATCAACGTTTCAATTTCTTCTGCGGAACGCCTAGATATTCAAGATTACAGCACTGCCTCCTCGACTTGAGATGGCCATAAATAATCCATTACCCGTTAGGTCTTAGTCCGAAAGACAAGTTCAGCTCTAAATCTGCCAAAACTCTATAACATATTGGCTTCTCGGTCATCTCGGGCAACAATCCTCAAATGCATGGACACCTGTTCATACATCCTTTATAACAGCAAAATTACACGAAGCACCTATTGATATGCCAGAGCGGTTTCCTCCAAAAGGAAGCTTTGAGTACGCCGACTGTGGGTTTTCCTTTCCATCATCAGAAGAACTATCATTGCACAATATCATCTACATCCCCGACATTCCCAACGCCGCCAACATGTATCCTAGTCGCCAGAAGTCTAAAAGTACCTACGGCACTGTGCCAGATAGCACTGGTTACTCGGAGTCCTTAGATTCTCAACATCTGGGAGGCCTGACCAACATTCCCACCAGCACTCCATGCAACTCTCACATGTCCGCTCTTCAACAAGCGGGCTTTATGGACGCCCAACCAGACCCTCGATCTTTCCTATCCCCGGGACATTATCCCACTGGAAGAAGAGGGTCGACCGACACCGATACAATTGGCTCTCAATACGCATGGTCTACTGCGTCCAACGCAGACATCCTCTCAAACTCTCCTCATATGCGCTCCTTTGAGGCCCCAATCGGCCCGACCACAACGTCGTTCATTCAAGGATATTATCCCCCAGGATCTCTACCACTCAATATGAGTGGCCCAGGCGTGTCGGGCTATACTCCCCAGCAAATCGACAAATGGTGCATTGAGAGCGAACCAACCCAGGACTTCTACCATTCACAACCTTTCGCAAACATGGGATCTATGCACTTCCCACCATCAATAGAAGTGCAACCAGAGCCCTACCAAACATTCAACACTCAAGTCAACACTGCAAATGAGCAGTGGCTCCCCTACCCACCGCAGTCCTCTAACCTCATCCCGGAAACTTTCTTCTCAGTGCCCCAATCAGTCCCAGCTCCAACACCCCATCCCTACCAATCAACAACTACAACCTCAATCGCCTCATCGCCGCCACATTCCATCTCCGATCCAGATTCTCCACCAGCCGCACCAGGCTCGGCCTCCGGCTCCGGCTCCAACTCCGGTGACCTAAAAAACTACGGCATCCCAATGGGCGACGGCACCTGGCGTTGCGCCCACCCGGGATGTTCCTCGCAGGCTGTCTTCCACCGAGGCTGTGATTTGAGGAAGCACTTCAACCGTCACCGTAAGTACCTCTTCTGTCGCCATGAGGGATGTCCCCAGTCTGTGAGGAATGGGTTCAGCAGCAAGAAGGACCGTGCCCGGCATGAGGCGAAGCACAATCCTGGTGTCTTTTGTGAGTGGGAGGGCTGTGGGAAGGTGTTTAGTCGTGTCGACAATATGAAAGACCATGTCAGGAGGATTCACCGGAAAGGGGAGGCTGGAAAGGCTTAGTTGTCGGTTAGATTGCCACGATGACGATAACGATTACGGTACTATGGTTTATGTCTTGGGCGTCTTTTGTTGTCTTGCTTATACTGCGTGGTTTTTGGATGGTTCTTTTATGTATAACATTGGTAGACAAAGCGGAAAAAGGAAAGGCGAATTTAGACAATGAATGGTTCTGTTGTTTAGCGAGGATTTACATTTCGGTTCTATCAGAATTCAACATATGGAATCACCCAGAAATAAACAATAAATGGCTGTAGCTGTTTGAGAAATTGTAATTATGCAGATATGTAAATCTAGAATTAAACTCGAGCACTACCGAGTAGTCTACTGCCGTAAGAAGCGACTAAAAAATGCTTGATTCTATTTTTAACGCTAAACAAGCCCTAGGCCAGACTAACATCATCCTAAGTCTGATAATAGGAATTATTGCAAAAAGGCCCGTGTAATTAACCACCGTAATCTTCTATGTATCCAAGACGTTTAAGCAGAAATAGACCAGATGAAACGAGAATTTCCCCGGGACCTGGATTCTTCCCAAAACTTCATTTTCCTCGTATCGATAGCAGCGCCAGTCTTGCAACTTGGATAACGTAAATCGATTCTACCAGACCAAGGCTTTCGCAGTGAAACAAATCACAGTCAAGCCCCGGCAACACACCGGCGCCCGGGTGATGGACATGATGCAGCGGAGGTTATCAGCATCGTTCCGGGCACCATGGGACCAATCCCAGCCCGGCATATTACGCCGATGCCCCAAGTACCAACCCGGTGACAGCTACATGAACTGTCAGCCAATATACTACACCAATTGGTACCTTGAACAGCCGCAAGCTTACTGGGCGACTAAGAGATGCTAGTAGTTGTTACACTTGGGGAAATAAATGACACAGTTTATATCCCAGGCGCGTGTTCTTCAAGTTAAAAACAAATTTCACCAGTCAGATATTTGAAACTTTGGGAAACCCAAGGTTTCAGCTTCCCACGTGTTCCAAGGCTGTAAGGCTGATCTTGAAGTTTAACTCTTTAACTCTATGTGGAACGTGCATGGACCCCAATCATTCAGGAACAAAGCCATTGTATTATAAACTCTGTCTGCAGTTATTGACTTTGAGAGATATAATGCTTGCAAAACACAGTTGAAACCAAGAAGTTGCACAAAAAAAAAGACACATCCATATTTCGTGCAGATATCCCATCAGTCAAAGGCAAAGGTCTCACCCTGCGGGTAATTTCCTTGAGCGCAACTCTACGAATTTGTGGCTCCATTAAAGTAAAAGTTCCCTGGGGTCCAAGATCCCAACCAAGTAGGATTCCCAGAAGCAGAACCAGACATAGCAGTCTTGTTTGTAGCATCATCATCATCATTACCACCACGAGACTCATGAAGCCACCCAGTAATGATCGACCGAACAATTCCATAACCACCATCTGCATGACCAGTAAACTTCGTCATGTTGTAATGATCAGCACTGATACCGCATTTATCATAGCCCTGCAGAACAGCCGAGTGTTCTTCAACAATCTTTCCCACTATATCATTCATATTCCTCGCTTCGTAGAAACAGAAGACCTTGAGTGAGAGGTCTCCACGACGAAGCATGGACTGGAACTCATTCCCAGCTAATTGCACACTGTTTGATCCTGAATGGAGAGCCCCAACCATATCCCTGTTGGCGGTGTGGACTATATTCATCCCCTTTGCGAGTTTTTCTCGGTAAGAAGCGAGCGAAGATCCATATTGCGGTGTACCCATGAAAATTATCCCGATGGCGCTTGAGGATATCGCCCATAGTCCATCTATGGAGTTGCTGAGGATCAAGGCTTGTTGGCAGACCAAGCCGCCTAGACTGTGTGCGATGAATAGGATGGGTCTGCTTGAGCAGTCGATTCGTTGGCTGACGATTGCGAAGGCTAGGGATTGGCTGTGGTCGTAGAGTCTATCTGAGAAGGTAATTGAGGTAAAGCTGAATATGTCGACGTCGTAGCCGAATGTCATGATGCGTGCCGTGGATAAGTCCTTGGAAAGAAGGTCTCGGGGCCACAAGGTTCCGTTTTCGTGAGTCCATGTTTTCTCGCGGTTGCCGGTGAGTCCATGGACGAAAACAATGCTAGTTGATGTATCTTAGTTTGTGTATCATATTTGAGTTTTTGGATCATCCACTTTTGAGACGCCTTTTAGGAGAAGATGGACAGACTCACTCCAGGTCAGCATTCGAAGGATCAGATAGCACCTTCATCCCAATTGCACCTTCTGTAGGGTACCTCGGCATAATTAGCTCGGTAGACCATTTCGCTATCATGCAATCTTACAGACTGTGTTTTGGAACACCGGGTTTCGTCTTCCTGAATAGCGAGAGCTTCATAGTGGCGAACTATATGTGACCTTGAGTCCAATACGCGAATAGACCAAAGATCGACGACAAAATAGTGAGATAGAGTCAATAAAAGAGGCAACCTCAGAAACGAGCCGGTGAGTGGTAGGACGATTTTAAAACTCTTAATCCTGCCTGTTAACCGCCCTCTTCTTGAAATCATACGGAGAGACCCCTGTCCGGAGCTGACGAACCGTACTGCATTACACAGTATCTTAACTAAACCACATGTCTTATTACTGTCCATTATACACGCCCATATTAAAATCATTATAGGTTACACAAGAATATCCCGATTAAGATGGCTGCGAACACGCGTTTCCATGAGGAAGATATCGGGCCGGGATTTTCGTGGTAGCCCCGCAGGGTCAGGCGCAGGACTCCCATATCGACAATTTAAATGGTTGAATGAGCAATCCGTGCATAATTGGGCTCGTCTCCAGCAGCGCTGCTAGGATACTATACACTGAATTATGATTTTAGGCCGTGAGGGTCCTATGACCAACATGTTCAGGCTTCTCTGCGCTTGGCTACGAGATAGCAGGGATAATTAGGCTCTCATGCTTGAGAATTTTGATGGTTATCGCTTCCTTAATGCAAGCCTGTAATTGGGCGTATATCCGGATTTAATTACTAGCGCTTCCTTTACCGGTAGTTGGCTCACATCTTCCGAGTTCTAGAATTGGGACCGATGCCACTTCCTACAAGTGCAATTGGTGAGCACACATCGGCTAGCAAGTTACCAGATCATGTAATCTATGTTGTATTGACTAGATAGCTAGCACACCGGTGGAGTCAGGCTAACTCGATTGAACCGTAAGTACTAGACGGAAGAAAGATCCACCCTAGGAATACACAACTTGGAAGCTAGGAAACTTTAATCTACATAGGGTGCCATGAAATTGATAACAAGGTGCGTGGAACTGAGGGAGAGGATTATAGTCCGGCATCCGGGCATGATTCAAATTTCCACCAGTTAATGGAAGGGCTAACGGGTTAGTTCTCAAGAGGAAGTATCAGATCGGATTGATCATACGCTCATTTAAAGGGAAGCCGGCAATATCAGCGTAAAGGCTTCTATCCGGGTGTGATAATTTTGACATGTTCTGAGTAAATTTTCAATAGAATGGGGTTTCATAATACCCCAATCGAATTGATGACAATATGGATAAAGAAGGTAAAATAGTGACGACTCTCAACACTCCTATTAAACGAATGGCCCATGTAACATCATGAATTTCTAACAATGGACAGGTTGGTATCATTGCAGAAGCACCAAAATAAAAGTACCCCAAGGGTAACAAAATAAAAAACAGCAGAAAGGTATCACAGCAGAAAAATTCGTCACGCGTAAAGTTCTGAAGTTGCCTCGAAGGGGGATTAGCATGGTCGTACTGAGGCGCTAATCTGGAAATATGGAACACCCGGGGGACACGGGGTTGAATGTGGGAGACAGAGGACACGGGGTGGTTGAAGAGGGTACACGCCGGTCGGAACGGGTGAGATAGAAAGAACAAGGACAAGAAAGAAAAGTTCGAAATGCAAAGATGTAAACAGAAAATAGGATGGGGGAAAAAATAAAAATAAAACGAGAGGCTAAAATGTTTCATGTATTATTCATCCTTCGTTTTCTCCCGCGAGCGCTACCAAGCGGCCTTTGCGCGAGAACCTGTCGGAGAATGGGATCGTCTTTATTTTTGTCGACGTGGTGTACACGGACATGCCTATGTGAGTGTGTAAGTTCAGCTGATATCAGATTGAATGAGGCTCGAATGTAGCACGAACCGTTGAAGATTGTCGGGTCGCGGGTATTTATGTTGCTGGTCTGGACAGAAGGGACAGACGTAGCCTGGGGAGTTGTGTACGAGGCCATGGCGCATCATTTCATTCTTGCGCTTGAAGCCTTTCCCGCCGAGTGCGCGCGGACAGCCCTCTACTGGGCAGAAGTGTGGGCGATCTTGGGAGTGCACGTTTGCATGAGAGCTACTATTTCGTTAGGTCCATGGGGGTTTCACTTATGTCATCTTTTTGGTCTTACTTGAGGAGATACTGAGTTTGGAAGGGTGCAGCAGTGCACCCAGGATGGGTACACTTGTAACTACCCACTGGACCCCCATTGGCCTGGGGAGTGGATACAGCGAGCGGATGTCGATCACCCATACCAACGCCAACCTGTTCCGTGGGCGTAGGATAGCTAGTTGCTGGGCTTTTGGCGGTCATAGGGGAGGCCTCATACGGGGTCTGGACGGACAGCATCTCAGACTGGGGTGTTCCGCGCCAGAAGGATGAGTGGGAGGCCGGAGAAGGGTTGGTAGATGAGTCCTTCAGACTCACCGGCGAAAAGTGAGAAAAGGGACTTGCAGGGATGGAAAACTTTCCTGGAAAAGCGCGGTCGAATGGAGAATCGTTGCCTGATGTAGTTGATCCGGGACACGAGGAGAAGGGGTAGGGAGATGGGATTGTGTTGACTGGTGGGCCGAAGTCCGATAATTCGCTGATAGCTTTGTGGATGGACGGAAGCGTTTGTTTATTGCTGCCATCTGGAGATTTTGCAAAAGATGATCCAGAAGCTGGTTGGCTCAACTTTAGTGATGGGAGGGGAAATTCAGACTTGATTTCCGAAGACGTTTTGAGATATGGCAACCCTTGTGGAGATCGTTGGCTTAGGCCACTGATTGATGGTACTCGCTCTCTTTGAATCTCAGTTTTAATCTCAACCTCTGGCTCTTTAGGCTGTAATGGGGCTGGGAACAATCTCTTCTGGGAGGGTTTGATCTCAGTGTCTTTATGTGAAGCTAAGCCTGAGCCCGAGGTCGTGAGTTCCAATGAGGCCTTTCGTGGAGGGTCACCCCTTGAAAATGGATTTGACCTCCCTCTGGGATCGAAGTCCGGCGGTTGCTTAAAATTTTTGAGATTCCCAGGTAATGGTTCCAATGGAGCAATCCTTGCCGTTGTGGCAATCTCTGGGTGGTTCGGAGCTAGAAACCCCATCAGTACTCGGTCGCCCTCACGGGTTGAGTTCTGAGGTTTCGGCTGGTTGGGCTTACGGGAACCCGCATCATCTTTTTCGTTAATTGAAACAAACGGTGGTGGTGGTGTTTCGGTCTCTCCATAGTTGGGTTTGATCGCCTCCATAGGAGGCGACTTATTAAAAGCGTCATCCGAGTCATACATAGCGGACTTGGTGAATAAATTGGCAGGTGCATCGGGCACCTCGCCTTATACTTGTTGTTCTGACAGATTGAATTGACGATCACACATCAGAACTGATGATAGTAGCCTGTAAGATATGGTTAGAGTTGGGTTATTGTAATTGTGACTCTTCCGATGATCGGAATTTAAAATAAAAGACAATATAAGTGCATAGAATAGAAAATTAGAAAAGCAAGCGATTCCGACACAATGCGACTGCCCATCTGCAAAGCGTCGAGATGAGGAGATGAGGGGTTGTCAGGTCAGGATGACCCGGAGAGAATAAAATGAAAACCAAACAGGTCCGAGAGCACAAGAAAGAAAGACCAAGGAAAGAAGAAAGCAAAGCAAAAGAAAGAAAAGAGAAAGAGAGAAAAAAAAAAAAGAAAAGAAAACAAGGAAATCCAAGGCTCTAGACTACTCAGTTTCGAAGTCTGCAGAAAGTGCACTTACCCAAGGGGAAAGGTGGACGCGGGTAGTGAATGGGTCCCGGGATGAGGCTCAAAAGCTCCGATTGTCACTGCGCCATCTGCAGATGAATAATATCACCCGGAAGTGTGCAGGTAGAAAAACTGTACAGTCTTGTCTCAAGGGTAGAAAAGAAAGGAAAAAAACTAAAGGAGAAGTTGCAGGCTTCGGGAAGAAAAAAAAAAAGGTGTCTAAGGGTGAGATAATACCACGTTCTACACGTGCAAGTTAGGGCCTAGCAATATCTACCAGTATAATGCCAGTATCAGATGCAAGAGAAAAAAAAAAAGAAGAAAAAAAAGACGAGAACACAGAGAAAAGGAGAATAAACGTTCAAAAGGAATATTCGAGGGGGTGGGAGAAGAAAGACATGAGGCTCTCTCTCAACTCGGGGCTCCACATAATAGATTACATAGTTTACCGTGACTTGTACCTAGGTAACCAGTAATGTTCTATTATTATTCGGGTTTTTATAATTTGCGTATTTTTGTTTTTTTTGTGGTTTGGATTTCTATTATTTTCTGGTTATTTTCAACTTATACTATCATAATAGTACTATACTCCCTTCACTTTTCCAACTTCTCTGCTGACACCCCCCCCCTGACTTACCTTATTTCCCCCTCTACTCGGAGCATTTGAACTTGGTCGCACATAAACAGCAAGAAAAAAAATGGAAAAGAAAAACGAAAGGGAAAAAAAAGGTCCCCACCGCTACTCTCTGCTATTCAGGCTCCACCATTAAACTCGGAGACAACAACCGGGGGGGTGCAACTCTCTGAGTCGTTTCCCCTCTCTCTCTCCACTCCCCCAGTCAGTTATACCCGGCTAGGGAAGCTGCACGAAGAGAGGGCCCACACGGTCTGTTCACTTTTCTCCCATTTCCTCTTTTTGTCCCGCCTTTTGGTCCTTTTTTTTCGCCTCCTTTGCAACGTCAGACTCAAGTCTGCGCTGGCACACTAACAGCGAGCCTCGAGCCGTCAGCCCGAGGGATCTTCAGGCTTTCCCGGTTTGGTTGTCAACGCGCTGTCTGCGGCAAGGAGATCGTCCGGCCCACGTTGTTTCAGAGCCTCGTTAAGAGGTCTCTCTTAGTACCAAAGTATACCATAGTTCTATTATTCTATTATTCTATCACATTTGTACTCTGTACGGTGTACATTTGGTGTACATAATATACATGATACGCTAGAATAACTATAATACTACGCTATACTACCTGCATAGGATGTGCTGTCCAACCCAGTCGGCCACAATCCGAAACCCCTAATTCCCGTGCCCTTATCCCCAGCCGCATCCCCCTCAACCCCCTCACACTAGTGAAGAGTGGAGGAGAATGAAATTAGTTAATTTGAAACTGCCTATTTGAATAACCAATATCCCAAACTTATTGAAATCTATATCCTTGGAAAGAGCAAAAAACAAGTGGGTTCTTCAACCCCCCCTCAGCCTCACTTACGCGTAGAGCCGCAGGTCAACAAAAAAGCCTCACCCTTTTCCCCTCTTTAATAGCCAATCATAATTCACTATCTGCATGTCTACTGCCTGGGCTCAACGGACATTACACAATGCGGTATTCCACCTTGCCACCTCTCCGCCTTTCCACCTTTCCGTTATTTTCACTTAGAACCATCACCACTTATACCTATCCTATTCTCTATATCCTATATACCTATATATGTACTCTGTATTATTCTTATATTTTGAACCTACCTCATTGCCCTAAATACTAACTTTCACCCGGTAGTGATCGGATAAAATGGCGTACATAAACGTGATATACTCGCAGGATATTATACGATACATTCTCAAATGTTTGTCTATATCGGGATAAGTGCTTACACCTACACGTCAGGTGCCAAAAGTACCCGTAGACTTGAATCTAGCTGTTCTAGGCTACATCAACCATCCAAGTGGGGATTAGTTTCATAGTGGAGAGTTGAGTTCTGGACTAGCCTTTACATACTAACCTGAAGAGTCCAATTTAGATTTAGATCGGGCCATGTCAAGCTACATTATACATGCAGCCATCTACATATAGACGGGCGCTAGAATCCAAGTGAGAAAAAAAAAAGCCCAGGCCTCGATTCTGAATATATACAATGTCACAAACCCGAAACCCTTCAAAACTCTCCCCCGTAAATACTGTCAACAATCCACGATTTATAGAGTGTAATATAGACTACAACTTCCCCTCACTAGCCCTCTTAACAGCCCGAACCCTCTCCCATGCCCCCTCAGCAAACGGCTTTGCCCTCTTTGCATAATCACTAGCCCGAGCACTACTAGCCTGTCTCCCAGCAAACCGGGCCGCAATGCCCTGCATGATCACGGAGCCCCGGAACGCAAAGAACGCATCGCCCCACGCCACGTCGGAGCTCGTCTCGTACCCAGATGTCTCGGCGTACCACCCAATGCACTCCTCGCGCCGCGGCAGTCCTGGAACAACCCCCGGCGCGAACTGCGACAGTTGGCTGTCCCCACCGTCCATTATGTACGGGCTCGTGAGATTGCAGAAGTCCGAGAGCGGGTGTCCTACGGTCGCCATTTCCCAATCTAGAATTCCAATCACGCGCGGCTCGGTCTTGTGGAAGATCATGTTGTCGATCTTGTAGTCCCCGTGCACGAGTGTGCCCCGGTCCAGTGGTTGCGTGTTCTTTTGTGAGAAGAATGTCACCATGTCGTCGAAGTGGGGGAGTTCGCCGACGGGTTCTTTGGTGTCGACATCGACGACGGCGGCTTGGGCTTTGGAGATGGTTTTGAATGTGGCGATTTGACGGTCGAAGAAACCTGTCGGTTTGCCGAAGGTTTCGAGTCCGACGCTTTTAGGGTCTACGCTGTGGAACTTGGCGAGGGTTTGTACTGCATTCTTCCACCTGGAGGGGGGCACTTGTTAGTAATGTGGAGTCCCTGGCTGGCGGGGGGGGCTTGTTGGAGCCTCAATTGCGTGACGTACAGTGCTTTCCTCTCCTCTCCGCTCACGCCTGGCATCGCTGGGTCGGTGAAGTGCCGCCCGTCTAGGAACTCCATGATGTAGAATGCTGTTCCAATCACGCTGTCATCTTCGCAGAGACAGTACGCCTTGGGAACGGGTACATCGGTACCTCCCAATGCCCGGATAATCTTGTACTCGCGCTCGACTTTATGAGCTGTCTTCGAGAGCAGCTTGCCAGGGGGCTTCTTGCGCAGAACAACCTGCTTGCCATCAGCGGCAGTAAGAAGGTAGGTAGGGTTTGATTGACCGAAGCCGAACTACAGTGATAGGATATTAGTTGGTCTGTTTGATATTGCTGATTCTTTTTTTAATTGACGGGGCCAGACTCGCCTGCTTCACATCAAGTGGAGTCTTGACCTCGGGCACATTCTGGTCAATGTACTTCTCCAACGAGGGGATATCTATAGGCTGACGCACTTCTCCCGCCATGATGTCGATATGGAATAAAGAAAAAGACTGTTCAAAAAAGGCGTATGTATTTTGCAAAGTAACGACGGGTTTAAATTAATATGTACAAGGAATGCAATAAATGCCCCCCAACACCTACCTCCTCGGCGTGACCGGGGGACCTCGGCCCCAGCAACTCCTCGGCGTTCACCGCTCTCCATCGAGCGGGGAGCACAGAACAAGCAGAACAAACAGAACAAACACCCGACGCGTCCCAGCGGTGAAACGCGCAGTCGAACGTGGAGCTCACCGCAATTTTTGTGCAGCTAGGGACTTGTAACTTGCATTAGCCAATTCACTACGGACTAAGGACTACTGTGGAACCCCTATTATTTTCAACCCTCTATCCACTTCAATTCTCGATCTTCGATCCTCCATCCATTTTTGTGTTTTATCATGACCAAAGAGACCACCCCACCACCCCAAGAGAAATCCCTCCCCGCGCACAATCCGCCTTCCCTCCCTGCCTCCCCGCTGCCGAAACGATCAAAGCCCGACACAATGACTTCCGCCGCCGTTACCTCAATCCAGCAGCCACTGCCTCCGCTGCTTGTTAAGAAGCTTGTTGAGTCTGCCCAGGCTCCGACTCGCGGCTCGGCTTTTGCGGCTGGATACGATATTTACGCTGCCAAGGAGACTGTCATCCCCGCCAAGGGCAAGGCCGCTGTTGATAGTGGCATTGCTATTGCTGTGCCTGAGGGAACTTGTATGTGACTATACCCGTGATTGGGATTGATTAAATTGAGAACTTTAGCGAAGCTCTCTGCTTGTTGAGGCTGAGCTGGGTTAAGAGTCAATTCAATACTAATGAGGAATATAGACGGCCGCATTGCTCCCCGTAGCGGTCTTGCTGCTAAGCACTTCATTGACACCGGTGCTGGTGTCATTGATGCCGACTACCGCGGTGAGGTCAAGGTGCTTCTGTTCAACCACTCTGATGTCGACTTCCCCATCAAGGCGGGTGATCGTGTTGCCCAGCTGGTTCTGGAGCGGGTGAGTTCAAGCTATTGATATGCTGTATTTTGTGTGAATTTCTCTAACCAGCTCTAGATCTACACCCCTGAAGTCAGCGTTGTCGAGGAGCTAGAGGAGAGTGTCCGTGGTGCCGGTGGATTCGGTAGCACTGGCATTTAAGGGCCATACCTCGGCACAAAGTTGGGAGGACAGACGAAAATTAGATGGGTTCTGGGTTTAAAACGAACCTAGTTATGATTACATGTATTTGAGATTATGTGTGACTGAATGAATATAACATATAAAAAAAAAAGATTCCATGCTTGATACAATAATCAAATCTATGTGCAGACCGAACCGGTTTTTGATATAGAGATGGCCACCGACCCGGCTTCATCTAATGCCCTCCCCAAATCCTTCTATCATCTAACCATGTCTCATGCAAAAGATACATATAAACCCTACCCAAAGCCTACCGCAGGTCCTTAGGAAGATCCTCCTTCTTCCAATCCTGCACCTTAAACAGGATCTTCGGATCCCGTAGAACCCGCGTATTCCTCACAAGCCTAACCTCCGCAGCCTTAGTCCTGCGCAAATAATCCCTCTTCTGCAATTCCTCGGCCGAAGCCTCTCCCTCCAACGCAGGAACAGCAACCGCCAGCTCCGCATCCCGACTCTCCAGGGTCCGCTCCAGAATACTATGCATACTGGACAGAACCTTGACAGTGGCGCTAGCCAGCGGCAGATCCGTAGCCGCGACATCATCGGGCGAAAGCCACGATTTGGTTGTGCGCAGACCATCCACTGCGGAAACAGCTTCGCTTAGACGTGCGACGGTCAGCGCGGCGAACATATCACCCGTCCCGCTGAAGAAGCAGTCCAGTGCTGGGACATCGACGCGGAATAGTCGTGGCGATCCGTCGGAGCGCGTGGTTGAACCAATTACTGTTAGGAAGTTCTCTGGTGGGGGTGGGGTTGAGCCTGATTGGGAGAGCTTGAAGAGTTGCACTGAGGTGATTATCACGTGTGGCACTGAGTAGATCTTGTGGATGGCTGTTACTGCTGAAGCGAGGGTTTCTAGGGATGTTATTTTGATGCCGGAGAGGGTCCTGCGTTATTTTATATTAGTGACCATGTTTGGGTATGTAGTTGAAGTTAAAGTTCGGACGACTTACTCGGCTTCGAACTGGTTAGGCAAAATCAGATCCGCAAAGGGGATGATTTTCTTGTATGCGGGGACTACGTCGTCGTTGACATAGAGCCGGCCTTGGTCGCCCATGACTGGGTCCAGGACTGATATTATATTAGTGTCTGTATTTGGGAGAAATAGTGGGGGGGGTGCTACTTACCCCAGAAAAATGATCCGGGCTTCTTCTCTGCTTTCTCTTGCAGATCAATGCCGATAGTGCCTACTGATTCGACGGCTGCTGCACTCGGGGCGTAGCCCGATAACATGACATCAAAGTCTGTGAGGTTACTCTGGCACAGGCCCTGGTAGAGGTCTGAAATTTCCTGTGCGGTGGCACGAGTTCCCTTGAATTGGCGGTAGCCAGTGTGGTTACCTGCAATTTCATGTAAGTCAGGGCTGAGATTATCAAGTCCGGGTTGCAACGTACTGAAATGGACGGTGTTCAACGCAGCGACTTCGCAGCCCAGGGATTGCATGACGAAGGTTGCCATTGTGTTTCCGACATGACTGGAGAGAGGAAGTTAGTTCATTGACTCCAATGGTGTCTTTCAAACTTGATAGACGGCGTTATCAGTCTTGTCACATACCCGTAGACTACCTAGTGGAAATGTCAGCTTATGATCCGAAGGAGGGGGTAGTTTCACTTACATGACTGGCAACAGCCAGAACTCTGGTCTCAGGCACTAATGAATCCATGATAAGTTTTAAGTTAAGTCAGTTGAATATAAAGAGTCTATCAAGTTATCTCATATATGTTGCTATGACTCGTGTGTGGGGGGTCCGGGGGGATGATTTACCGAAATTCCTCTTACCTAATTGGCTCCGAGAACCGAGTCCGTTATCAGAAGGGAAAGAAATGAATTGGATTTGATAGTATTATTTAATATATGTTGTATATACTCCGTAATTATAGTTATAGTTATAGGGATGTAGATCTAGATATATAAGATTATAGACTCAATTAAGTGCTATAATCCCAAGGTTATTTATTAACCATCAAACTTCCGAGGTCCAAACACAGAATGATCTCCAAACCCGTGGACCCAATTGTGTCACAAGATCTCCTTGACCGGACTAAATTTCACTTTCCATCCCCCGTTATACTTCCTTCATGCTTCGGTTTTAGAATGAGACAGTTTCCGAATGACAATGATATCTAGACCAGTCGGGACAGGGAAGGGGATAAAGCAAACACTCCCTAAAAAATGGGAGATAATATCCTAGTCGTTTCCAACGGTCTCGGCCTATGGAGTACCTACAACATACTAGGTAATGGATCTACTCTATACGGGGCACGGAGTACGGGAGTATATTCCAAAATAGCAGAGATATCTCTTAGTAGGAACACCCCCTGAACCCGAAAGCCCATGGAACGGTCTAGTTCGTGCTAGTGGTACACTCGGAGTCCTCTAGCGCATTGGCAACACGTTCTCGGCCTTGGCCAATGCGAATGTCCTGGGAACTAAAAAAACAGTCCCCATTTTAGCCTTTTCTGCAACCTTCCAGGGTTAATGGGTCTTACCTCGTGTGCTTCTCAACTTTGACTTCATCAACTTCATCTTCTCAGGGAATATCCATTCCCTCAGTCACTCCTTTCAATGAAGTACTGATCGTCCCTAATTCGTCACACAATGCCGGAATAAAACACTTCTTTGTTCCCGCACTCGTCGACCAGCAGCTCTGTCACTCATTTAACATACAAAGACTGTCCTTGCTCATAATAATTCATACTTGACCGTTGATGTCCGCGCCTCGATCTCAAATCGACGACATAACGCCAAAATGTCCCGTCTTTACCATATCTACAACCTCCTAATTCTAATAACTATTCTCTGTCTATCAACCACACGGGCCGAATCAGTGGAACCCACAGACCTGCCCGTGCCACGATCGGCCTGGCATCCAAGTGGAGAGATCAAGACCACAGATCGACAATCACTTCAAGCACTCACAGAGGAAGCAACAACGACAATACGCCGACGAACAATAGTCACAGCATCAACCTCCACAACAGGAATGCCCAAGCCCTTCGACACACTTTCCTACAATTTCGCAAACTCAACCACCTGCATCGACTTCTTCACAAAATGGCGCGCAAACACAACAATCTCAAACTGCAATGCCATCTCCCTGCTAATCGAGAACTCAAACGCCTTCTTCCACGCCCTAAGCTCAGCAGCCGCCACCTCCCTCATCCTAGATACATCCTGTTCGGCAGATGTCTCACAATGCGCATCGATCATGACCGCTCTCGCAGCCGATCTCCTCAAACCAGATAACTGCGGCGACGACTATGAAAACGGTAACTCCGTCGTCAAGGGCACGTATCGCGATCTCGTCGCTTACGAACCAATGTACCGTGCTAGTTGTCTCACGAACCCTTCGACCAAGGACTACTGCTTCGTCGACGCGGTGTCGAATTCAACAGTACCCGATGACTACAGTGTCTACCTCATGCCACTGGGTACCCCGCTTACCAGCGGGGCTGTGCCGACTTGCAATAAGTGTTTGAAAGCGACTATGGAGTTGTTTTCTGGGTGGGCGAGACGGGATGGTCAGTCTCTTGATTTGACTTATCTTCCCTCGGCGAAGATTGTTAATACGCATTGTGGGGATGGCTTTGCGGCGACTAATATCACCGTTGGTTCGGCGGATGTCAGGGCTGGGGCGGGTCTTGCTGTTCCCTTGCCCAAACTTGGAATTGTTACTGTCATGACTTTGGTTCTTAGTGTCATGCTGACAGGCTTTTGATATGGATGATTTTGTCTGTTCTTTCTGTTCTTGTTCATACACACTCTCTTTTCTTGTGTATCCTTTTGGGGTCCGTCTGCCCAGCTGGGTATGGCCATGGTTGATGTCAGCGAGCGTGTTTTTTGTTTTGGTTTTCTGGTCTGATCGTTCTGATCTGTATGTAATTTTTAGTGATATTCATATTTTGCTCTGTAGCAGTTATTAACTCTGTTATTTTCCTTATTTGCTTCTTTCTGTATTCAATCGGGTTTAACTCGATTCGTTCATATTGTCTTTGTTAGAGTCCCAAGATTCGATAGTGCCAAAAAAATGGCCGAGTCAACAAATGTATTCCTCAGACGCCATACAATATGAGTATTCACAAGTATATCCACACCTATAAATAGACACAATATAAACAAGACAAAGAAATCACATCTGAAATCATGGTTTGAGTGCGCATAGTTCGTCACGCATAAAGAATCTGACAAAGACAGCAAAAAAAAAAAAAAAAAAAAAAAAAACGCTCACTGACAAGAAAATGTTATTTAAAAAAAGAAGACCGCAAACCCTCATCAGCTCCTCCTCTTCAACCCTCCTCCCATAGCAACACCAACAAGGCTCTGCGGCTCACCTCCAAAGCTAGCCCCAGGACTCGTAGGAATCGGCGACCCGCTACCAGAAATAGGACTTTGTGTAGCGGCATCTCGTTCCCGCTTAACACGGATATGCCCCAGCTTCGCGAAGCGGCCAACATGCGTCCAGAAATGACGACCGGCTGGGTGTACAGCGATGCGATCGAGAAGATCGGCTGTCGCTTCGCGGACGACCTGGTCCGGATGGAACAAGCCCATACTGACATAGAAGAGACCGGCCTGGTTCTCCGGTGCGACGGTTAGGAGCTGGCAAATGCCGGCGTAGTCCTTGACGGAGTGGGAGAGGGCGAGGTAGATGGACGCGGCTTCGGAGTGGGAGAGTTTTAGGGCCCGAAGACGGTCGTGGTGGTGGTGGATATCTGGGCGTTGGATTGGACGCGCGGGGAAGTACATTGCTGCGATATCTTGGATATAGGAGTAGTAGGAGCGGGTATTGCGCCAGCCTTCAATTCGGGAGACGGATGCTGAGAGCTCGCGTTGCTTGGCTGTTTCGTCTGTCCATACGTATCCGTGCCCGTGGAGAGTTGTTGGATCTGAGGCGTCGCTTTGGTGGCCGGTTGGGCTGTCTGGGGAGAGTTCTTCGCCTGGGCCGATGATATAGAGGTTTGAGGCGCCGTATACTGCTTCTTCGAACGCCGCGGCGACGCGGACGAATTTCGTTATGTAGGCTCGCCATTTTGCGCGGACGGCATTCTCGCCGTGGCGTTGGCTGATGCTGCGGAGGATGTCTTCTATGAATAGTGTGTCGCCTGTTGGATCATTGGTCGTGTTGGATGCACTGTTGGGTAGTAGAGAATTTTGCTGTTGGAAAAACAGAAGCCCTTCTGTTACCGGCGCAGGTTCAACGTGACTTGAGATCTTGATGCGACCTGTCGGGAGGTCGCACATAACGTCCCACCATTCAGGATGGTTGGCAAATGTAGGGTTTGTGACTCCTGCAATAAACCCAGGGACCTTGAGAAGATCATCGATCTTTGACAGATCAGTATAAGGGAATGCGTGTCGAGTAAATCCACGCAGAATGCCACCGGATGCAAGAGCGCAGGCCGCCAGGACCGCCTCTGCAACTTCTCCCGATGGCCGGTTGTGTCCTAGGAATACAACCCGCTTCTGAGTAAGGATAGCGTTGACAAGAACAATAACGGGGTGTGTGAATGGACCGCTGGTTGTCAAATGGGGATGCGCTGGGAAAGCCTGGGGGGGTTGTGGCATGCGGAACGGCGAACGTCTGAATGAGCTTAATGAGGGAGAAGTCTCCAACGGTCTCCGGCCAAATCACTGTCGGGATTTTGACCGGTATGGGGATGTCATTGTAGACCACCTTCGACTCGTACTCATGTGTATCCCGTGGTAGGGCGTATCGGCTGATTTTCTTCGGTGACGGGGGACATTCCCCATCTTGGAGTTCTTCTTCTTCCCGCTGGCGGATCATTTGTTCGAACTTCTCCAGGAACATATCCTTTGTGTTGCTAGATTGCAAGATATGCCGCTCAAGTATCGACATTTTTGGCATTAACGAAAGGTCCATGGCGTTAACGGCGTCGTAAAGGGATGCCAGAGTTTCGGGGAATGGAGATTTGAAGTAGTCTTCCAGCGCTAGGAGTAGTAAAGGCTGCATAATGTCAGGATTGCCTGGGTGCTAGGACTCGGAGTAGCATAGTAGCTTACTTTGTAAATGTGGAGGAATGAATGTCGCGTACAGATTGCCATTGCCTTGACTACTGCGCCTCTGTTCGCTGTTAGCATTCGTACATTCAGACAAGACAGTAAGACCTACCTTCGGACCGTGTTATCCTGCTTAGTATTGACAAGATTCAGCACATACATCAAGGGTGGCCCTTCACCACCCTCGTCGTCGCTACTGTCGGGATCATCGGAGGTCTCGTCGAAGTTCTCGTCCTGGATATCGGCTCCCTCCTGGTTTCCATGGTATTGTGATTTCCGCTTTCTTTTCTTCTTTCCCCCCGCTGAATCCGTTTCTTCGTCGCCGCTGGTGTCTTTGTGTAAGAAGAACATGGTCCAGTCCTGACTCCGTACATGCGTCTGATCCGGCAGCATCAGCTCTGCAAGCATGCTCTCGTCCCCACTGATTGCAGCGGGATACTGGTGCTCCATGATCGGGCCCCGATCAATATGGAAGGACGCAACCAGGATGTATTCCACATGGCGCTCCGGCGAATCGAGCGGGTACTGCGCTTTGCAGCGGCGTGGCCTGAAGCTTGAGGTCGCATGGTCTGTGGATGTTCTTCGAAAAGAGCCGTGTGAGCTGCTGGGCGACCGTCCGATAAAGGAGGCCGCAGGCGAAAGTCGAGGAAGACCACTTGTTTGGCGGTTATTCGAGGCGGAGAGGGAGTCGTTCGACGGTCGATACGGTAGTGTCGTTGCCATCTTCTGGGGCTGTTGGGGATAGAGGATTGCTCCGGGCCAAGCTATAAATCGAGTGGCATACCGGGGGCACAAAAAGCACACCGTCAAGGGCCAATGATAATATTAGTTGAATTAATTGTCTCGAATTAACTGTTCAGGGGTTAAGAGGGGTTAAGAAAAAGGACGATTTCTCCACAGTGGAGAGACGATAAGGCGATAAGATCCATATACCACCCAGGGTTGAACATGGGAGGACGATCTATTAGAATGTAATTTCCCTTCTTTTCTACAGTACTCCGTACTTTGCAGATCTTTCTATTTATACTTAGGAATTTCCATAGACTTGACATATCCGATTGTTACAGTCTAGAACATCTACCAAAAAGCAATACTCGCCACTTAATTGTGTCTTACCCGGTATAGCGCAGGAAGAGAGAGAGAGAGGCAACATTGAGTATTGAATACTTGACTGCTCTATAGGTGTAACATATCCGGAGAAAGGTTGAATATTTGACTTAGCGTGCACCGGTATTATCCTTCATAATTGAATTTTTGGAAGCCAATCGAAGGTTGATGTGACGAGTATGATTCCTTATAGATGTACATGTAAACGAACACTGCATGCGAATTTATGCAACACCTAGTCAGCTAGGGACTAATTTACTTAAATAACATAAACAGACTTTATAGATCTATGTAGCAAGGTCGAATTATAAATATTAAAACTAAGCAAGGAACACAATATGTATACAACTGAGGATAAACTGGGGTATGTTTATATAGATAGCATGGGGCGGTGGGAAAGACGGTGGCAAAATTATGTTGCTGTGCCGGGTTTGTTTACATCGATAAGCAAGCCTTCGTCATAGGCTGTCTGCAATTCATAATTCAGCTCATACGCGATTTTCACCATGGTAAGTGAAGGTTTTAAAAATGATATACCCATTAAGACTAATCGACAATGACCTAGGCCAACAATCCTACATTCAAACCATCGCCCTTATCCTTTGGGTCGCCGAGGGCATCCCCGTTCCGGCGCCCGTCCACCCCAAACTCCCCGCCCTCAGCTAGTCGCACAGGAGGAGGCACCCCGGGGAGCTCTCCCAGTCGGGCATATACACCTATGGTGTCGCCCAGCAAGCTCAATCAATCATATACAGTGGAGGATGGCGAATCGCGTTCTCCGAAGAGCGAGCGGCCCATTCCTCAGCCGAACTTTGGCAGAGAGCTCTCTCCTTCCCCGACGAAAGGAGCGCGGTCGCCAGGAAGTTCATCCCCTATTATTGGGACAAGAACAGGTGGCTTTACCGCCCCAGCTGGCGATGCGGCTGGAAAGCTATCGGCGCAACAAGTGAGAGAGATTAGAGAAGCTTTCCAGGTTCTCGATCGGGATAACGACGGGCTCGTGGACAAAGATGATGTGATTGATGTGCTAACAACTTTGGGTAGGAAGAAACCCCATTTATTTTCTTTTGATATTGGTATAAGGAACTAATCCAAGTGTTTGAACAGGCCAAGACTCGTCCTCCTCTACGCTCTCGCGCTTTTTCCCGCCGGGATCGGGCCATACTATGAACTTCCCAACCTTCTTGAATACACTTTCAGGACTGATGGCATCGATGTCACCTTCGCAGGAGCTTCTCAATGCTCTTGCCGCATTTGATGACGATGACAATGGGCAAATCGATGCCGCCGAATTACGTGATGCTCTACTACATACCTCCCCAGAAGATGGAGAGGAACGCTTGACTGAAAGAGAGATCGATGAAGTCTTCAGTGGGTTTATAGGACGTCCGGCATTTATTGGCCGAGGAGCGAAGTCAGGCGGGATGGGTAAGAGGGGCGAGGTTTTCCAGTATCATGACTTCGTGCGCAGCGTCACGGGTGGGGAGAATGGAAATAATGCAAAGCGTGAAGGAGACCCAGCACATGTATGAACTGTTATCACGAATATGGGTTTCAATTGAGTTGGCGTTAGGGGGTTGCGTCTTGTAACATTTTTGGCAGTTGACAAATTCCCAGTCCGTAGAAGCAAAGATCAGACTATACAAAGCTTGCCATGGATGATCATGTACCATTTATTATTCAAATGCTAATGAAAATTTTTGGTAAAAGGAGTGAGCTATGTTGTACGTAAATAGGAAATAGTAAAGTGGAACTATACGCCGGAGCCAACGCCTTCCGCATTTCATCGGCAGAAAAGCTCCAGCCACCGCGATCTGATACACCTCCACCCGTCAACTGCGCTCATTTTACCCCGTTTCCTAAAGATGTCTGATCGTGGCCTTCTAATGCAGACTTGATTGCAGAAAAATGGCCAAACCTCAGCCCCCCTGGGCTCTCGGTGTCCCGGGCCCCGACACACCCGCATCGCCGCGAACCATGCGAACTCTCCGAAAGATACAATCCCACCAAGTGCTATCGACCTCTAGCGCGCTCATTGCACAGACCCAAGCCTCTCGCCAAGGTAGCTCTAATGGAGCTGACCCCGCATCAGCAGCAACTCCTGGTGCTGCCACCCGAGCGCGCGCACATCGCCGAGCTCGATCAAATAGCGACGCGGCTTCTCGTGAAGCTGCTGCCACACCACCTGCGACTCAGAGACGACCCGCGCGGAAGACGGGGTCAGGAATTGGGGTCAAGCGATCTCTTTTGGAGAACTTCTTGCGCGATGGGCCGCAGAGTTCAAATCCCAATGAGGGACTTCGAGAACTCAAATACCTCGTCCTTTCCAGCCGAGTAGATGCTGACGGAGATGGCATGGTGAGGGGTACCCAGTCTGTTTTACAAGATTAATGTCTAACACTTCGAAATAATAGTCGCCATACCGAATCTACCTCTGGCTGGTCCTCCTCGACATTCCTCCTATGCCCACCGATGACTACCTTGCTCTTATCCACCGCGGCCGTTCTCCTGCTTACACCAAAATTCGCAATGATACCTTCCGCACACTAGCCACAGACCCTCTCTTCAAACGCCGAGTCACAGAAGCAAGCTTGATTCGACTCCTCAACGCTGTGGCATGGAAACTCCACGATTCCAGACCGAAACCTCGGTCTCGACCAACGTCATCTCGGCGCCGTGAGATGGAGCTTTTAGTGAACGCACCACCGAGCATTGCAGAGGAATCCCCCTTTGGTGGGGAGCTGGAGAAGGTCACGAATACAACTACAAGTGATTCGGCCATGTACGTCCAAGGCATGAATGTCCTGTGTGCGCCATTCCTCTATGCTGCCCGTAGCGAGGTGGAAGCATTCGCTCTATTCCATTACTTTGTCACACGCGAATGTCCAGGATATATCCGTGGTGCTATGGATGGAGTCCACAAGGGTCTTCGTTTAGTGGACCGATGTCTTGAGATCGTGGAGCCTAAGCTTGCAGCGTATCTGTTCTCCAAGGGTATGCACGCTGAGCTGTACGCATTCCCATCGGTATTGACCCTCTGCGCTTGCACGCCTCCATTGCCAGAGGTATTGCATCTGTGGGATTTCTTATTTGCATATGGGCCACACCTGAACATTCTATGCATTGTCGCCCAGCTAATCCGTATGCGAGATTTAATTTTTGAGAGTCCGAGGTAAGTTCCAGAGCGTCCTTTGGAGTTTTATCCGACAAAAGCTAACTTGACTATAGCCCAAATAAAATCCTCCGCTCATTCCCTCCCCTCGATGCAAAGGAGATCATTGCTTTGACCGTTCTCCTCGTTCGTAAGATCCCTGAGGACCTTTATGCAGAGATGATTAGCCATGCAAAATAGACATGGTTTGAGCTTACCGAGAAGCTCTAACTAAAAGAGAGATAGATGTCATAGTACCTGGGTTTCATGGCGTTTTTGATATGATTGGTCGCAGCGATTGGGTATGGTGACTGGATGGGATATGAGACTTACATTGATGAACACCTGGGATAACACGCTTGTTTGAATGAATTGATGATTGTATACAAATATTGGCTAGTCTTTTTGAGAATGCACTTGCGTTGAAATATGATTCTCCCTTTTAGAACTCCAATTCTTTGCTCTTGTGGAATATGCAGCTTCCCTGCTCGTTTGTTAAAGGGAGAAGCCCTACATTTCCTCTGTTCTTCTAAGACAACACACGATTTGTTTGTCGCCTCATAGGGCATATCTTCACGCGGAACAATGCAACAGTTTGTACACTATTTCCAGAGTTATTTGTCGTTTCCCAATGATCAAGACAAAGCAAATAAGACATCTTCTTCATCCATGCAACCTGCATGACTTAGACTCCTTTTACCGTCTGCATTATAAGTATGGCTCTGTACTTGACCACTAATTCTCCAATCCATCATTGCTCAACTAGAGAAAATGTCGACAGTTCTAGGAACATTCATCGTCCTCACCATATCCATTCTTTTATTTGTGACATTGGGCAAGAGACAGCAAACCCATTCCACATCAAATAACCCAGCGTTATGTCGCCAAATCATTGCCGGCATGTTGAAACACGAAGACCAACCGAATATCCACTCACCACACCAGGCGAAAGCGATGGCTAATAGACACCTTTCCATTGCATTTGGAATCGATAATGCCTTCACCCGAACAGATAGCGTCCACGCCAGCATGTTCGTCGAGAAAGTCAAACCTTTGATCAATCTATCATCGAAGCAGTGGCACGACGTATCCGAGTTCGCCAGAGTCACAGCCAGCCACTGGGTAGAGCATGGCTTCCCGGGACTTGATCACAGCGGCGGCTGCAGTTGTCATGAGGGAAAGCAGAACATTAGCAGCAATAAGACCAGTGTCGATCGCAATCAAATCAACGTCGCCAGTCTAGCACAAATACTTTCATTGAAAGTAGTGCTTTCACTTTTTTCAAGCAAAGGCCTCAAGACCAGACATGTGATGAGAACCTACTGAACTTAGCACAGTCCATAAATCGAGTCTGGATATTCTCCAAGCTAAAACCCGCCGAGAACGATATTCCCAGATTCGAAGACGATGTATTACTTCAAACCTCGCTAGTCAATATCTTCGGGAAACACGATCTCCCAGAGGATAACCCACTAAACCTCATCCTCCCTTCCTTCGAGACAATGTGGCGTGTCGTCCTACGAGCCTTCCTAGAGATCCGGTTCGCGACTGGGAAAGAAGTACCGGCATGGCGAGACACAATGATTGCTTTCTCTAAGAACCCTACGAAACCACAATTCGACGCATGCCCCACATCCCCGTCCGGCAATGAGCCTAGAATAGGTGATACACACGGTGTTCAGAGTTCACCTAGTGAAAAGCATATAGTCCTTGAATCGCTTCGACTATACGTGCCCACGAGACACATACATCGAGCGTATCAGTGGGACCGGGGTATGGGGACATCTTATGAGATAAAATCCGCTGATATCGAGGGGTGTCATCTGAGGTCTGATATCTGGGGTTCTGATGCAAGGAGATTCAACCCGGATCGTTGGTCTGCTCTTACGCCGGTGCAGGGAGATGCGTTTATGCCTTTTGGATGTCCGCCGTTTGAATGTCCTGCTAAGCCGACTTTTGGACCGAGGATGATTGGGGTTTTGGTTGGTGCTTTGTTGGCAGCTTTGGAGGATAAGGAACAAGGAAAGACTTGGACTTTGGATTGTGAGGATGTGAGTGTGTTGGAACACATTACGTCTGGGAAGAAGTTGTGTCCGCATAGGAATGCCTATACGGATTTGTATCTAGTACGGTCCATGGAGTAGAGAAGAATGAACGGAGATATCCAGGAAATTTATTTGGAATACAAGTGTATCTTTAGGTGTAAGTAAAGAAAATGGGAGTCTGAGAGGTTGAGCACTCATAGAGCTGTCCAAGAATAGAAATTATAATGAAGAGATAACCTTTTGCTAGAGGATCCATAGCTAAAAGAATCTAAACGCCTAGGAAGCAGAATAAGTTACATCGAACAAGAACAAGAAAAAAGCCACTATTAAAAGCCAATTAAAAAAAGCAAAGCACAAGTAGAACATATGTATGTTTCAATATTGACCACCACCCACCTCGAATAATACATGAAACATTCTATCATGTCGGCGCCGACGTGGACAAAATCTCACTCGACCTATTCAACCCAGACCCATCTATCACCAACGGCTTGCAATTATCAACAACATGAGCCTCAGCAGTCATCTCATCCGCCCACGACTGACACGTATCCCCATTGACCGGCACCGATCCCGCGGTGTCTGAGCCAGCACAAACCCCATCAAAGCTAACAGCCCTTGCAAGATGCGAGCCACGATCAACCTTAACTCTAATCTGCGACCCCATGAAACTGAGATTATTGAACATGGTCACAGCACACTGTGCCTCGTCCGCTGTTTGCATTTTGATCAGCCCGCGGAGCTGGCTGTTGCCATCGACCGAGTCTGTAGTGACTATACTGCATTTCTGGACAGTGCCGGCTGTCTGTAGAAGGGTTTTTAGATCGGCGCATGTAGTAGTCGCGTTCAAGTTCTCGATTGTGATGGATCGTCGGTCTGGGTAGAAAGATGGAGAGTTGGGGTTTGTGCCTGTGGCGTGAGGGGGGTAGTGTTGGTAGTCCTGTGGCGGAGACATCTGGTAGCCTGGCATCATGTTCCAATGCGGTTCGTACATTGCGCCGTTCATTATTGGGGATGGAGGGTAGCATTGCATTGATGGTCCGTGTGGATCTGGCATCATAGGTATGAAACCTTGGTGTGGCATTGGTATTGGTACCATCATGACGCCGTACTCTGGGTATGGATATGGTGGAGTGGGGGGATTGGAAGATCTGGATGAGGGGGGTTAGCTTTGTTCATGTTTCATACTTGGGAATGTGGTAAACTCACTCTGGAGAAACGGGTGACGGAGGTATTGCCATATTTCCATGTACTAATGGTGGCGTGGAGTGGCCAGAGATGTAGCCTGTTGGTATCATTGCGGGACTTCTGGTAGGTCCGGCAATGGGCTTGGTGGGCGTACTGGTCCGCGAGAGTGTGACCACCAGACTCTGGCCATCCCATCCGCTGGTGGAAAGGCGATCTATGGCGATGTTAGGACGGGGCATTGGGGATTGCTGGGATGTAAACACATACGGTACGTCCGCCAGGCCTCGTCTTCATTTTTGACGATGATTTGGCCGAGTCCGGTGGGGAATCCATGGCTATCATCGTATACTACTGCTTGGCGAATATGCAGTGCGGTTTGGCGCACGAGATCTTTGAGTTCCTGCCAGCGGCAATGAGGTGGAATCTGAAATTCTTGTTAGCCTTTGAACACATTTGAAATACTCTATATCAAACTCACGCCTTGAAGGAATACAACAAACTCATCATCCGACCTGCGCGATCTGGGACGACCTTTATCACGACCGGGGGAGGCATAGCTGTATATATCTCAAAACAATACACCCCGGTATTTTAGTACCGAAGGCGCACTAGCTCAGACGTATGGATTTAAATGGAGGGATAGATGTCGATGTTTGCAAGTATCCCGATGCGTCGGCGTTGCGAAATAGTCGGGGCTCGACTTGTCCGACCAGGTGTTCGGTTGAATCTAGAACTTGGACAATTTTACTCTCTATCAGAGGTCTCTATTAGCTCAGGGTATATAAATGTGGTGATGCCTTTGCATTCCCACTCTTCTTGGGGTGAGACGACTACAACGACATCGCCGAGCATCAAGGTGCAATCAAGGTGTAATTCTTGGGAAACGAAACCGCACAAGCATACCTTTGTTTTTTCCTGTCGGATAAATGCAAGTCAACGAATTGGTCTGACCGACAAACTGCAAAGAAAAGAGATAAACCCCTCCACGAGCTGAACGAAGGTCGAGCGGATTATAAAGCGTTGGCAGCAAAGAAAAAGAGGATGGGTAGAGGTTTCACAAGAATAGTTTATGATGATATATGATATAGTCAATTAATTTCTTAGGGCTAGTAATAATCTATAGTTTTGTTCATGGCTTGGGAGTAGAACTCGCGGGGACCCAGAATACTGCACAATCTGGACGAATGGCGATGGCAGAGGATGAGCAGTAGCCAGTCAGATCAGAGCATAAGCAGTTTCCTTTCTCCTTCAGGCTGAGATATGTCATTTTTATTATGAGCTCAGCTCTGCCAAATATTAGAATGCAATAGAGTGGTTCTGCCGTCCCACCTCTCCCGGGTATAGTTCCACTTAAGGACAGTGTATTGTTCTAATCTGTAATGTGTCCTCTCTTCTCCCCTCCCCTTTGCTATTAATATTTAAAAAGATATTCTCCATCGAGTATCGGGCATACCTGTGCACAGAGGCAAATCACTTGGGAAAACCGGGCTTACCTGACTTAATAGTATGTGTTACACCGCTAGATCCGGATCGGACATGCAGAGGACATGCAAAGTGGGCCTGTATTCATCACATTGGTTTCTGTGTCTATTGTCAGATCGGAACCCTTGAAAAAAAGCAAATAAAAGTAAAAGAATGGACAGAAAAGAAAGAGAAAAAGAAATTATTTTAAGAAAAGGATCTACGATCCGAGCGGGTCAGATCCTGAGCAGTCACATCTTGCAGTTATTGATATATTTTTTCTTTCATTTTTGGATCAATTACATCGACTATTGATTTCTATACGTATTTTGCCTCTCAAGTACCTGCAGATACCTCTGAAGAGATAGGGGAGTATGATTATCGAAGTAAAGAAGGGTTACCTTGAAACTCCAGCTCGAGTCCATCGAAATTCTTATGTGCACATGTATCGATAGTCACACTGCAGGTCCCAGCAAGTCAGAGTCAGGTATGTGGAATACTATGTAGTTGACATCCTACATCTATCGCACAGGTACAGGTCTACACGGCGTACTCCGTGCCCTTGGAATATGCAAACCCCCAGGTGTCTTACAGATCTTCGTAGATCTTCATCTGTGTTCCCTTCCTTTAATCAGGGCCAGTTCTAAGGGGAGGGACCAATTACTACAAGAAACATGCCACAGGACATGTGCGACTGTTGAATGTTGTATATCAAGATAAGACAAATGACCACACAGGGAGCTACTCACATTCCAAGCATGTGGGATTTACATGGGGGTGAGACGAAGCTGTATGACGATACGTGACCAAAGCACTGGGCTCTCCAGGAGAGATCACAGGGCCAGCCTACATATCTACCACTTTGATTGACGAATTGGAGTGAAAAGTCTGTTTGGAATGTTTGGTTCTCATGTCAATCATAATCATAAAGGAATCTTTCTCATCCACGGGGATTTGAATTCCCCGGGTGCCAAAATGCGGATGTTGAGGTTTATTCATGTGATCAAAGATGATTCGCAGGTACACTAAATATATAGTTACTCTAGATGTAGGCGAAGAATTATGTTCATATGTTATATTTCAAAGCATGAAATGAAGTGTTTAAAATTCAATGTATGAAAATGTGATATTAGACAGTGTGGCTTGAAAGAGATAAATGAGATGGGAACCCAGTGGGCGATCGCTGAAGAGCAAGAGAAACCAAGACACGAGACCAGCTCCAAGTAGTGCAATAACAATGATGCAAAATGCATAGAAAGAGAAAATGTAAACAGCACTGCCGCTTAAGAAAGTTGTTGAATTTGCAAAAGACTCCGGGTCGGCAAATCAAGGCGCAAGAATCCAGCATGCAACAACATATAATGTACCCCGGATGTTGTATATGATCAATGCCGACCGAGTGGAATGGGTCGGTCCGAAGTTCCGTGGTTCTTGCACCGAGAGCCACTGATCTCCTGACTGCCATCCTGGGTGTCTCGGACACCCAAGAAAATCCAGTTGACCGAAGCCAACTTGTATAATCTTCCATAAACCTCGGTATTCTCAAATCGCGATCAATGAAGAGTAGGCTGTGCCAGCACAGCCCACAAAATCTCACTCGAACCGGGGTGCGAGGCGAAGTCGGAAAACTAGGGAATGTATCGAAGAGACGGTATAGAATGGTATCCCATTTGGAAAGGAAGTCGCATCTACCCTTGCGACGGCGGGATGATTTTTTGTTGGTTTGAAAGACGGTTTTTCGTGATGTTGATCCGGTCAACCACTCGCTAGACTCCCCAGATCCTCCGGTATATTGTGGTTTTGGTTTTGGTTTATTGTTTATTTTTGTTGTTTATCGTGATTCGTATATGGTGTTCGATTCACCCCCCGAAGCCGACTTTGGTTGCGCAACGGCTGCAGTAGTAGGAGTTCATGCCGAATTGCACGATGCTGCGGCCTGATTGGCCTAGGCTGAGAGATTGTTGACAGCGGGAGCATCGGACGATGTCGAGAGTTTGTGGAGAGGTAGCCTCGGATGGACGAGCAACGCCACCGGTTTGAGGTTGAGGAGTGATTTGTACTGGAGAGCTCATTTTTTGGATTTCGAGGATTTGAAGGGGGGAAGGGGGGGAATCGCATGTTTTTGAGTTGAACCCAGTTAGGCGGTTGAGCCCCGTGATTTCTTGGTTTACCCCAGTTTTTTTCCAAGTGATGATGATTTGACTCGATAATCGGGGGGGAAAAAAAGGGAAAAAAGGGACAAAAAACACAAAAAGGGATACAGAATCTGAAACAAGAAAATATTCAATTGGCTTTTTTTCTTAAATTGTTTTCCTTATCCCATTCCATCCTGTTTCGACGGAGTAATCCGTATTTCCCCCCCTTCTCTTGCCGATCATCTAGAATACATATGGGCTTACATATGGGCTGCTTTCCAAGGTTTTATGCGCTCATTCCAATAACGTTGCTACCTAAACCCATCGGACATCACCATACCTTGGCGTTCTTTTTTTCTTTTCTCTCTATCTAAAGGGAATGTGGACAGTTTCAAGTATATCCTGGATCATTGATCCGAAAAATGAGGATATAGGAGGCAATATATTGAACACCAAATTAATTATCCCCACTTGATACTTGATCTAAAACAAAACTAAGTCGAAAAGGGGAAATACTATTTTGAGAGTCACTTATGTACATTTACGTAGGTGGGCGCCTTGGGCTTTGCGCCAACAACCCAATATTGAGATAATCGAGTATTTTCCATCTTTTATGTTAATATTTTGCAATTTCCATATTTATGTTTGAGGTTAGATGCAAATTAATGACGAAGATCCCGTCATTTCCTTATCTCCCGTCCTCCAGGGCTGAATGTTGGAACGATAGGGCTTACATATGCACGGAGCACATCCATCTTTGTACATTTCCTTGGATTAGAACCATTCGAGTCATGTAACCCGGTTAAGGCCATGAAACCAGAGAGAAAGTCGAATAAGGTGTGGCAAACCTGCCTAGGTGGGAAGGAAGGCGGATATCCGGATGAACCCATTGGACGATCCTTGGAAGTCATTGGAAGTCATCCCACTTTGGCGAAATCCATCCCACGTAGACCCATGGATATTAGATTCGCCAGCGACGTCATATCACATCTCATCCTCAATTCTCTTTCTTCTTCCTAACTACATTGTAATCTGATCCATCTTCAAGCCTAGGCCAAGCCCCCCAAAAAGCGTTTGGATCTCGGCCCTTGCCCCGCCAAAAACGAAATATCTCCTGCCCCTCATTCTTGTCCCACCCACATATCACATATCACCATGGCTACCGGACACCCCAACCTGCACAGCTTTGCCAGCTCCGATGAGCTAGCTGCCCAATTGCGAACCTACGTCCTCCGCAGTCAGACCTCCGCTCTTGCCCGACACGGCACCTTCCGTCTTGCCGTCTCCGGCGGCTCCCTGCCCACCGTTCTGGCCAAAGCCCTCCTCGCCACTAGCAATGGCTCCCCGGAAGACACCCCCCAATTCTCCAAGTGGCACATCTTCTTCGCCGACGAGCGCGCCGTACCACTCGACCACGAGGATAGCAACTACCGTCTGCTGAACGATGAGCTCATCTCCAAGATCCCCGCCGAGCTCGGCGCACCCGTCATCCACCCCATCGACAAGAACCACATCGAGGATGACGATCCCCAGGAACTCGCCGATCTCTACCAAGAGGATCTGATGCGCGAGTTTGCTGCCAAGGACAGCGTTAAAGTGCCCGCTTTTGATCTTATCCTCCTCGGCTGCGGACCCGATGGACACACCTGCTCGCTTTTCCCTGGCCACGCCTTGCTCCGCGAGAAGGATGCTTGGGTTGCTGCTGAGACCAACTCCCCCAAGCCTCCCCCTAAGCGCATCACCCTTACCCTGCCTGTTGTGACCCACGCTTTCAACATTGCCTTTGTCGCCACGGGCGCCGGCAAGAAGGATATCCTTAAGCAGATCCTCGATCTTGAGGAGGGCTCCAGTCTTCCTTCGGCTTTGGTTAACCAGGGTGCTGGTGATAAGGTGACCTGGTTCACTGATCACCCCGCAGTGGATGGTGTTTCATTCCCTCGTCGTGGGAGTCTTTGAAGTGTGAGGTTTGCGAGATGGGATTTGAGATGTATGGATGTGGGGATGGCTTCCTTTCCTAGTTCACAACTGCCTTTTGTGACATTGAATGTACTGGCTGTGTTGAAAAGTGACGTTCTGCTTTGATCTGCTGTTAGGACAGGTAGACCAAACCTAGTATAGAATCCATATCTGTCCCATCATTTTTGTCCATTTGTATAAAGTAGGCAAGTTGTGTTGCAAATGTATTGTGTCATTGTCGTTCTTTTTGACCTTTCTAGTTGGAATAGTACATACAATCGCCCCAAACAAGTCTAGAGACAACATGCATGAGCAACCGACAACTCTGTAGGGCATTGATAGCGTCCCAGGCAGGGAAAGGGGGATGTCGAAGCCGGCAGCCGCACTTGGGCTATTCAATCCACTTACACTCCCTCTTCTCTCTCTTTCTCTCTCTCTCTCTTTCCGGGAGCAGATAAAAGGTTGCATATATATCAAGGATAGGGAACCAAAAGATAATAAAGAAACGTCATCTCTAACTTTGGGTATATATAATGCCAAGCAGCATTAAAATATAAAAGTTTATTAGAACATCAATTCAAACCACATTATATCATATCAAACGCATCAAAATGTTTCCTTTACAACTTCGCTGCAGGTTCTAATAAATGCTTCATCTCAGAGTTCGGGTACTCCACGTTCTCGGACGAGTCAGGTCGCTGTCGATCCCATGCCCACTTCTCAATCAATTCAGGCGCCAATTCCCCATCAAGCATCTGCGTGATGTACTTTCCAAGTACAGGGAAGAACTTGTATCCATGGAACGAACCGCAAGTGGCGATGTATAGTCCTTTAGAGGCAGAGTGGGGTGAAATGATAAAGTCAGAGGTAGTAGTGAAAGCGTCCCTTTAGAATGTTAGAATTTAAAAAAACAAAAAAACAAATCAATTGCGTTGTCAGGGGAAGCACTAACCAGCAAATACGGTGTTTCGTCATCTCCCATGTTGCACTTTCGGGCCCGTACCACAGGTTCCTGGCCTCTATAATATCCTGCTTGAGAGGTCCCGGAACCTTCCATTGGTTGTAGTCATGTGTAGGTGGGGGAGAAGAGATGTAATGTCCAGGGAGAACCTCGCGAGTGTTTGTGAAAATCTTAGATCCCCACCACTTGAGCTCGCGGTCTTTAGTTGGGGGAAGGGTGCCAATGAAGGGTTTTCCTGAATAATAATTAGTGGCAATTCATGTAAATTAAAATATATCCGAAAAAGCGTACCTTCATTAGGTGTGTAACCCTGGAAGCCAACAGGCATGTCTTTGAACTTTTCATATTGCTCTTCATTGAGCTGTGCCATTCCAGTCGTAATACCAGCTGCGAGAATTCGCTCTCCGGCTCGTAGTCCAGGATTTCCACTCTTCGCAGCACTCCACTCTAGCAAAGTCGGTGTGAAAGCACCCGCAGCGACGACAACATGCGTGGCGGACAATATCTCTCCAGTTCGTGTCTTGACACCGGTGCAAGAGCCACGACCATCGAATTCAAGGTTAGTAACAGATGCAGTGACATATGAGACGCCCAATTCCAGGCACCGTTTTGTCACTGCTCGAAGAGAATCTCCAGCAGCAGCCCAGCCACTAGCCCTGTTCACAAGCACCTCCTTGACACCGGTGTAATCGGCATTATCAAAGATTCCTCCATAAAGCTTTCTGGCTTCAGCGACAGGGAGAGCAATGATATCATCATTTCGACCAAGTTCCTTGTGGTTTGCGATGACATTTTGCGCGTAGTCGCTGCGACAGTTCCAGTAAACGCCTGTCTGGTGAAAGTGTGGTTGCCAAAGGGGGTCGTTTTTGAAAATATCCTGTGCTTCAAGAGCAAGTCTACAGTAGACCTTGTCGTCGTAATCGGCGCGAACAACCTTGTTCCAATCCCATGATGCTGCCACGCGCGACTCGGCATCATATGCATCTCGGTCGACTAGAGTTATCGATGCATTGGGATACTTCTGGATGAGGTGGTAGGCGGTTGATACACCGAAGACACCCGCGCCAATGATAAGGTATGAGGGGTTGTTTGAGGTCATTTTAAAATTGTCACTTGTTTTTTATTATCTCTCTCTAATAATTCCAAGGCTATCCTTGGTATTTATCTATGGATTGAGAGTCGTTGTGATGCTAATGGACGGTCCGTATTTATCGGGCGGGGTTCCGATTGAGCCGATCACATGAAGTCTAATGCCCTGGATTCAGACACTTCGACTGTGAATTTGATCGATTGGACAGAAATGCGGTCAAATAGCGGATTGTGCCAAGTAATTATTGAGATAAGGTCGACCAACAAGAGGGGTGTGGTGTTTCGATATCGGTTCACGGTCCGTTCACGGTCCGTATCTCGGAGGTCCGGTTTCGGGTCTGTCATGGACTCTTAGCTCTGTGTGAGCCTACATTGTCCATTGATAAAATATGCGGACGATGAACAGATATATTATCTTTGTGGGATACTTCTCCTAGGAAGTAGCTATCAGTTAGTATACTACAGATTACTATCATATTACCTTCTCTAGGTAGCAAGAGAACCCGTGGGCATAAACTAAAAGAGTAGAAGATCCGTATCCAATCCTTATCAAACTATTTTAAAGTCTCTATTCTTCCCTATAGATAGATACGGAAGTCCAAAACAGTGAATGTACATATGCCAAGGACTCAGGTTTGGTATGAGCTATCGTTTCCCCCCTACATATTTCAGACTTATCCACGCAGCCCAGCGTCGATCTCCCGTTTCTATCCGGCCCATGCAACCCCGGATTTTCCTTACGTACATACCAGCTCAACTCAACGGCCTCCTTAACTTAGGCAACCATGAATGTAAACTGGAGTTCTTAGATTGAGGCAAAAACGAGAAATGTGAATTGGACGTGGAGCATTTCAGGCTATCTAGATTATGGTGATGCTCATCATTTGACCGCTAGATACAACAAACGACTTGACGCCGGTCAAATAACCAACGAACATAAAACAACACAACCAATCATAGTCTCCTCGCCCCATCCGTGTCCATAAAGAAAGCTCAATTGGTCAATACATAATCAGGCTGAGACCTGTGGACCCTGGGGGCCGTTTTGGCTGTCAACCTTGTATTGTCCTCTTTTCTCTGTGTCATCGCGCTGCTTTTAGCTGTTCTTGCATTTCTCCAGGCAACCCTGGTCACTCTATTATAATTGGTCGTATGAGCCAGAAATCCAAGCAATAAAAGTGGAATTGACAAACTTACTCCGCCATCAATCTTGCAAAGCGTAAAGCAGTTGTTGGACCGGGAAGAAAGCGCCGCTCCTGCATCGGCTTCAATGGGTGAGGCAAATGCCAGACCAATGACAGTTGCAAGGGCCAGAATAGAGAAACGCATTTTGAAGATGTTTGTGGGATATGTAGTTGGGTTTCTGGTTGGAATTGATGTTTGAGGAATTGATAGACTGATGGTTGATTCTTAAGCTACATCGAAGGTGAATTGCCTCCCTTTTATAGTATATCTTCAACTACATACCATATGATATCAGATATTCAATTCATTCCCCTTCACTACTGTGGGGCCCCACCCCCACGACTCGTGCAGGCTTATGTGCATGATCTCCATCAGTAGGGATAACCCTCACGGATACTCACTCGTATTCCAAGAATGCCAAGTTTGATCTACACGGAGATTATGCTGTTTGAGTAAGACCTGCAAGTTAGGTGGGCTGATTCTTTTCAGCTTCAAGGTATTACAGTGTCAACTGATCTGATCCTGCAATGTAACCCCAAAAGGCGAACCAGTCAGACATAGTTTGGCGTATTGAGCGTCCAGTCCTAAGGATCAACGATTCCTATGAGGTAAATGAATCATGATAGCACCAGCTCTATATAAAGCCCAATGCCCACGCGGGTTATGGAAACTCATTCCTCAGCAGTCTTCAACATTATCTCTTCAGACCCCACAAACAATTCCGATCAATCTTTATAAATCAATTCCTCAAACATGAAGCTGTTTATCGTCCTGTTTGCACTCGCTGCCTACGCAATGGCCGAAGCCGGTCCAAACCTCGAAGCGAGAGCCGGGTGCTCCCAGAAGGGACAATTCTGCAACGGCGGCACATTCTTGTGCTGCCCCGGACAAGGAAGCTGCAGTGGAGGCGTGGTAAGTTGGCCACTGGTCTTCTTCTGGGAACAGATATGGTCAATCATGATGGCAAATGGCTAACATGAGATATAGTGCAAATAAGTTGTCACCATCTACTGAGGGAGTGCAGAGGTCGCCTTAGTGCTACAGGGTCCAACATGTGAGAGTGTCAGGGCTGTCTCTTGGGTCAAGATCTGAGTTACTCCAGGCAGTGTGTTACCGCTTCTGAACGCCCATTGATGAAAATGTCCATACGCAATAAAAGCCAACAGTTCAATGAAGATTTATTGTGCTTTGCTAGCCTAAGTCTTTACTCAATGAAGCCAGCTCCATCCATTTGGCAATTTGGTCATTATACCAGGACTCAACTCATTCCAAATTCGATATTAGCGGAGCCTAGATCCCATTCATAGTAGATTAGAATAGTCGGCCGGTTTCAGTTCTTAATGGCATTATCTAGTTGACTCATAGCAATACCCGTACCCAGCCTGGGTTATTTCCATTTGGACGAAATAAACTATACCAAAGAGAGACGTCGGTTTTGATGTCATCAAAACTTTCCGTGTATAACATTAGAAGGGTATAATGTTTGCAAGTACGATAGAAGACGATAAATACAGACCACGTTATTAATCTGATCTATTGTTGGGACCTATGAACACATCTCTCGGGGGCCAGCTCACCGTATGTGAGCGACCCATTTGCCGACATCAGGGAGCTCTGCTCTTAGCCCATCCCAGCCCGGTATCAGGCTGGGTTCCATAAAGTTAGGTCGTAAGATCAAACATCCATTAGAACAAATAACTTCCTCCTGATGAACGGCTGAGCAAAGCAACTTATTCAATAAACGTCTCAACAGTGTTCCGGGCCTACGAGTTGAATATAATGTTCCTGGTAATCCAACTCTTCATGCATATCGTCATGTACCAGCATATCTCCTAGGTCAAAGAATCACCGTACGACTGGCACCGTGTTTCCTTCTGAAAGCAGTTCCCTATAGGTCATTCTATACTCGATGTAGTATATTTACTAGGTAGATCTTCTCACCAAAGATAATACATATCAAACTCCCTAGGACCATGTAAAAGCTAGAGCAAACATATAGACATTAAATGAGTCCGAGTTTTCAATCCTCAAGTGTAAAAAGAGCAAACGATTCAGCGTCGGACTCAACGCGCGCCATTTGAATCGAGATTTAGTTCATTATCCGAGCTTCACCATCACCACCTACGCTCCATCGGCACCACCCACCCTCAATCAATTTTGCTGTTTTCGAAGCTTCATTGAGTAAGTATTCTATCCCAAATGCATTTTTCGTCATTAATAAAATACAACAGGATGGCGAATCGCGTTGCGCGAAACGTCCGTCCTAGGACTATGAGACCGGACCGCGAGCCCGCGCGTTCGACCAACCCTAACCGCTTTAACGTGCATTCAAACGATAGCATCAACGGTATACTGGTAGCCATTGACTTTGTCGATGTGCGGTTCGATACTCGTGCAATTGGTTCTGTTGCGAAAGTCGGTTTGATCGATTTGAACAAGGTCACTCGTGGCCCGATAATCAACTTCGACGACCGATGGGATCCCCCTTTCGACAACGTTGCTGATAGCATCGACCTCATCGAATTCTCTTCCGACAATGGGACTAGCAGTCCGATGGCTGACGTCGACTCCATCGAAATTTGTTCGGATGAAGACAAACAGGCCGCCGATCTGGCAATTGACGCCGACTCCATCAACGTGAACCCAAAGAACGATTCTCCTACCCAGGATAACAACGCAAAGGGCTTTGAAACGAGCACCTCCACGGACTTGATCGACCTGTGGCCTGATGATGGCGGCGCTCATGCTCGCTACAAGAAAGTTATCGGGATGAGACCAACCATCGATCTCATTAACTTGTGGTCCGATACCAACATCCTTCCAGTCAACATGGACCTCGTTAATTTCACCATGCACAGCGGAATCATGTACCATGCCGATTCCGATATTGAGTCCAGCATGAGCAGCATGGGAAGTATTGAGGCCTTTGATCCAAACGTGGATAATGGACGCATTGGCTTGTACCAACTGAGAATGAACTCCTGGTCCGAACACACTCGTTCAGGATACCGATCCATCAATTCAGCTGAGTCTTTCCCAGACTTTGAAATCGGAAGTGCAACTTCCAGTCCCCTGGATACTGTGTATACCACCAAGTCGAATTCGGGACCTGAGGGTCAAAGTGTGGCTTCTTTCCCTTTCGTTGACATGTCCAGCCCAGAAGCCGAAGTTGAAAGTGCAACGGCCAGTCCCATGGATACCGCGTACGCCACCAAGTCAAGCTCGGGACCTGAGGCTTCTGTGCCCCTGCTTGCCATGTCAACCTCCGAATCCGAAGATGGAAGTGTGACATCTAGTCCCCTGGACACCGTGTACTCTACAAAGTCAAACTCGGGGCCTGGGGCCGGAAGTGCGCCTTCTATTCATTCCGTTGGCATAGCCAACGCAGAATCCGAGGCTGGAATCGGGCTCTCTGATTCCTCGGCTACAGTGGAGGCTGCGGAGTGGGGTGAGGACTTTGACAGTGTGGGTTCTGTGGCCCCTGATACTGTGTAAGTAACATGTCCCGAATGCGTTCTATGGAAATGAGGCCCGGGCAGGCAGCTTCTGACACGGCCGCCATAATTTCCGCTGCTTTGATCTTTACTAACACCTTCTGTGCTATATTAGGAACTCTTGGTCCTTCGCATTCGCCGAAGGATTGGTCGCCAGATTGGAGACACTGAAGCGGGGGTAGTTCCCCTTAGGATAGGAATTGAACTTCTTTTCTAATAATATCAACGTTAGCTGCCGTTAGTAGCCCCTGAAAAATCACATATGATAGTGAGATAGTAAGATAGTGAGAGTGGTCGGGGTGAGATTTGATGGGAAAGTGAGGATTGGCTCAACGTCGACAGGAGCTGCCTACGAGGAGCTTACTTCTCGACGGGGAAATATAGAGTTTGTTCGGTTTGGATTTTCGAAACGTCCAAATAATATCTACGTATCTATGTAAGATGAATATTTTATTTACATCTAACAATTTCCCATATAGTGCTGATATATAATAACCTCTTTGTGATGTAGTGGTTAAGTGGTTTTTGAAAATCTTTTTTCATTTGTTCAATTTTTTTATATGCATATATATATATATATATATGCATATATTGGGTGATCCTTTTAACTATTTAGTTAATTTTACCATTTGTACGGCCTATGAAGTGCTGTAAATCGAAAAAGAGAGCTATAAGAACAAGAAAGTGTGGGTAATCAGGAAGATCGCACACCTACATGGGTAGCTTCCCAGCTTCCCGACTTCTCCGCTAACCACAAAGCGCCTATTTCTTGAATTTCTTGTAACCTTGGAATGCATCATGCCCATTCCCATCTGATGACCTTGTACGATCATGCCCATCCCAACACGTTCGGCTTCGCTACGCGACCCCCGTAAACAAGTCAGTCCCCCCGTTTGTTTATCTGTCAAGCTCCCCACAGCTATCGCATCCCTCACTGTGCCACCATTGCCATGCCAACAACGACATATGGCACCATGCTAATTGCTGCAGACTTCAAATATAGCACGACCTGCCACGAAACCCTCCCCTCCACTTCCCACCACGGCCAGCCTGAACAAGGACTCTACCCGAGAAACGAATAACAAGACCCGCTCGCCATCAAATCCCTCGCCGGTCGAGGGTGTGCTTCTGAAAGACAATGGAGTCACTGCCCGAGGAAGGACCCTACTGCCCCAGCGCAGCAATATTTCCCAAGACAATGGTCGTGCAACGGGATACGGGCGCATTCAGCCACCGAGCAGCAAGCCGAAACCACGCGTGGACCCGTCACCAACTAGACAGCGAGAGATATCGCCGGCTAAAAAGCAAACACAGTCAGACTCTACAGCAGTGAAGACCGGGTTGGCACCCAGCCGTCGTCAAAGTATCATGCGACCTGGTGCGTTGAAGATGCCTTCAGCGAAGATTACAATCCCTTCGTCAAAGAGCTCAGCGCCATCATTCGCGCCGCCCTCACCCCGCAAACCGCCAGGAAGACGATCCCCAGTCCAACCTTCTACGATCAGAAGGCCCCCTTCGCCCAAGAAAACAGAGATGCTACCCCCACCACGCCCCACACGATCTCTCTCTTTAAGGCAGCCTGTCAGTGCCAGCAAGGGACCGCCCGCGGCAGCCAAAATCCACATGCGGCACAGGAGTCAATTGGTACAGAATGCAAAACAAGTCGAGACAACCCCACCAATTGGCCAACGTGCACGAACACTCTCAAACTACCAACGGCCGCCGTCTCCTAAAAAGATTTCCAAACCTCCAACGCCTACCCCTGGAGCCGAACCTCAGCCTGGGAATATTCTGATCTCTTCATCATGGCCGGATATCGCAGCACTACAAACAGAACTCCTTCAGCTCAGTCTTTTCCACTCCAACTCACTGCAAAGCCATGCTGAATGGAAGTCTGATTCCGAGACACGTCTACGCAAAAAGTACGACAGTGTCGCCAGCCAATATCGCTTGGTACTGGCGGATGAAACGCAGCGGCAGTGTCGCCTGAATACGCAGGCCCTAGCGCTTTGGCTTTCCAATTGTCGTGAACATCGTGGTCCGCATGATTTCTCTGAGCAGATTCAAATTTTATCGCAGGTTCTCCAAGATGTCTCGGACATGATTGCTGGTAGCCGGGGTGCACTGTACTCTCAAGCTGTGAAGACATTCGAAGACTGGCTTAACCAAGCGGAGCTTATTCGTCATAATCGTGGACCAGGGTACCTTGATGTTGGCACCTTTATTAACCCCCTTGGGCGAAGCTGGAAAGAGTCACTACGTACTTTAAATGTGAGACTTGAACTCTGTGTACGCCAATTGCAAGTCCTTGATATCCTGGGCTTCGGGGAGGTGGAGCGTCTAGAACAGTCTGCTCTTGCCAGAGTAGCCAAGAATCTGGCTGAATTGATACAACTCATGACACAGGAGATCCGTGCGATGCAAACATTGGAGACAGAAATGGTGCGTTCAGAAAGAGATTTTGTCGGCCTTCTTGCGACACAGCTGGCAGGCTCTAGAAGGGAAACAAGAGCTCCCCGGGTCGGGGCATGGAGAAGCTAGTCTTTGGTCTATATCTCTTTGTTTGAGCGCACGAATACCCATAGCTAGTTTTCAACCACCTGCATAGATATGTGCATTTTATGTAGAAATGAAAAAGAAACGAAAATAATACGAAGAGTGTGAATGGATATGAGGGTTATAAGTGATAGTACTTCGCCTCAAGTACCTTGCAGCCAGCTATAGCTTGTGCGGTACCTAATCTGCGGTAACTTGATGAGTCAGCCAGCGTCATCTCCACCTGGGCAGCGCTGGAGGGCTCCTGGGCTCAACCTCTCCCGGGATGATCTAGATCTTGCAGTATCGCGAACCCACTCATTTCCCCCTCATACCTACTTTATTCATGTCTTTCTCACTCCATTGTCACTTCCCATACCATAGAGATATCTGATGATCTATCTTAAAAGGGGTGATGTAACCTTGGAAAAGTTATCTCTCAGTTATCTTCTTGACGTCATCCACGGCAGCTTCCGTTTTGACAGCTAAAGTCACCCGCAAAGAGACGGTATCCACTTGCTCAGTACCTTTCGAGATGGTCGCCGATCGTACCTAGCAAAGAATTTCAGCTTTCTCGCCCATCTGATCTAGTGATCATGAAAAACTCGCTGTACGATCGCCTTTGGCGCCGGGAATGCGGGGAACAGGTGCGGTATGCTGGGCTTCGGGGAATTTACGGATCCAAGGAATGGGTCAATGATCTCGACATTGTGAATGAACTCGGTGGGCATACTGGATGTGTCAATGCCCTGAGGTATGTTTTTAGCTCTTACCTAGGCCGAGGCATCTAGTTTGATCGACTGGCCAACACTTCCGCCATTTCCGCTGCTTATCATGCTAACGGTCTCGCAGTTGGTCGAGGTCAGGGCGTCTTTTGGCATCAGGCTCTGATGATAGACACCTCAATATCTACTCCTACCAACCCGACTCCTCCGATGCTCCATTCGCGCTCAACACCACCGTATTCACCGGCCACAAAGCCAACATCTTCTCCGTCAAGTTTATGCCACACTCGAATGATGGAACTCTGGTTACATGTGCCGGCGACTCGCAGGTTCGCGTCTTTGATATAGAATACTCAACTGGGAGTAGAAATGATGCTGCCACCTCCGCATTTGCGGCCTCCACTCGCAGCCGGCGCTTCACTGAGTTCTTCAGTGGCACGCGATATCTGAGTGACGGCAATACCAACGCTAGATTGTATCGTAGCCATGTTGATAGCGTGAAGCGCATCGTCACCGAATCTTCCCCGTTCCTTTTCCTCACTTGCTCTGAGGATGGTGACGTCCGCCAGTGGGATCTGCGGCTACCATCTAGCGCATACCCTCCGCCACGGGGTGGCCAGGGCTTCATGGCATACCGACAAGGATTGGAAAATGATGATCCCAATGTTCCACCGCCTCTAATCTCTTACAGGCCATACCGCCTGGACCTCAATACCATCTCCTGCTCACCGAGTCAGCCTCATTATATTGCCTTGGGTGGTGCGCACCTCCACTGCTTTTTGCATGACAGACGGATGCTTGGACAGAACACCTCCGCTGCAAGGGGCAGGGCTACACCAAGCGCTGCCAGCCTTAATGATGATGAGGAGATGAGCAAGGCGACGCGATGCGTGAGAAGATTCGCACCGAGCGGCAAGCACCATGGGAAGTATGCTGATGATGGACACATAACTGCTTGTAAAATCAGTGATGCGAACCCCAATGAGATGGTTGTTAGCTGGTCTGGCGATCATATCTACAGCTTCGATTTAATCCGCAGCCCGGATGCTCGAGAGACACAGGCGGGCAATAAATCGATTATCAGGGGCAAGAACGGACAGCCTCGTCGCAGTTCACGGAGCCGGAAGCGCAAGAAGCCCGCAACACCTTCATCGCAAGAAAGTGGTGGCCGACATCAATCCCATCGTCGCTCAGCAGAAAATGTCCCATATCCCCCATTCTCGGATGATGTCCTAAGCACCGACCCCGAGCGTTTGCTCGAGCAGGCTCGGTTTTCTGTGTTGAATGATACCCAGCGATTGAGCATGCAGATCGCAAAAGAGCTAGTAAAACTTCGAAAGGCCCTATTTTCAGAAACTACAGTTCGGGAAGCCGCAGGGTCTGACGATGTGGAACCCGAATCGTACTCGAGATGCTTTTTATCCGCTTTAGAAATTGCATCTACGCTTCTCCCGCAAATGGGCGATGTCATGCGCGAATGGAGCTATCCCATGAACCCATCACAGGAGACTGTCAATTTCCAACAATCACTTCGTCGCAATCGCCAGTCGTCATGGCGATTTGTCCAAGCTGCTGGCGCACTTGCTCATGCGTTGGCAGATCAACCACAAGTTCCGGAAGAATCAAGCTTCCTGATGATCAAGCCTGCGCCGGGCGAAGATGACCCCATTGACCCAGCAGCTCGGTTTGGCTACGAATTCCTCCGAGCAATTCTTCTCTGGCTGCAGGGCGGCAGACAGCGTCTTTTAGAGGGGTTTCAACGCCGCAATGCCCCTCGACGATTGCATAGCCGATTCCCAATCCCAGATGAATCCGAAGAGGATGCCATCGAAACCATCCTAGTGCCCTACATTATGGAATTGGCCCGCGACACTCCGATCGTGAATGTGGATGCTTCCAGATTTGAGCATGACAGTACGCGAATTCTGTTCCCAACCCAACGAGCTGCCGTGACTGCATTTGGGAATGCTGTCAGATTGCCCTTGGAAGATCTTGGGGACTCAGCTGCTCGGTTCGACAGGCGCCGTGTTTCTAATCCTACCTCGCAAATTCGTTCTCTTGACCGTGCCTCTGCGAAGAGGTTCTGGATTTTGCGAGTAGGCAGAGGAATCTTGATGGAGACAGGTAGTGAAGTGAATTACAGATTTGTCAACAATGCTTTCGGCGGACTTCACACCGTAACGGACGAGTCTGAGAATGAATCAGACGAAGAGAGAGTCCAGGATGATATCGATCCCGATGTGGAGGAAGAACCAGTCCAACACGTTGCACCCATCAGGCCTGGTAGTTCCGTTTCCAGGCAGAATGATCCTCGACCTGAAAGCTCCCAACGCGATGCAAATTCTTCGGACAATAGCGACATTGATACAGGCGAGGATGGGAGCGATGGCAGCCAGGCAGAGGAGTCAACTGACGATGAAGATCTTGATGGCTGGCCCACAGATTCATCTTCGGATGAAGATCGCGAGGGGCTTGGTTCTCGTAGCACTATGGCCCAGAGATATGCCATTCGAAAGGCGCGACGTAATATCGAACGTCATGCTCCGTGTGTACCTCATATGCGAAGTTATCGCGGCCATTGCAACGTCAAGACCGTCAAAGATGTCAACTATTTTGGATTGGATGATGAATACGTGGTCAGCGGCTGTGATTCTGGTCATATATTCATCTGGGACCGCAAGACGTCCAATCTGGTCAACATCCTAGAAGGTGATAGTGAAGTTGTCAATGTTGTTCAAGGTAATTTCCTTCACTGACCAGAAAGACGAAAGTTAACATCGTGCTTTAGGTCACCCCTATGAACCAATGATCGCCGCTTCAGGCATCGATAACACCATCAAAATATTTTCACCAGACCGGCACGCTCAAGATGATGCCCGTAATGGTGTGAACATTCTCGACCCCGACAATCCATCCAACAAGGTTGGACAAAACATCTCCAGGATCGGTGGCCTCGAAAGCCGGAAGCGAGTTCATGAAAGCTACCGCATCATGAGCCAAAACGATGTTGAGCGTCGTGGTGGCATCAACGACGCACACATCACTGTAAATTACCTGCCCATTATTTTTATCTAGACGTCTTTGCTGACTTGTACATAAAGCGGAGTATGCTTGAGCGCTTGGCGGCCAATCTGACGAGTGAAGGCGGCCTTGGGGTTGGAATTGATGATCTTGCTGGTGATGGTGAACATCGGACTGTTGTCATCGATGACAATTGCTCGGTATGTCTGGAGCTCTTGTTTTGCGGAAATGATACTAATCATTCAATAGGTGATGTAATGGATTTAAAGCAGCCCTGGAGAACTCCGGATGTCTGTATTACACAGTGTGAAAAAAGATATCAGTCTCCCATAAACTCATACATTTATTGTTACAGCATCGCATTACAGTCTAATGCAAGAGGGCGTTCTTTTGATTCATTCATTCATTAGTTCAAGGTTGCACCTACCCTTCCTATATATTTACTAAGTATACTTTCCCTTATAAAGTCAAACAAAGCTTTAAGACCTACCATCACCCCCGACAACCACAAACCCCCAGCGTTCTCTATATAAACGTTGCACACGTTCCCTCTTGGCGCTACTGAAGCCAAATCTTTTCTTTTTCCAATATACCTCATGGTAGGAAATCTTCTACCCGCAAAACGTGAGAAATTCTCGCATTCAGTGCAGATTGGAGATGAGGCCCCAAAAAAGCCCCTCGTGATCGCATAAAATGGCGGTTGTGTCGGAGGTCGCAATTCTGGAGATAGAATCGAGATTGCACCGAGATATGGGGTTGTGGCTTGACATCCCGAAGGGAAATGCGCAAATGGCTATCACCGTCAAAGCAAGTCGGATGCGATCAACAATCACTGTAGGCAAATGGGAGTGGAATACACCAAATGTGTCTTTGTCGCCAACGCGCGTCTGCAGTGGGGTATGGGTGCAGCTCCACATGTTTCTGTCACTCAAAGAGAAACCTACACATCCCACTCCAGAAGTCGCTGCCTCTTGAGACTGATCGAGCGTATCTTCGCTGCCTTGAAACGACCTAGCGAGGAAGAAATTTGAGCAGGAAAAGGAACCGATCTACGCCAGAGCCACTTGTTTTACCCAAGCGGCAAAAAACCTTGCTGGGGCACGGATTCAATGTCAGAAGCAGTGGTATTTGGGTCCCAAAGATCCATCAAAAGTGCGACGAAGGCGCACATACAGTGTGTGGACGAGAAGCCCGTTTACGGGTGCGTTCGCAAACAGCGAAAGACTAAGAAATAGAGGACGGTTCGAACAGATTGATGAGGGGACGTTTACAAAAGACCTCAGACGCCTGCTCAAGGATACCTTGAGCACTGCTCGTGCCTTGTTTCATTCCGACGACCGCACATAGCCTCCTAACTTGTTCATCTTTAGTCTAACCTGCATCCAACACTCGTCGCAATAGAGGAGGCAACAATGATCCAGAAAATTGGTTTGCTCTCGGTACTTTGTTATTTGTCTACAGTCGCCTCTGGTTCCCTCAGTGACCCGAAGCAACTAGGGCCAACAATCACATCAATCGTGAGTGACAAATCAGAATGCATGAAAGACTGTGCTTTTCTTGGCCTGGCTTGAGGGCCAAAGGAATAAGAGAATGACTGAGGCTTCTTTTGCGTGTTCTGTGGAGTCGCCAGAGACAGAAAGAAAACATCACATCACACCAAGCCTCCACAAAAACTCATTCCCACAGAGAGGCTATGACTCGCTTGGGAAATTCGCCACTTTCTGAGTTTTCCTACGGCAGGCGATGACCGGAACCTCTAAATACAAAATTGGACTGCTCGGAGGATACTAAGGGTCCTTGGGGAACTGGGATTCTCGAAGTTCTCTCTTCGTGTTTTTTTTTTCCCCTTTATGATTGCTATGTTTCCCGCACTCTGATCTTGTTGATGCTCCCCAAAAAAGGACCAACTTACAACGAAACCTAAACCCCTGATTGATGAGGATTCCGTGAACATGATTCCACCAGAGCATGCGAACAGTAAGAATATCTCTTCCATTTTGAGAAGGCCAGCTAACTAACATTATTTCTGTACAGTAATATCTCCATCCAACCTTCATTGACCTCTGATTTGCTATACCCGGCAAAAGGACAACCGAGGAAATGGAGATGTGTTGTTCTCGATGAGTGAAAGAATCTGAATATTGTCCACAAGGCAGTCTACGAGAGTATACGGAGAGCTGAAAGCTCCTTGGGTCCCGCCCGCCCACAATATTAGGAGCAGAGTACACAAGGAAAGGAATAGTCATGTGCCAACTATATGCCCGGCCGGAAAGCTGCATACAAAGTTATGAAAACGTACAACACACATCTCAGAAGAAGGGACTGTGACACAACTTCCAGGGGTACGCAGCAAGATAGAACGGGGCCTTTGACGGCAATCAGATCTGCCACAAGCCGCTTGTGATGCCATCTGCAAAGAATATGGACTCTTGACCACCCTTCTATGATCTTTCACAGCGATGCCTATACCACCATCATCACATACGACAACCCGAAATATTGAACTGCAAGAACGATACCATACAAATGGGCAGGCATGGGAATAGGTGTATGGGGTGCTAATCTCCGCCAGCCGATAGTCAACGGTGGCTGGTTGCGATATTACCAATGGGCTTGTGGAGAGTGAGATATTCGATGGTCCTATGAAATAATGATTATGATAAAAGCTGTCATCATCTTTTCCTGTTTACTTTTTTTACTACGGAAATTCAGTGTACAAGATGAAGAAATCTGTGAAGCGGAAGCGTTGTGAATCCCCATAAGTATCTCCTATGCAGAACAAAGTCACTCAAAATGTCTTATCATGAAAACATCATTTCTGTAGCTAATATTCGATATGCCAGAGCCTAGGTGATAATGGCATGATCTGCCCAAAGGCTCGGTAGAGGCAGCTTTGTAATTTTCGAATGAGAGACGAAAAGCTAGGCTGGAAGTCATGAATCTTTCGCAAGAAAAGATTTTGTGTTCAATCATTTGGACGCTCCGCTATCTGCCATTCTGACTTCTTATGCTTCTATTTGGTCTAAACCCCAAGAAAACGTTCTTGGACTATAGCAGGACTAATTAATATAGTAGTCTCATTTCTCCCGAGACTCCACTGAATTGTCTGGTGACTTTCTCACAACAATACCCCCATTATACGATGTAAAGTATAGTCGGACTCTTCTGTTGCCTTTACACATAATCGAGGGAATTTTCATCTTTTATCAATGTTGCTAGTCCGGTGGACAGTCTCCCTTAGAGAGAAGTATATATTCACGTGACCGTCCTTATCGTCGAATTTTTTTGCGATAAAAAGAACTTGCCCGCACGAATATCGTCGATCTACAGAGGGGCAGACCACAATCTTCATTTATAAAGTCAAAGATCAATTGGTATTGCGCCAATGATATAGGCTGAACTTTTGAAGTCTACAACCTACTATCTCTCTACAAACCCAAACCTCTCCGCCCGATCTCACAGTTTGATATCAATTTTATACTGCATTTTTGGCCATCAAAAACCAGAGAGTGTATAAAAGGTTCTTAAATTTTTGGAACAAGAAAAGTAAACACATTATTACACTATGTCTGCATCACAATTACTCCAAGCTCGCAACGAGACAACTACCAGGCTCTATGCAGACCCTCACAACCCCCACCTCCACCTTGAACGAGGCCTTCAGTATGAAAAGCTGGGCTTCCCCGATCTCGCCTCTGCAGATGCATACCGTGCGCTAGCACTGCTAGAGTCAGTGGTTGACCCAGATGAGTGCGAGTTCCACGCCAAGCGGAAGGTAGACCCTTCTCAGCAGGCTCCTGAAGAAGCCGCGAATGAATCAGACGATGAAGATGAAGACGACAACACCGTACCCATCACCCAAGAAGAATACGATGCCATCATCGACCAGGTATACGTCCTTCTAGTACGCAGTCTCGTCCGCTGCGGTTGCTACCGCGATGCATTCGAGTTCGGCGTACGCGGGTTAGCCCTACTCGAAAAGAGATCTGCAACGGCCTCAGTAGCTGCTTTGAACGTGCAGATGGATCGCGTGAAGCAAATTTACAAATCTCGTTCTGGTTCTGAAACCGAAAACATCGACCTGGATTCAATCGACCCCAGTGTCCTCCCTGCACAAGGCTTCGCCCGTCGTGTCCTCTATCCCTGGAACGAGCACGAGCCAGACCGCCGTTCACCAGAGACCCTCAACCTACTCAATGAACGACTGGCAGTCATTGCGCCGAAGTGTGAGGTCCGCGCAGTGGCCTTGCCAGTGCTGCATGCCTCGGCAGACGACGGCTCTTCCAACATGGACGTCTCCGTGCAACTCGGCCTCTTCGCAAAAGAAGATATCGCTCCAGATGAGATCATCCTCCGTGAATCTTCACTGCTCACAGCAACAAATCGTCTCCACGACGATCTCTGCGACGCATGCAATGCACCACTCCCAGAACTGTCTGCCGCCGAACCCCCGTCGCCTGCGAGGGCGGCTGCGTAGACATCATCTTCTGCAGCCAAGCATGTCACGACACAGCGCAGGAGGTGTACCACGGCGCGATCTGCGGTCTCGAAGACGGTCTCGATTCTATCGGGAAGGATGTCCCCGATCCCAAGGATAAGGCCGATTACCTATACCTTCTTCTGCTTGGCAGAGCGCTTGCGATGTCTGCCACGCAGGATAAGCACGCGCTCGATCTACCTGAAGTGAAATACATCTGGGGTGATTTCCACGATTTCGATATTGAGTCTCTCCCTACGGAAGCAGAGGCGACGCCTGCTATAGACGATACCGCCACTCTGCCCTTCTCGTTCCAGCTCAATGTCCTGCAGCCGGAGCGTTTCCTCGATGAAATGGGTCTGGATCCATACGCTGAGCTCTACCGCTACGATACATGGGTTCTGAACACGCTCTTTGCTAAGTTCCGTGGTACGGCGTCAGGTCGACTGTCGACTTGGGATGGAGGCCCGGAGCTGTGCGCTGTTCATCCGCTGTGGTGTCTTGCGAACCATTCATGCGATCCTAATGTGACTTGGGAATGGAGTAGCGAGATTAATTTCCGCGCGCGGAGAGATGATGAGACGGCTGTTTGGTCGCGTGGGGTTGAGATGAAAGAGCTTAGGCCTGGGGGTATTGCTAAGGATTCGGAGATCTTGAATCATTATTGTGATATTGGGTTGCCGGTTCAGAAGAGAAGAGAGTGGGCCTCTGGGGCTTTGGGTGGGACTTGTCTGTGTGATAGGTGTGTTTGGGAGGCTGGGGAGGTTGAGTAGCTTTGTATTTATGGGTTGGTGTATGGATCGCCTTGATAGATCATGATGAGATACCCTTTTGACTACATTAAATGAGAATGCTGCCAATCAATGGCTCCTAGAATCCAAGCGTATATTACTTGAGGGATACAAGGTGGTCTATTTGAACATATTTATTTGAAAATTTGAGGAAATAGAATCCTGGAAAAGCGTTCGTCCACCATGAATAATCGATTTGCTCCTAATGAACCCCCTTCCCAAGTTTCAAATTCCTGGCACCAGACCGAATAAAAGAAGTACAATTGTCGTATTTTCGCTCCAAATACGCACTATTTCATTATCAACAGTAACATTCGGACCGTCCAACCAATCCCAAAAAAGTCGGGATTAAAGCATCAGAGGCTCCCGATTTATCTACGCCGAGGTGGTGTCCGTGACTGGGTCCGACCCCGTGATTCTGCCCGACGCCTGGGAGCAGGCGACCGAGAGCGAGAGACAGAGTCTGTAGCCTCACGTCGTCGGCGGGGAGGGGGGAGACGGATTCGGACGAATAGCGTTTCGCGCCTCTGGACGCCGGCTCACGACGAGGCGGAGGTGTGACAGACCGGGAAACCGATCTGGAGTAACTGCGGTTTCTCCGGGTGGGAGGGCTTTGGCCTCGGCGCGGTGGTGTGACAGACCGAGTAACCGAGCGGCGAGATCGATAGGGACTGCGGCTTGGGCTTCGCGAGTCGTAAGAGTGGGAACGTGCTCGACTGCGCTTGGCCGGCGTGCGGGAGATGGATCGGGATCGGGATCTTCCTGCGGGAGTCCGGGACCGACTGTCCGATGCGTCACGACGGCGACGGACTGGGGAGCGAGAGCGTGAAGGTGTGTAGCTTCGGCCTCGGGAAGAGGGAGTGATGGAGCGAGAGTAGGAACGGCCGCGGTCTCTAGAAGGAGAGCGAGAGTAGGAGCGGCCACGGTCTCTAGAAGGAGAGCGGGAGTAGGAAGGTGACCGGGAACGGCGGGAGTGAGGAGATCCAGTGCATGTTGAGCACATAGAACGGGATCGATCAGATGGGGTGCGCGACGGGGATCGAGAGGCGGCTCGTGCAGCCAAAGCGGGCACTGTAGGACGAGGAAGATTTTTGAGGTTTTCACGCATGTCCTCTGTCAATACACCCATACCGATACTGGTGAAGTAGTTGACAGAGAATCTAGTGTGGCGTGGGTTCTCCGTGGGGAAGAGACCCTCGAAGCTCGGTCGCAGTATATCATCCCTAAAGCGGGCCTGAAGTCCAGGCAGACCGAGATTCTCTGCGAGGTTTTGGAACAGGATTTTGATGAAGATACGGCTGCTGGATGTGGTCTCCTCCTCGTTGAGATGAACCACAGACAACACATGCCAACCGATGGCATCGTTGCTGATGAGATGGCCGAAGAACTGGGCAATGTTGCGCAGTTTATTTGTTTCGTAACGATGGATGGTATCGTAGTACTTGGCAAAGGCAGCCTCAAACAGGTCTGACCAGAGTCGGTTGATCTTAGCGAATCGCTCTCCGATCAGGCCATAGAATTTGGAGTATGTCCGTTCCTGAGAGCAACATTCAATGATCATGGACGGAAGTTCATGCTCTAACCCGGCCGGCAGGTTGATCTTCATCAGCTTGTGGCAACATTCTTCGAAATCAATGCTGGACATGATTGTGAGGTAGATTGTTCGTCGAAGGTTGACCAGATCAGTATTACTTTGATCCTTGATATCCATCTGTACTTCTTCTGTGTCGGATTCTTCCTCTTCGCTTTCATCTGACCGTTCCTCATCTTCCTCGTCACTCTCCTCGCCCAGGATCTCGGCCTTCAACTTCTTGTAGGCCTCCTCATGCTCCTCCCACTCCGCGTCAAACTTGAAGATGTTGAGAGTGTCTTGGGTTTCGAGCTCGTCGTCCAAGCCGGCACGGTGTGTGATCTGATCTTCCTCCTCTACTAGGTCCAACTCCTCCTTGATTGCTGGGTTGTCCTTGTATCGATCCTTGCGCACCTGGAAGAGCACTTCGATCATATATTGCACACGCTTATCAATATCGGCCTCGTGTAGAATGTTTCGGAATTGGTCGAATACGGCGAGTGCGATAGGAGCGTTCATCTCCTCCAGATGCTGACCAACTTCTCGAGTAAGGCCCACGGCAATCTCCACGCTGTCGTCCGTTGGCTTGTGCAAAAGAAGTAGCAGGATCTGAGCTGCCAACATCTCGTGGGCAACTTGTTGATTGCAGAGGTGCGCAATAAAAGTTGTAGAGGAAATGCAGACTGCCTTGTCATTTCGCTTGAAGGCCTTGCGGAATTGGACAATCAACCTGGTAAGCAACAAATCACCAACCTGCGGAAGCTTGGTGTTGACGATAGCCGCCATCGCTGCGTAAATTGGAGTGAAGGGCAAACTAGCGGCCTGCGCCTTCATAATCGACCGACAGAATAACCCTCTACCTCTCACCAAGTTCTCCGCAAAGAGTTCCGGGACAATGAACTTGATGTTGGAAACGTTGACTTTGTTGATAAGACCATTGATCGACTTCTTCAAAGCTTCCCACGCCATGCGCTGGTATTCCTTGCTCGTCTTGTCCGTGATTTGCGCCTGTAACGCACGGAGTCGGGCCGGAGGGATGTAAGTGCCACCGGATCGCATATTGAGCAGCTTTTCGTATTCTGCTTTTGCTGAAGCCTGCTTTTGTTCCTCGGTCATCGGCTTGCGCGCCGCTTCGCGCTTCTCATGTTCGCGAACACGTTCGGCGAGTTGCCGTTCTCTGTCGTCGACACGTTCTGCGTCGACATTGGGAACATCGGGACCTTCTCGAAGGGAGTCACCGGGAGGCGATCGGCGACGATTTGGAGAGGGAGAACGAGACGGAGGCGAGCGTTTTCGAGTTGCTGCGGCTGGCGAGTACGACGCGCCCGGGGGAGGCGTGGGCACGCGCACTGCAGACTGGAGAACATCCGAATCGGACATTTTCAATGAGTAGAGAGGCCTCCGGGGTAGAGAGAAGGTTGGATTTACACCGGAGGGACGGTGGTTGCGAATCTCAGCCGGACTGAGGTTACAAGATGATTGAAGGACGTAGCAGGAGAAAGCTCTAGCGGGATGCACGTGACCAGAGGCCAACTAGGAACAACAGGAGCTCCTGAGATTCCTAGTAGTTCTGTCCAGCCCAGGATTCATCGACGTTCCCTCATATTTCTTTTCTTTTCTAAACTTGCCGCTCCTTATCAGAATGGTAAATTATCTAGTTCCAATCAATGGACATACCCCCCACTGACTGTGCTTTAGCTGGGCCAACTCGTGGGATCCGTCATGCTTTTGGTCGCGACTGCGATCTTTCTCTACTACACTGCGTGGACCCTGTTGATGGTATGTTAATCTATAATTATATTTGGCTTTCCACGCTAATGTTTCTTCTGTAGCCCTTCGTCGACCCCGGCCACCCTCTCCACGACATCTTCCCACCCCGTGTTTGGGCCATCCGCATCCCCGTCATCCTCACACTCTTGGGTTCTGCCGTGGTAGGCACCTTCATCGGAATCGTCATGATCAACAGCAACAAGAAGAAGGCCGCCAAGGCCAAGGCCGCGGCTAAGAAGAAGACCTAAGCGACCGTGGACATCATACCAGAAGAGAGGGCAACTCTCTGTGACAGTACTCTGTACCACCAACCATTCCGAAGCTCAGTAGCTATCAAAATATATCTCAAGTTAATTAATTTGTTATATCAAGTGCCTTACAAACACTTTCATGCCGGATATACATTGGACGTTACCTGGAAGAATAGTGGAGGATAAAGCGGCTATATATGTGACATCTGGAATATATGGACCAAATTATCACGTAGCCTAAAAAAGAGCCTGAATTTCCCGGCTGAAATGTCATTTGCCATCAAAGCCTAAGTCGTCATCTTTGCCCATGCTGCATATGTCCTGTGACCTCAGCTGGAGCCAACGATGACGCCAGCCACTCCTTCGATAGCGGGTCAACTTTATTGACAAAACAAACAAGGAATGGCCATTCCTGTGGCTAGGAAGGACACGGGTGGACTCGGCTGTTGACTTCAACCATGCAGTATCATGTCAAAAGCATGCAAGGAGGCGATATTAGCAGCAAGTAATGACGAGGTGCCCGGTCTGGATAGACCATCCATGGATGGACCATGGAAAAATGACTAAGAAGATATGACTAAGAGCGCCTTATCGGTGTTTGCATGGTTTGACAAGTTTCCCCTCATACGCGCCTTGTTCATGTTGGCCACAAGGTACATTGTAGAGTCGGGATTGGTGAACCGGAAAACAAAGATAGACAAAGGAGTAAAGGCCGAGGATCAGATCATGCTTTCGTTAGGAATGACACTGTCAGAGGGTTATTCCGTACTCTGACTCAGGCCCCCCTATTACATCCTAATACATCCTAATACACCCTAATAGCCCCGTACCTGACTGGTGACCTGGGGTCAGCTCCCCTCCCCCCTCTTCTCTTATCGCGAACCATAACATCATCCTTCTTCCCTCTTGACTCATCTTCGGACATCAACTTTGGAACTTGTGTATGCAAGTCATTTTGGATTACATTTTTCTGCACCGGCTTGAATTATCTCAAGCTGTTGCTGTGTTGTGCTTATCTATCAAAGCTTCCCCGCGCGTATAGAGTGATCTCCGCTCTGGATACGCCTTTCGTGGTGTCTACAGTCACCACAACCCCCTTATTTTTAAGGATACTGTGAATACAGGTATGCACTCCCAGTGCCCTCAGGCTGTTGTGATGTTTGATCATTTGATTAATTCCATGAAAGCCATCCTCCTCTTTAGTGATACCTCCCGAGGTCCCGGTGCCCATTTAGGATCTCAAGCCGAACGATCCTACATATCCGTTCTCAGACCACAAATAGGGTCCTGAGAGCGGCGTCATTCTGTTACCTCTCTATCGCCTCTCACTGAGGCATCATCTTTTTGAATGCTCCCGGCCGCATCTGACGATCTCACTCGCCAGCAAAGCCGTTTGCCCGAAGACGATAGTTCCTTCACCCCGGACCAGAACCGGGCCATACCAGAGCATGAACCAAGTGGGAAAAGCAAAAAGAAGAAGGGCAAGAAGAACAAAGTGGCCAAGGCTGTAACTGAAACTCCACCGGATGATATGTATGTATCCACCGGTGATTGCTTGGTCTCTGATGAATGCGTGCCATTAACGCCAGATTGCATGCATAGTCTCCAACCATCTGCCCCACCACCAGAGGAGCCTCTCTCCTACCCAGACCCGGAACCCCTTATTGAGCATCATGTAAACCCATCTATCACGTCGCCTGTTCTGGATGTCCTCGATTCCTTCGATGAGCCAGCAGGTGACGATCTCACTAGCCGCACCGATACATGGGCGCAGTCGGTGCCCTACGGAAAGAGCCCCCCCACCGATATTATGGATGGGGACATACCAAGTGCATCACTTCCCAGTGCATCACTCCCTAGTGCATCGCCCTTGAACTTTCCAACAATTCAAGAAAGGGGTGGCTTCGGTCATCCTTCCTCGGCATCTCCTCAGACTCGAACTTTACCATCTAGCTACGGTAATGGCTACCGGAGTAGTCTGAACTCGAGGCAACAGTCTGTGGACAGAAGAAAGAGTCACTCTTATGGAAGCCCAATGAGCAATCACGCGCCTCCCCCCCATCTTCCTCAAGCACATTTCTTCGGAGCACCAGACATGGATATCCTTCCAGCCCAGAATCGATCACCCACCGATGGAGGTTATTCATTCTGTAGTTTCGATACGTTGCCTAGCTTGTCATCTAAAGGTTCGCGGACAGGAATAAACGTCTTGCTTGTTGGGACGGATGGCGCCGTGGAGATCCTCGCCATCGAAGATCGCCGAACTCGGCTCGTGGGACAGATCACTGGATTAAATGGCCGTGTAATCGAGGCCCAACTCTTGTCTGGCAATCCATCCAGCGACCCATTTGCATCGTCCCGGCCGCATGTGGCTGTCATTGTTCACGGGCCGTTGCCACCACACGAGGAGGAAGGTCGAGTCTCGTCTGCAACGTCGGACGCAAATGAAATTCCTCCCTCGACGATTCGCGGTCACTTTAACGACAAGCGCTCAACCCGGGACGACATTCAGTTCTACCAAACCAGAGTTGAAGTTTACTCCTTCCGGACCGGCGAACATGTCTCCACCTTGTTTGCAAGCAAGCCTGTGCCATGCCAGGAAAACTTTCCTGGCCTCCCATCCTTTGCACCCTCGCCTGTGGGGAAATTAAAACTCTTCACCAGCGGTGCTTACATTATCTTAGCATCTGGGGTCAGTGGGGAAGTCTATATTTATAGACACGTTCTATCCCCGGACACACCTGCATACCAGTGTCTGGGTAAGACATGGACTGGGGTTCAGTTCAAAGAAACCCGACGTTACTCGGCCTCTTCGAGTTCTACAACAGATCCAGAGGGGACTCGGACTGACTCTCCTCATGGTTCTTCTACCATGGAAAGACCCATCTTAGCTGTGCAAGGAAGGTGGCTTGCATTCGCTCCCCCATCCTCGGCCTACAGGGGATCGATCCAGGGCACTGTTCCTTCGAGTTTGATCCTGGGCAAGGTTCCGGGTATTGAAACCCGTAGTCCTCCAGCTGTCCCCTCGGTGTCGTGTGCGACAGACGTAGGAGAAGGGGAAAGTTTCTTCGACAAAATGGCCAGAGGCGTTGCCCAAGAACTTGTCAGGGGTGCCCGCTGGATGGGTGATCAGGGAATGCAGGCCTGGAACAATTATTGGAACACTCAGCAAACATCCGGCACCTCTCCACGTCGGCCACCTGGACCAGATCCCCAGACACAGGGATATGGATTGTTCCCTCCAACTCATGCACAGGATACACAAACGTCAGCCACAGAACCTGACACTGTATCCATCATCGACTTGAGACGATTTGAAGACGGCACGGATATACGAAATGTGTTTATCCACCCAGTCTCGACGTTCCAGGTCCCTAATGGCTGCAGCTTCTTGTCTCTTTCTCCAAACGGCTTGATGTTGTTCACAGCGAGCAAGAAGGGCGACGTGCAATACGTATGGGATCTCATGCAACTCAAGCACTGTCGGTCCATGGCTTTTATGGCCGATGACCAAACGGGACAGAATCCGAATGTGCGCCAGATTGCTAGATACGCGCGGTTGACTACATCTAGTATCGTTGATGTGATTTGGACGGCGCCGGTGGGTGATAGATTGGCTGTAATTACACGTAAAGGCACCGTCCACGTTTTCGATCTACCTCGAAGCGCATTTCAATGGCCCCCATTCCGCCGCGCAAAGCCTACTGCAAATAAGTCGCCGGCTACTGATCCCATAGCAGATGAGGTGACTGGTCAAACTGCCGGTGGCAACCCGTTGTCAGCGGCTATGAAGTTGGTTGGTGGTAAAACGCAGCCATTCTTCTCCGCTGTTCGGGGTCGTGTCCCGTCCACGGGCGCTGCATTTCCCAATATGAGTGGATTTGCGTTACCTTCTGCAGCCAGTGTAAAAAGCGGGAAGGTTGTCGCTGCGGGCCTAAGCAAGTCAATGGGCGCCGCAACGGGTACTGTGAATACCTTGCGCCATGTCGGAGAGAACCGTTTACACTTGCCAGGGCTAGCTCGAGACCCTGCACCTTCCCGGGTGACGTGGATCTGCAGCAAGGGCCTCATATTCTTAGGTGTTGTGGATGGCGGGTACTTCAAGATGTACCGCCTCAAGCGCGCTACTGTACCCGGCCACAAAAATCGACAGCCTCACTCTGTTGTCGGCGGTAAGGAGTCTCAGATCAAACTACCTGACAATCTCCAGGGTCCTTGTGGACCGGCTCCTTTGTCTGCCTTTGATCCAGAACTAGCTGTCCGTGCCTCTCTTGTTCTTCCTTCGGTCAGCTCTCAGCCATCTAGTGCTGCACGATCATTTTGCCAACCTCTCTCACAGGCTGAGATTGAGACAAATAC